TATAAATATTTTGATAAGCATGAGTAAAATACTAATACATTGGGCTAATTGATTTTTAAGTCGGTGGTGTTCAGACATGGTTGTCTACTGTCCACTTACCCATAAAACACGCCACACTAGTTATATATATATTGATTTAAAATGTGCTTACAATGAAATTTGTGTAATGTATACCTATGTAGTTTGTAAAACAGTATTGTGTAATTAACGATGTGTTCAAAAATCATTGTAAGGCATCGTAAACAAATATACAATTTTAGACAAGGTAGGTATAAAATATAATTATACAATTTTAATACACTTAATTTCATTTTCATAATATTTTTAGATTACGTTATAGATTATTATTATTATTTTTATTTTATGTTAATATTTTTATTCATGAAACTTTGTTTTAAGCATAATTTAATATAATGTGTAACATATTCAGAGCGATTCACTATGCATACTATGTATTGCATACTCACTCTTATGATTTCCTTCAATAGTAGATTAATTCAAATTCTGATTTTTTTAAATATCTATATTTAAAGATCAAATATTCACATTTTTGAGATGATTTATTATTACTTAAGGCGTTCTGTGGCGCAATATACATTTCTTTTTTAAATTCGAGTACTCCTTTTTTTATTGTAAATTGTTGAGTGTATAATTTTTTTAAACTTTTGATGTTTACCTACTTATTTACCTAATTAAACCTCCGTTTTAATTTGAAAAATAGAAATTTATATTACCATAAAATACTATTAAGTATTAGTAAAAATAATCTCAAGGATTTGAAAATTTCAAAAATCAGATTTGAAACAACTGCATTATTAAAGAAAAAAAAGTTGAGCATGTTTGGTGAATTACCCTGTACATGATTTGACAGTATAATACTGTATAATATAATGTTATGATATAATCATTAATAATACCCTTCGTATGTAATATTTAGTTTTATATTTTTTTGTCCCGAGGATATTTTGTTTTCGCGTCTCATTTTTATAGTTACAGATCTGCAGGCGATCGAATATTGCTGTCGAAAAAAATCTTTTTATAATTAATGCATTATTTATCGTTACTTTAATACCACCGGAAACTAAAATTCGTATGACGTAAAATCCCCATTAGACATAAAGGCTATTACAATGATAATCACTTAAATTATTAACTATCTAATTTACTAATCAAAATGCTTATAGAAGGCAGACATATTGTGTCTTGAAGGAAGTAAAAGGATAATGTGTGTTCTAAAGAAATCTCGGTAATCTACATCATCTAGTAGCATGTGTGTATACCTACCGTATACATACGTACATTTGTATGATATAATTTACAGCGACGAAATGGTTAGGCATTAAGTAAAAATATAACATCAAGGCGTCCAGTATAAAGAAATATTATGAAATACGTTATGCGACATATTATTTTAACATGTATACTAAATTATTAACAATTTTAATCAACATTTCAATTCAACTGGTAAAGTGGTGTTATCTGAGTTTCGAATGATTCCAAAAGATGTAGGTTTTTATTTCTCCTCGTGTTATACGAGTATGTACTCGTATAATGTATATATTAATATGAGTTATTACTCATAATAAGTTATTGAATACATTCCGTTATACGAGTCAGTCGACTCGATTTTATTTTATTTTATTGATTTGGTTGTTTTATCAAAACCGTCACTATCGGTGTGTAAATTGAACAAATTGTAATCAAAACTTTTTACTGCAGACCAGGAAATTTGAATCCACAGCTGGAAGATTCGCGACCAGGTGAGATAAATAGCCTAGTTCACGTCTGAACGTACCGTAGTGCTTGCCTGCAGAGGGCGGTGTCCGATAGACCGGTTATATTGTATTATTATTTATTATATATTGTATTAGTATAGGATATTATGACCGGTTCTATTTCCAGTATTAAATCGTATCTATAAAATGCGGTTATCCTTTGTAGAATGCACTTTGTTGACCATGCACGCCCGTTCCGAGGCCGATACACCGTAAAATCATTGTGTACCTATATAATATTTGTGTGATGATAATATTATTATTTAAGTTATCGCCTAATTTATGTCTTCGATATGATATGAAAATAAGAGTATTTATGCAAATTGCTATTCCTGTAAAACGCGGAATCCGAAACGAGGTATCACGTTAACATATATTTTATTATTATACACAATACTACATTTGAAATTCAGGTTTTCGTACAGATTACACCTGTAATAAATATGATAAAAATAATTTAATAGTGAATATTTTCATGTTTTTGTGGGAATAGTGATATTGTCAGATTAAGGATATAATATCATTAATATTAGGTTTAAATGTGATGCACACCCTCGCTGTTCATAATTTGTAAATGAAGCAGTTGGCAGTGGTAATTTAATATCTACAAATACTTATAGACACTTATAGTATAAATTTATGATCCAGGATTACGTCTAAAAATATAAACATCGCCGGATATAGGTTATAAGTATTAAATAGGATAATTAATAATTATTTAGGAATATACATATAATTTATAAGTATACTAAATTGTATTATTATTCCTATAAAACAGATTCTAAATAGGTTAGATTGAAAATATATTAACTTAATTCGTATGGTGATCGACCTCAATACCTTATGAATCTAATTTTTAGAGTATTACAGTGATATTTATAGATAATTATATAGATTACAATCATTTAAAGTTACCTGTTTAGGTAATATTTAATGCTACCGAAGATTTCGTCTGTAATTAAATAGGTATAGTACACAATATAGGCAACGTTTAAGTTTCGTTGAAATTATTTTTCGATACCGCAAATCATCTAAACTGGTTAGCCTTGCTTTTATGTATTGTATTTATTTAGTTATAGTGCGTAGACCTAAAGAAAGTAAAAATAAAAATAAACAAAAAGTTCGTTGGATAAAAAAGGCCATATAATATTATTGCGCACTTGTAACATTACATATACTTTTGTAAGAGGCATTATGATAACAATCGATATACCCACTTAACGCGATGTTACATAATAATAAGTAACTTATATTATTATTTTAAGGTATCAGCTGTGTAGTTATTAGGTAACTTAACAATTTAAATTATTTATATATAACATATACTATATGTAACTTTTAAACAACTAAAATGGTTTATTATTAAACATTATACTTAATTATTTAAAAATTTCACATACATCGAGATTTTTCTAAAAATAAAAAAATATATCAATGAATATTATATAATATTGTTGTTAAATAATCGCGTAGACAGGTAATGTTAAATAATATTGATTTTAGTACTTGATATAATATAGGAAGTATGCTAAAATTTAAGTAACTATAATAACTACCTATATACTATTTTAATTTTGATGATAGTTTCTGGTATCAAATTGAATCTTCGGAAATCAGAAGTAAAATGTCAAGAGTAATTTTCCAGTACTTTTTTAATCAGGAAAAACATAAAAAAATTAAGTAAAAATGATAATTCCTATGCTTAATTAGTAATTTTGTTATAATTAAAAAAAAAATTAACTGTAGAAACTTTAAATTTTCATTTAGTATTTATTTAATCATTTACCGTAAATGATAACATTTTCAAAATAATTGACTCTATTTGAGTTATTTATAGACAATTTAAATCTTCTATTTTTTTAGATTGTCATAAATAATAATAAAAATTGAGGAATGGGTAAAAATTCTAAATTTATAGTCACAGTAAATTTTATAAATGTTTAAAATTAGAATTTTGAGAAAATTAATCAAAATTTCAGAAATGTATACATTATTTTAATAGGAAATTAATAAAAAATATTCTGTTGATACAATGACTTGAAAATTCAATACATGGTTCTTTCTGTTTTTCTACCTATGTATAACGTATAAGAATTCTTAAAAATATACAAACATAATTATTTTTTATAAATATTTGAATAAAATTATGTATTTCAACGATGAATAACTTTCATATTATTTTAACTATAATTATTTTGTTATAAATCGAAAACATTATTCGTGGAGCCTTAATCCTTTTAAGGTTATTATATTATTATGAATTTTTCTATAGGTACGGAATGACATTTTTGATTTATTTTAAGATATTATCTATTTATAGGTATTATGAATCTGTTTTTACTGTTTTATGGTATTAACAGAAAGATGTTATTAAATTTCGAGTTATATAAATTGATACAATATGCTATCATGCTATAAATATACATTGGTATAATAATTAAATAATAATAATATAATAAATGCAATACTTTCGGAAAAATATATACTAACTTACCGTAATATTAATGTAAAATAAATTACTTTAATAGCTATATTCAAAAAACATATCATGAAATATAGGTACTAAGTGACAGATCGTCTCCGCTTAAAATCGTTTTTTGTTATAATTGAATTTATACTCAACCCACCCATAGCAGTGATCTTCTCGACACTCAATGTACAGTAGTGTGGAACCCATTTGTCTATCTTTTTTCATATTAAAGTGCTATCTAGAAAAATAATCTGATCACAAATTGATCTGAATACAAATCACCAATTATTTTATTTTAATTTAAATACACTTCATAAGGCATGAAAATACTCTAATATAATATAAATATATAACTATATATATATTTTATATATTGTATAATGTTATGTACCATTTATAGCATTAAGTACGAATGCAATTTAAGTTTGTAAACAAATGTTTTCAACTTTATTAACCTTACTCATCAGTCATCACTAATCACTGTAAAATAGGTAACTCGTTCAATCAGATCCAATAAACATTTATGTACCTAGTAGATAAGTTCTAATTTCTATATATAAAATAAACAAAAAATTAAGTTATTGATTGAAACTTGAATTTTAAATTACTTACTTGTAATGATAATTAATTATTTTATCAATCGTACATTTTTATTATTTATATTTCAATACGGAAATGTAAATAATTGATATACATATTTAATAGTTTTTTTTTTATATATATTCGACGAAAAATAATAATTAAATTGTTTTCAGATGGCGAGGAAGCGTTTACAAGCTTGTATGGAGGGAATTAGCAGCCTATTTAATGGTTTATTTTGCCATAAATTTAGCATACAGGTTTGCATTCACCGAAGCCCAGCAAAAGTATGTTACAACATTAAAATAAACAGTATATTAAACGGTATTTTAAGGCAAGCGTTTGGATTATTAGTGAATTCTGTTTGATATACATAGTTAAAATCTTATATAATACGGCTATTTATAGGCAATTAGAAAATAAAGTGATTAAGTAGGTACCTATATAAAATATTGATGGTATACTATATACCTACATTAAATTATTATTATATAAAGAATGTTTTTATACGAGTATATTATTAATAATCTAATACCTAAGTTTATAATCACCAACATTCCAAACCGTTGGCACTATTCTATAAGTCAATCATTATACTTAGAATCCGTTGTAAGGCGATAGAAACATTAAATTGATGAATTTTTATTTTATTTTTAGATTGTTCATAAAAATCCGGTGTTACTTGGCCGGTCATTCTGCAAGTGTCCCGTTGACGTTTGCTATGAGCTTCTATGTCGGTTTAGTGGTAAAACGATGGTGGGAACAGTATAGGTTACTACCTTGGCCGGATACGTTGGCTCTTTTTGCAAGTGCGGCGATTCCTGGGACGACAGTAAGTACCTATTTAATATAATTAAATATAATATATACAAGAACACATATTACACATACCAACAGACTAGTATCATTATCATACGTTTAATGTTCATACGTCTTAATAGTCTATAAGATAAATTTAAGATCTGGGGATCTACGGAACGTACGGGACTTAAAATTACGGAGTTTCCAAATTGTTGAATATATTTATTTTACTCAAAGATTATATGAAGCTGCTGATGATAAAAATATAGGAATGCATACATTAACTATTTTTCATTAAAAATTCAAACGCAAACAGCGTTTATTCTAATAACTTATTACATTTTCAAAGCGCATTTGATTTATTTTTAAAAGATTCATGCAAATTTTAAGATTTTGTTTTATACGTAGGGCATCGAATCTCTAAAGCACTAGCTCATGTCACTATTGTTTATTTCAGGACGAAAGAGGGCGACTAATGAGGAGGAACATAGTAAGGTACGCGGTACTGGCATATGTTATTACTTTGAAACAAGTGAGCATAAGGGTGAAAAAACGATTTCCTACATTACAACACATCGTCGACGCCGGTGAGTACTCATTCTTGATGTGTATATATAAAACTGCAAGACGTGCCGTCTGAATATGTAATTATATTTAAGTAGGTACATAAACGGCCAGCGACAGCCTACATTATAATAAACTATATTCTAACTATGTTATCAAATGTTTTAAATGACTGAGACATTGTTTATTATCGACTCGATTAATAATTATCTATCCACACACGTGGTGCCAGAGCCTTAACCGGTTTTATTTTCACGCATAAGACCAACTAGAACCTGTTGAATATCAATTTATTCAAAGAATGTACGACTGTTACGGGTCTCGAAGTGGTTTGAGAATTGGATCATTCCGTTGATTTACATAGATCAAATTGTTTGAACAGTCTTTTAATTTCACGACGTAGGCATAACTATGTATAATACCTATGCGAGAGAAATATTATAAACTGTACGTCATTCGTCATCACTCATCTTTCGTAATAACCACTAGAGCAGATTTTAGTCCTATGTTATATTAGCATAAGGCGAGTATCTGATCGCAAATATAGTTTTATGCCTTTTGCATATTCTATGCCTGCAGCAGATTTGGAAGTCTCAGCGTAAATTTACTGTGTTAAAATGGAAATAATATAATAAATAAATATTTATATAGATAACTGGTGATTCGTTCAACTAGGTACTAGCTACGCTTATTTTCAAAGTCAATTTTTGTATATTTGAAGGAAACAAATTGTTTATATTATACTATAAACTTGATGTACCTAAGTAATAGAGAAGATGGATATTTTTGAAAACATTTAGACCATTTAGTGTTATGTTTAATGAAATTAATCCTATAATATAACATATTACGTAGGTTAGGTTTTTTTTTTTCAAAAATACAAAAATTGATGGAAAATAATTTTTATAGTTATCTAAAAATGGATAACCCTGTAGAATGCGTACAGGTTAATTTTTTAACAATGCCCAATAGTGATAGGTAGGTAGTGTTGATGCATTATGCTCGCAAGGCTACAAACAGTAATATACATATAATATGTTAGCTACACTTTATATATATATATATATACTACTGGGATGGGATCGTTACGACTGGATTGGTTTTAACAATAACAATGGTCAACTGACATAATTTTATCGTGTCATTTTTAATTCGATCACACATCATCGTCGCACCGCGAATATATTGTAATGCACTCGCGTATATTACTAATATAAAACACACAGAAAACAATACAAAGTTTATTCGATAATTGTCATCGTATGGTCATATAACTTCGTTAGTTGAACGTCGTTCTTTATTATAATACGCCTCAGTGTCTCTCCGGAAATGTACACAAACACGCGTGTTACTTCTGTATAGCCATTAATCAAATATCACGTCCAAGTTTGTGGCAAAACTTTCGTTTGATAATTTATTGATCTCAGATTAAATGGATTAGTCTTAGTCCTGCGAAAATATCTATATAACCAGCCCAATACTGCGACAGCTATAAAGCGTAAAATTAGTATACGGCGTGTTCTTTGTTTCGTCCTCGTGACCTTTGAATCGGGGTGTGACGTGTATGTGTATTTTATTATTGTTGTCCACAGAATCATTTTTAATACACAGTGGATTATAATAGATATTATAATATTATATAATATTAATAGAAACAAAGTTTCAAGGATTTTTATATCTGAATTAGTTATTTTTTAATGAATGCGAATTTTGAACTTGTGCCAATGTTATTGTTTTACAACTACTTAAATATTGAACCTTAATTTTAAATCAATTGTTTTTATTCTTCTTCTTTAAACTTGCAATATATTATTATGTACTCTTTTACACTAGGTATTATTGATTGTTCGTACAATTCATTTTATCTTATTTATTTATATATTAATAATCAAAAATATTTGAGGGTTATACGGTTAAAATATTTTATGCAAATAAAAATATAATATATTTTTATGTTTAATATATTATACATTTTCCACCAACCGACCGTTCGATAAATGATCATGTGGGTGTGGGGTTATGGTTAGGGGTTGGAGTCGGGAGGTGGGTCTATGTTGTTGAACGTGTAACGAATTTGGACATGACACAGGAATCATGTTGGAGAGCGAAAAAAAAATCGTGGAAATGATGGACGAGAGAAGCCCCATGTCCAAGTATTGGATGCCGTTGGTATGGGCGACCAACATCATAAACCGAGCTCGCAGGGAGTCGCTCATATCCAGCGACCAGGTGGTCCAGACGCTTCTCGTTGAGCTGTCGGACATCAGGCGCCGACTGGGTTCTCTGATCAGCTATGACACCGTTTGCGTGCCGCTCGTCTACACACAGGTCAGCATTTTGCCAATACCCTACCGACTATACCTATTTATATAAATCTATTCTGTTTAGTATTTTATCGTTCTTGATTCATTTGTGTTTTCATTTCATTATAAAATATACATTTTGTTTTTTCCTAGTCACCTGCTGATTTTATGTTTTCATTTTTCTTAAATAATAAATCACGTCAATTCAAAAAGCATTTAGTCGTTTGATATAATTTTTTTATTGAACACTTGTTGCTAAAATTTTCGTGAGTTTGTTATAAAATATTTATTACAGATAATAAAAAAATTATAATATTAATAATTTCAGCAGATCTCTTGGGAAAACTTGACATGATATTCATTAATAATTTAACTTATTAATAACCGTAGTTATTTCATTTGTTTAATCGTAATAGTAAAAGTGTTGATTTCTTGGTGTGACATTATTTATATTCTTTTTGTAATTTATTTTTATTAATGTTGCTTAAGCTTTGCATGCGCATGTTAACACTAACAGAAAAAAAAAAATGCACGTTTAATTTGGAAATTAAATCGTTAAGTGCATGATACCTATTAGATTATTATTATTTATTATTTACTATTTATCAACGTCGTATTATATTAAAAAGAATCCCGATGATCCTAGACTCGTCACCTACATACAAAAATGTACATCTAAGGATCTAAAACATAATAGCAGTTTTATCAAACTCGAACAAAGAAATTATGGCATATATTTATATACATATTAAATTCTTCAACTAGAATTATTATATTTTATCACTTATTACCTACCAAATTATAGTTGGTTTGGCTTCATGGAAAGTATACAATTTAAATATTTATTATATATCAGCTACCTCAGCCGTGATTTAGCGTTTGGAATTTGAATCAGTGTTACACATAATAAGCTTAGCTTTAATATTGATATTCATATATATATATATACATAACGTATGTGTGTATATTTTAATATGCACATAATAGTACCTATGTGTTATCACCTTAATTATGTACTTGTACATAATGATTTATAACAATACAAATACCACGGTATAGAATTTACGTATTTAAATATTAAATATATATATATATATTATGTACACCGCAGTACACTCAGATATATGGCGGTGTATATTATATGTGTTACAATATAAGGATAACCCCGCGTGTAACATCAGAAAGGTGAACGTTTTGCATGGCAGATAAATTTCACCTGTCACAAGATGTGTCAGGCATGCAAACGCGAAATACTTCAACAACAACGACAGTAATATAATATAATATATTATTATTTTATATTTCTTCGAGAATAATTAATAATAACGCCAAAAAATCACACCGGTCGCGTCCGAGTCGGATTTGGGTATTGTCAGAGTGTGCAGCCACAGCAGATCGTACGATGTGTTCGTTAAACTCGCGCCTCTTGTCTCACTGTTCGTCTGCAGCAGCAACAGCAGCAGCAGCAGAAGATCAATGATATTCGTCATTATAACATTACCTATTATGATTTATCACCGTATAATATAATGGCGCGTGGTGTTTGTCGATTGTTCCCTGCAATATACAAATAGTTAATTATCCCGATTTACTCGATTACGTTGTTGTGATGTGTACGAGTACATGTATACAATATTATATAGGCACACATTTCATGTACCTATATTAGCTAGTTATTGTAAGTGCACATTGCATACGTAATCTAATTGCCGGGAGAAAGTGTAGTACCTACCATGGTTATCGGAAGAGAGAGAAAGACGGTGATAGAGAGAGGGTCGTCATTTTAACGTAGAAATATTTAACTGTTGCTATTTTTATACTCCATAATTTTTTATTTTTATTCTACTTATATAGTTTCACCGAGCGAAATTATTAATTATTTTATTATTGCATACCAGTGCAATGTAAGTTTCATTCCATTAATAACTATTGCTACTGATTTCGAATAATTGTTATAAATATGCATTAATATTGAAATCATAATCGTGTTTGTTGTTTTGCGCTTTTGCCGATACACTGTATTATAATATTATGATATTATACAAACATCTCCTTTTGAAACACGATTTTAAATATATAGATATTATGTTGTTCAGTAGGTGCAAGAGCAGACAAAGCAGTATATTCTATTCAAATATATGTGCAATACCCCTATAAAATGTGTACATGTTTAAAGTGCGTATATCTGTGGGCGTGCAGTGCATTTCGCATTTTGTAATTGTAGTAAATTATTATTCTTTTCGGATCTTCCCGTTTCATAAATTCGACTTTCTTAAATGTTTGTTATGTAAGATATAAGGTACCTATAGACTTACGAAATATTACGACGTGATTGGTTTTAGAAAATTTTAACCAAAATGTTGGTTAGGTCGTTTTATCTACATAATTTTCAACGACTGTCTAAAGTTTGAATCGTCTTTTAGCGCCCTTCCCCTCCTCTAAATCTAATCGGTTATAAACATATCGCTGTTCGACAAACAATATATTATAAATTATACGGATATGAAAATATAATAACGGTTAATGTTGTATAATAATAAAAAAAAAAAACAAAAAAAAAAAAAAAACGTTATCCACGACGAAACACATTTTTTTGTTGAAATATGATGGCGGGCGTAGGTTTGATGATGGATAGCGAGAAGGAGATACTGGAAGCGGTGGAAGCGAAGACTGCAATGACCAATTACTGGATCCCGTTGACTTGGGCTACCAACATCATAAATCGGGCCAGAAGAGAGAAATTGATATCCAACGATCACATGGTACAGACAATATTGTTGGAGATGTCCGACATGAGGTACAGGCTGGGATCACTGATTGGTTACGATAATGTCAACATTCCCATTCTCTATTCACAGGTCGGTATATACTACATACAAAGCAATGTGCACAATTATACAAATTGTTATTTACAGCGATAGGTTGTACATTTTACCCGGGTGCAGGTGTTTTTGCATGCATCACTTCTGTACTGCAACTATTATCATAGTGTATATAGAGTTATCATTTGATTATGAGTATCTTATAATTTTACATTATTAATATTATAGTATTATAGTCTGCGCGCATTCATATAATAATGTAATTTATTTTAACACCGTAAACGTATACTCGTATAATACTGGCTGTAAATTACCTATTATCCATCGTTGCACTCTAAAAAATGTCTTTAACATTTTTTCATATGTTGTTGTATATGTATCTATATTTATTGATCGTTCAGCTCTGCACGTAGGTATATGTCGTATATTCTACGAGAAACCGTTTTATGTATTTATGCACATATATTACTGCTGGGTCACGATTTACCAAAAAAGAAGTTAAGACCTGGGTATGTAAGTACATATTATACCACCTATAGGTACATGTATGAGTACTTCCGACCAAAGTCATTTCATATTAGATATGATATTATATTGTAATTATTATACTCCGACCAGAGACGATCGTAACCTTGGCCGTTCTACAGTTATTGTCGATTCTGCCTTCGGCTTGTGCTAATTTTTAAGTTCCTAATACCTTGGCAAACCGACATCGTACCTTTTTTGCGCTCCCAGCAACTCATAATTACCACTTCGCTAATCACATGATATGACGTCATAATAATGTAGTACAGATTTTTTTAATTAATGCCATGTTAACCATAACAAATATAGATGCATAGGTGTTTTATATATTTTTGTACAATATCATATTATTTTTTACTATCCTTTAATACTTAATTACACGAAATGTATAAATATTAAAAAAAATAAATCGATGTATAAGTAATATATTATAAGTAAGCAGTATTTCCAAGTATTAAAATGTGATGTAACATAAACATTTAAGCACCTGATCATATATATTTTAGTTGAAATAAAATTTTGAATTTTTGAATCTGTCTGTTTTGCTAAACGTTATATACTTATATTTTAATTTTTGTCACAGTTTACGATTGGTTTAATAATAACGTATATGACAGATTTTTCGATATATATGTACTATAAAAGTTAAGAATTTATTGGTTTTACATTTTAATTTATTAAAATGTAGCTAATAGGTAAACTAAAATTTAAAAAAATAAATATTTTTGTGTTAAAAAGAATTTTAAAATTATTTATGATAATTCAAAATATTAATTTAGGTTAATGTAAAAGTACTTGAAATATCATTATAATAACATAAAATCAAAGAGTTCTACGCTTTATTGTAGGTATTTATACATTTTGATCATTTGCCGACCTCAACATTAGCATTTTATTATATTGTCATTGACACATATCTTTAAACTTATAATAGTACTAAAATAATTTATATTTTGTGTAGGTGTTTTTGGAATAACCAATGTACTTATTAAATAATATATAGTAACCTAAAAGATCAATAACACGAAATTTACGATACTGTTGAGATTTGATTAAAAATGTATTCTGGTCATGACTATAGTTTAGTACCTATGTTACAATAGTAATATTATGATGATATATGATAATCAAAACAAATCAAGCTGTTCTATGTAACAGGCAGGCAACTGGAGTTAAAGTTAAATAAAATAACAATATTTATAATGCATCGAATTTCTTACATATTAATTATATATAATAATTTTAGGACGAGTATTTTCAACGATCAATAACGTGCAATATACATAGGTATAATACGTAAAATAAAGTATAATATCATCATGTATAATCATAAATAAAAATATAAGTGAAACGTAAGTTTATAGAAATTAATATTATAATACCTTGTTATTTGGCACCTAATAGTAGATACAAATATTTGATCTAATTGAATATAATAATAATATAAATCATATTATAGATAATATGATTTTTAGAGAGATTTTCTATAAATATAATCCATACGAGTATACGAAACGTGTCAATTGTTATAAGGGTTGTTGTAATCGTTAATTATTTCCGCAAAGTTCCTGTTTCATATATCATAATTTTTTTATTATTATTATTCTAATTGTTGTTTACGATTCTCTTCGGTCTCGCCGATTTAAAAGCATCGGACCATGCAAGGCTGCAGCTCGATATCCGAACGCACTGTACGAAAAAAATACAACAAATGTTACTTACCTAGTTAGGTATATATTAATTCGAGCTGTTGAATATCGTTTGCGGAAACAATGCTGCGATATTTTTGAGGAAAAAAATTGCAAAAAATCATATATACGTACATTTTGTAGGTATACTCCACAACAAAATACAACAATAATGTGCATAATACAGGTATTCGGTCGAGTGATTATATTATATCGGTATCACTAGTGTAAAAATCACCTTGACGGTATAATTTTTCGTGCAATCATTCATAAATTATGTATATACAAAGTACATGTAATACATATGTGCAGGTACCAAGGTAGGTACTTAATGGGTATATTGGTATATAGTTGAATTAGAATCGGATCTGGTGCATTATAGTTTATATATACATTATATTATGACTTCGGTACGAGATTATATTATTATTCAGCCGTACCTTTGTAGCATGTACCTATAGTGTGCATGGGATCGACTGGAACTGATCGGAGCGATCTCGATGGCCGCGATGCAATAGATGATGATAATTATATAGTACCCGGATTCATACACATTTGCATATTATTTTTTGATGTTGATACACGTTAGAGCAACTACGTTGTTATTTATGACGTATTGTGATTTAAAATACGGTATTCAATTTTTGAGACTGTTTCCGCATATACATTTTTAGTTATTAGGGAATTTGTTACGGTTGTAATGGTATTATCATTTAAATGTTTCACAGCATGACTTAATTTTAATTAACTAACGACTGTTGAAAAATGTCATATATTAATTATACCTACTTGTTTTTATTTTTTGTAGATAAAAAACTAAACAGTCAGCAAACATCTGTGAATTAAATTCAAATTGAATATATTCGAGAAAAAATAATCCTAAATAAGTAGCAAGATTTTTTCATACAAAATCTGTTTTGTCAGCCACAATTAATTTATTTTTTTCATTAAATGTTTTATTTGTATATACATTGTTTACAATAAATAATAGTCTATATTTATAAAATATTAATGGAGGACTTTTTAGTGTATGGAGAAAAGCTATAAATGTTTGTAAAAATGTTTTATAAAAAAAAAAAAATGGAAAGTTTATTTAGAATCCAAAACATAAAACGTATACAATAACTGCCATTGTAAATTTTCACTATCATTTAGCTAAAACACAATTTACACGTACCCAACTAACTTTTGGTACACCAGGAAAAATCAAAGCAAATGTATCAAAATCTTAGATCTATAGTAATAGCAACATATACGTATTTAAGTATTTTATATTATGTATTATGATTTATGACTAATTAGTAATTATCGACAACCAATACATAGGTTTATCAAATGTTTATAATGATAATGTCGATCGATGATCTACAAACGATTGTTTAAGCAAACGTCAAACTATGTAGACATACTTAAGTGTTTCTATAATATTAAATTTACAAACATTAGCGGGTTTTTACGTTTCTTGCGGATCGCAGTTACCTGCGACGAACGATACCGTGCGTGGTTACTGGTTGTTGTGAACCCCGAGGCGACTAGTTTTCAAAGAGTCGCCGCAACCGTTCGCATATTAAACGCGTTCGACTGTCGGATAAGACGGTAGCATACGTATTGTATCGTCCAATGAACTCTAGCTATTCTACGCGTAGCCAAAAATCGGATTAAATTTTACGAAATGTGAACGAAATAATCACGTCATATGGAAATAATGATATATTTTTAATGGACACACATTTTATCGTCATTTTATATCCGACGAGATACGCGCCTATATAATTTAAATGCCTCGAGTTGTATATTAATATATTATTATGTACACATTTTGGAGAAATGGGATAATATGGTTTTGTAGAAATATTAAGACAAAGTGGGAAAATAAAATTAGATTTATATTTGACGGCCGATGTTTATTATAATTATATAGGTACACACAGCACTCTATTATTATTTTTATTATTATTTATAATTTTATTGGACCTATTTTATTTTTGATAAAAAGATTATATTTGAGCAAATATTTATAATTTATGAAATTTAGATTTTCGTTGTAGTTACAGGATCCAATATATTCTTTTTTTTGTGATGTTAAAATAAAATTATATTTATCTGAATTATAAATGTCTGAAATTTAGATTATTATTGAAGTTAGGTATAGACTGTACGTCTGTACTTATAAAAGTATAAAAGTATGAATACGGGTTACGAACAGAACATTTTCCAATCAAAATCTTATCTGAATTAAGTTTAATGAAATATATTGTTTAATAAATTATTTCAAATAAACCAGTAACTTATAAGTCATAGTATGGATATGTTTACAATAAATTTTATTATTTTAGATTCTGAGTAGAGTGATGAATATATTAATTTTACAATGTAAGTTATTTATTTAAATAATTTGTATTCTTTAATTACTTTACATAATTAAAATCATTAAACTTTTTTATGAAAAGATTTTACACTGTAAAATAAGTATCTTTGAGCAGAACGTTATTCCTTAAACTTAAAAAGTCTCCTTGAAAAAAAATGCTGTAAACATACAAATACGTATATATATATAATATATACTACTCCCACTTGCACCCACCTTTTATTATGATTAAGGTACTCGCGACGTTTTAAATAACTCAAATTCAAAATACTATGAATATTATGTATACACTTAAAAAAATTAACGATACGTATGTGGTATGATCATTTTAGAGAACTCTTATCCAATATTCTCTAAAAATATCAAAAATATAACAATTTCATGATGAGTAAACGTCCGAAAATTTCATTGAAATGTATACATTTTTACAGTAATTTCTTTCGAAATGTGGGATTGTGAAGGAATATGAAAAATACTATCTATACTATCATATTATTAAATCTATAATCTATGTCGATTTTTAATTGATAATATTTCGATGTAGGTACTATATAGAGCTTATATTGTATAGAACTTGTAGAAGTATTGAACACTTTTACCGTGCTAAAAATTTTATCTAAAGAAAACATTAAATATTTTTTTGAATGAATAATTTTCTTGTTTCACTCATAGGTCATAATTTAAAATTTTAAATGTTAATAGTAATTGCATTGTTTATTTCTTTGAGTAATAATAATAACAATAAAAGCAGTAATAATAATAATTAAATACGGCAAAAATATAATTGTGTACGATTATAATAGTAATTTTTTATGATGAACATTATAAATCTTATTTAAGAATGTCATTATATAAAATTATATATTAAATACCAGGCATTAATTATTATTTTTTAAATATAACACTTTTACTGTAATTGCGGAAAATTATTTAAAAATGTATTATTCATAAGAAATTTAAATAAATTATTAAGGAAAATATTGTATGAAATTATTCAATAATCACTTGTTTGATTATGATTATTAGTTATTACATTGAGATTTATTTATTTATTAATATTATGTGAATTATTAAATTTCATATAAATAGTAGGTACGTGTTAATTTAAATACATTAGATGCATATGATTTTTGTTGTTTAAATATGATAATAACATGTATTTTATTTTTACTGTATATAGTTTTAATTTTTAACACATTCAAATAAAAATTTAAAACAAATATTAAATTTATATATTAATATATTAAAAAAAATTATTAATTTATTATTCACACTAAAAAAAAAATGTATGATTAATTAAATAAAAATGTACATCAAACATGTTATTTACATTGTTTAAAAACAAAATAATTATAGATTGATTTATAAAACTACGATTTCTATCCAATATTTTAAAACTTGCTTTGCATAGGTTTTCTATTATCTATAGCAATAATTTGTATTCACTGACCTTGTAGGGGCTCATGTTAATTATATGGCATTACTAATAAGTTATTAATTATTAAAGTGGTGTTTTAATATCGTGCGGTATTATAATAAGGGATATTCCAGGCTGACTGATGACTAGACAATAGCTAACAATTTGTTATAGCTATAATTACTTTAAAGAATACATATTTTATTCGAGTAATAGAATCTATTCAATAAAATGTTGGAATTAAAACAGTGATTTGTTTTACAGCGTCTACCTATTTATATTATATTATGCATGACTAACGTGTGAAATTATTGAAAATACGAAATACAAAAAGTCGAAATGGCCTTGATGGCTTGACGATTGATATTGAAATAAGTTTTTATAAGCCACAACTACTTGCATCATCAATATGCATTCATGTTTCAACAGACCGTATCGCGCAATGTATTTTTTTCCAACAAAATATTTCGCACGTGTTTTGTACAGTCGTAATTGTCGGTTGAATTTAAATTTGTTGTTTTTTCAACGAAAAACTAGGAATTTACCGTAAAAATGAATTATTTTTTTTATAGAAACTATCACGAAGGAAATACTTATTCCTAGGTAATGTATTAATTGTTTAATATATTTAATTCTCTAACATAATATTAATATACAAGTTTTAATAGAAAATGCCAGATTAAACGAGTATACGATTAAAGCGCCATATATACTAACATCTTTATCGGTCATGATAATATGTATTATAAACTTATACTTGTTTTACTGTTTCATATATTTTAATAAGAGCTTCTTTTATTTTCTTGTAGATATAATATGTAGGTACCCATACTTACTTGTGGTACGTTCGTATATAGTATTTAATTTTTAATTCGTCCACAACAATACACGAATTGATTACAATACTATATACGCATTCTGCGTATAAGTATCTATGTTTTTAAATATTTGTAAACTATTAATTTTGTGCGACAGGTTGTGACGTTGTCGTTGTATGCGTATTTTGGAGCTCAGCTTATCGGAGCTCAGATGATAGAGCCTCCGCCAGAATGGGGTTTCAAGGATTTTAAAGAGTTCGACCTGTACGTACCGATCCTGACGATTATCGAGGTTTGCAGTCTTTCGTCGTAATATTAACTAAATTGTTAAACATTTTTTATAATCTTCGCAGAACGTATACAATATATATTATATATTTGACAATTTTTGAACATTGTGTTTATATATATATATATATTATTTCTATAATTATTTCAGTTTTGTTTCTTCGTCGGATGGCTGAAAGTGGCGGAAGTTCTCATTGGACCTTTCGGCGAAGACGACGACGACATTGAGCTTAACTGGTTGATCGACCGTCACATAAAGGTAAATATTAATTATGATCGTCAAAATATTATCATTTACAAAACCAAAACTGTACAACCTGCAGTAGTAATACCGGAAGTGAATAAGCTCAGAATAAATTCATTCATATCATATTATCTATTTAATTTAAATATATCATTTTTTACTACTTTTGACATCCCTAACAATATTTCATATAATTATTAGCTGTGTTTAAAAATCCTTAAGATAGGATTTGTGTGACAGAAAATTAATTCTTATGAAAATTACGAACAGTTTTTCACCATTGGTAAATCGGTTCGATAACATTAATATATCATATTCTAAAAATGCATACTTGTAGAATTTTTAAACATTTATACGTGTGCCGTGTGCGTTTATCGCCACTAAGTATAAAATATTTAAAGACATCATAGTAGATACGTATTAGTATATACATAGCTAATAAACATTTTGACAATGGCAGCAAGAACAATTGAATCCTATCGTCTCACTATGTCATACATAATAATATTATGTATGCATGTGTACATTTTTTAAAATTAAACGAGTTATTCCAGTTTTCGTTTAAAACAAAATACGCGTACCAACAAATGCAAATTTGTTTTTATTATACATTTATTTTCTATAATTTTAAAGCACAACAATGGTTGGACGACTTTCACATTCAGACTTTACCGTTTATTGAGACCAAACGTAGATACATAAATACGATGTGCGTACACAGTTGACAAATGTTTTCTTAAACTGACGAATGAATGTTATTTGTTTTTTATTCCCGTTAGTAAATAATTTAAAACATTAATTATAAACCATCGCGATTCGCTGTTCGTACAATGTACAATATCCGCGGTTTTCGTTTCTTTTTTGAGGTAAGCACATAAGCGTGACTGAATAAGAGGCCATACTATAATAATATTATAATATTCTTATTCGTTTTAATCGTTCTGTCGGTATTGTCATAATGCCAAACTTAACAAAGTTATAATTAGGGTCAAGGATATTAATATTTTATTAACAATCATAACCCTTTGATTCTTCAATCGTACAATTTAAAGATGTTTCAAAATGCTTCGTATTCCTTTATATGGTATTAACTTTATGTAATCCAATATATCGAGACGCATGATCATTGATCAAATACATAGTCGCAAATAATGTTATTGCGTAAATTTTTTTTGTTTTTTTTTTTTTCTTAGAGTTAATTTTATTAAATCATAATATTGTTTCAATTGGTTAATTTAAACAAAATGCATGCATTTATAAACTTTTAATTCGTTTTAGAAACAAGCATAAGTACAAATAAATAAGGTCTTCTATAGCTATAAAAATATTGATATATAGTTTTTTATTTTTATTTAATAAAATAATTGTAATAATACATTCTTTACATGACGCAGAATCTAAAATAGCTTATTAAATTATTGACGCTATTTATAAAACACTGTTTTACATAATATACCTTCAACTTCTTTAGAAATGTGTTTTGAATAATCGAAAGTTGTAAAAGCGGTTAGTGCTCGCTATTATATAGTAAACACATTATATTTAATTAAAAATAAATAATTGTTGTTCACTCCAAAACTAATATTTTCACAATAATTTCTAGGCCACTTAGATAAGTAACAGTTAATTTGTATTAAGTAAATTTTAGTTCAAGTTGATTTTAAAGTCATCAGTATACTTTAACATTATTTGATGATACATTTTATTTAAGTTTGTATTTATACTTAACTAGTTGCATAAACCGATTTCGCCGATTTCGAATTAGCAAATTTAAAACTAGGTGCTATTTATATCAGTTTATACCTATATCGATTTTAGTATAACTTAGTTCCACTGGCAATACGACGTCGATGTACCTAGCTCTGTAAATTAATTCAACTTAATCCACCTGGATTATATTGGATATGGAACTTAATATATTGTCAAACGTAGTTCAAATTGAAAGTCACTACAATTTATATTTTCTTGATATCTTTAAGAACAATTATTTAAACTTTAAAGTTTTTGTCAAGTCGATCAATGATTTTTGAGTGAACGTGCTATGATTAAACTTTTACTATTATGTTGAAATATTACCAATTAAAAATCACTTTTATTTTTGTGATCAAAAATTCTTTTAATTTTCTCAATAATTAAGAAAAACAAATAGAAACAGCGTGAAAAGAGAATAATTGTAATTGAGGAATTAAGTCAGTTTTCAACAATTTTGGTTTTCTTATTCTTTTTTTTTTTTTTTTTTTGATGAGGTTTAGGTGTGAATGTATGAAATCGGTATAGTCTATTATCTATTGGCATTTTAATATTTTCTATGCACGATAACATTTTTCAAAGTATTCATATAAATTATTAGCTTTTTACTTTACAGATAAATTTACATCATTCTACTACGATAAGACACCATCGATATCGACTAATAAATTACTCACATATAATGATATTGGAAAAAACCGTTTAACTTTTGAATCGAAATAATAACATTATATTGGATGAACCAATCTTATAGTTATAGATTCCGACTCATCTGCTTCCGTCATTCAGAATCATTTTTGGTATACAATGATTTATTATTAAATTAAAATTTAACACATTCATTACAGTGATCTAATATTAATAAGACCCAGGTACATTCTAAATCTAATTTACAGGAAAGGAAATTTACCAATTTGCTTTTGAAAATTAATATTTTATCAATGAAACTACCTCGTCAATTGTAATTTTCGTATAATTATTTGAAACTGTAGTTCAAAATGTAGGCACCGTTGTTATAACTCATAACATTATATTATACTAACATATCACAATTGTTAATAATTATTTTTGAAACTGATATCGTGGTGTAAAGTTTTCAGTTAAGTTATAAAATATGTAACAATAATGCTGGTGAAATAACATTATGTTAATTGTAAACATTTAAAACAGTTACCATTTATTAACAATATGTGAATATGTAAAATATGTAGAATTTCAAAAAATAACAGGTCAACAGGTGATCTAATTATAATTTATTTTTTTCAAAAAAACTTAGGCGTTACGAACAGATATTATGACGAGAATTTATAATTAAAAATATATATATTATTATCAGGCATGAATTTAATATATTATTAGCTAAGTATTAATATGGGCTCATAGTTTCGTTATTTCATAGTATAGACTACAATTATGTGTTATTTGCTATTCTCTCATACATGATTCATAAAGAAAAATTCATTGGTACAGTTTAATGTATACCTTTAATATGTATCATATATATTTAAAGTAGGTAGATATACTCAGTACAGTTAGTAAAAATTTTTAAAAATTTTTGTCATAGTGATATTTTAGGTTTTATTCGCGAAATTTATAAATATAATTTTGTGATTTTAATGTATGAATATTGTTTATATTTTAAATTAAATAAAGTTTCGACAAATTTTTGAAATCATATTTGTTTCAAATAATTATGTCGTACAGCAAAATAAAGCGGGGATACATTCTTTCCAAATCATTTCAATTATAATAAATCTAAACTCAGTATTAAAATAAACTGAAAATCGCAAAAATCAAGACTCTTGATATAAATATGGTCAGTCCAGGATGTAAAAATGTAAATATGACTTCAAGTAGTTAAGAGTATACAGTAAATCCCGTGTTCTAAGAATTTTAGTGAACTTTGTCATTAGGTAAGGTACTATAATATATGTATAAAATGATTGTATATAACGAAATGATTCTAAGCTAATGAGACAGGTGGATCAATTTATATTTCTAAGGATAGTCATATTTTAAATAGGTCATATTATAATATACAATATATATAATATTATTTTTATTTTCTAACTCAGTAGTTTGAAATAGTAACTATTATCAAAAACATTGTGTAAAATTTTTAAAATTCTCCTCAAAACGAAACTTTTTATTTAATGAAATATTTTTGAGAACAAGAATTAAAATTATTTAATTCCAAACGTATTTTTTATTTTTATTCCCTAAGACTTCGTAATATGAAAGTTTCACAATAAATGTATCTATAATCAATATTTGTCAAAAATATCTTGTCTCTGTGATTATTTTTTTCGAATTACAATAAAAAAAATAAAACCAATTTCAAAAAAATTGTGTTTTTATCTTTTTTTTTTTTTAAATAAGAACCTTTTATTTCACAAAATACTAGAAATAGGAAGAGTGTAGAAAAACAGTAAAACATCTATTACTACCAATGCCTAGAATCATTTTTAATTTTTATTCTCCATCATGTCACGGATAGGCTGTGAAAATGAATTCAGCACGCGTTAAACTGTGTATCACCCTGTATATATCTGCAATACTGTACTTTATCGACACGATAAACATAATAATACATTATTGTAATTATAATACAGCGCAGTATCTGCTTAACAATAGTAAAACATGACTAATAATGCATAGTTATCGCACGTACAAGTTAACCACAGACGTGTATTATTTACTATAAAAGTACGTGGTAGGTGTATGCGCACACCGTATATACGCGAGAATTGTGACGTATTTAACATCGTATATATAATTATCAAAACTTCTTTTCGTCCGAGGAATAAGTGTAATATACATTGGTTTTAGTTGGGACTACTTATGTACACTGTAAAGTATTTTGTACTGTAATATTGCAAAAGATAACTATTATAATGATTAATAACAATACGTCAATGATCAATACATTATTATAATTATTGTTCATTTATTTACGTCTAAGTAGACAATTTTTAACATAATTGTACATTTTTTAAGTATTAATAATAAACAAGTTTAGTTAATGTAACGTATTAACCGTTTTGTTTATAATTTAAACTGTTTAAAGATAATTTTTCATTAATTATAATAATATTAAAATTATGATAAAATTTACAAAGACTGTAGAATTGAATCAACGACAGATATTATTTAGCAACATTAAATTCCGTGTGAATTTTTTCCATCCCTTCTGTCTTACACTGTAAGGAACGCACCAAGGGAGTATTTGAGTAGGTCGAGGGGGGCGTTGATACATGATTGCGGAAAGTTCTTATCGAGATGACCTTCTTAAAAACACAATTGCGGACGGTTATAGTTAAACAATGGACTCTCAAAAATGACAAATGTTGTCAAATTTATAAATAGTACTTTGAAAGAATTAGATAGGTAAGTTTAGGACACCACTCATCTTGCAGATTATTGAGTCGATCAAGAGTAAATATTGAACATAGTATCACAATGTAGCATAGTATCTCATAAATAATAGTATAAGAAAGTAAGTATTAGTTCACCACGTCATGTTTGGAAAACATTTTTGTTATGTTAAGTAACGTATACAATAATATATTGGATGAGTACTCTGGTTAACCTGTGATTTTTAGTGATTCCTTTACTTTCATATATTTTATATGTTGTAGTTCTTGGAATTGATTTTGCCCGATAGCTATAACAATAGAATGCATATATTTATGGTCAAATCACAAAAAATATAAGGACTATCTCAATCGGTTCGACTTAGCAGGGTGCCAAATATTATAATACGATTGTAGAAAAAGACTCGGGGTCGTATAGTATAAGTACATACAAATCACAATAACGATATTATATTATTTATTACTATTTGTTTGTGTACAGGCGGCTTATATGATCGTAGACGAAATGCACGAAGAACACCCGGAACTACTGAAAGACCAGTACTGGGACGAGGTAGTGCCCAAAGATCTGCCGTACACAGTGGCATCAGAGCACTACAGGCGCGAAGAGCCCAAGGGGTCGGCTGAGTGCTATAAGGTCAAGGAGTCAGATTCGTTGTATGCGAATATGGCACCGATGCATCACATGCACAGGAAGACTGCAGTGCCCGAGGACGTGTACGCAGACTACGTGAGTACAATATAATATGGTATAATAATAACAATAATAATTTATATATTATAATATTATTGTTTATATTTTTCAATTTGTAATTTGTTGTTTTTATTATTATTATTGTCGTTTATATATAAACATTGGTTAAGAGTCGACATCGCTAGGGTTTACTCCCCCAACCATCATGCCTCACACCAATCAATCACCTTTAACCTTAATCGACTTCCCCTTCTATCTGACGTCGAACCAATGTTTCTTTTTTAAGTCTCCGGCAGCTACAACTGCTTTATAGCTACAGATGACTCGGCCGATGTCCTGTCCGATCACGATAATTGTACCTATATGCGAATCACGTACCACACCGAATCGTCGCGTGTTAATATCATCATTATTATTTTGCAAAAGTATTCGAAACAACGCACAATGTCGTTTCCTCATTCCTGCACAACGAATTAGTTTTATATTTTCAACATAACAGTAAAACTTCCTATTCTTGTGCACACACGATAACCGAAAATATATCAGAAATACACTCTTTAATCGATTTATCACTCGATCATTTATGACCAACATTCAAGACTTATAGCACTTACAATTAATGAAATACGTAGGAACTATCATTGATTATAAATACTAGGATCTAATGTATTTAAAAAAAAGAACATCAAATTATGCAATATAATGCAATATAATACATAGTAGTGTAATTCGTATCTACTGAAAACGTGTAATTAAAACTCAAAACACTTAGTTATTAGAATAAAAATATAAAAAAAAAATATGATTTACTAAGTTTCGAATGATCTTGAGTGTTTAGTTGGTTGGGATGCTATTCCATTAAAATCGTCTGACTAATTGAGAATGAACGTATTTTAATACTAACTGATGTAATAAATTATAATAAAGAGACATAGGCATTTCAAGTAGATAACTATTGAAATAATATATTGCTGTATTAATCCATACGTCATACTCTTGTATCGGTTACAATAGTTTTTAGAATAAGGAAACAAATAAGAGGCATTCGATAAGTATTTAAATACTTTAAAAAATATATATCTAAATAATATTAAAAGTACTTGAAATAATTTTATTTGAATAGTATTATTATTTATTAATATATATTCAAAATATTCTTTATAGGCTGAATTGCAATATTGCTATTGCTACAATAGTCTCGAATCCTCAATATACGAATGAGTCGATAAAGGACAGATCATATCGTATAATCTATTTGTTTTGTGAAAGAGATAGCCACTATTGTATATCTGTTTGGTAGACCAAAACATATTTTCAAAACCTGCCCATATTCTGAATAATAACAATCCCTGTGTGTGTAGAAGTAATATAATTATGTACTTACATCCTACACACTCCTGTTAGGTATATCGGCTGCTCGCAGTGTAGAGATTAATGAACCCGGACGGGTAAGTAAAATATACTAAATTATAAATTATAATTTATTGTGCCCACCGTGTTTATATTTTGGTTTTGATTTTTTTTCTGTATACACGTGTTTGGTATATGTGCGCGTACCTATATTCGATCGAAGGTCAAGCAATCGTGTAGGAATGCATATCGCGGAGTCTCAGGCGCACTATAGGCCACAGGTGGCGGTAGTATAATTGTAGTCCATACATATATATGTAATAAGTAGTAGTTATAATAATAATAATAACAATAATACGTATTATTGTTGTACTGCGATCGACTAGGTCGGTCCGGTTACTATTATTTGTGTTTGCTGTGTATGTATAGGTACCCTTTATATTACCGTCTAGCTATCTGGTTGACCACGTCTGCAATTTAAAATATCGTATAACTGTCGAAAATCCAGTTATTTATTCTTTATTCCACTGTTTATTTCTTCAAAATTAAATGTCATGGATACGAATTAGTTGTCACTTTTTGTTTTATTTTTTATTTTTATTATTATTAGTTTGACGTCGATGTGAGTTGAATTCACAAATCGACGCGTTTTCTAATGATGATTGAGCCTAATGCGCATGCGTAATCATAGTAAAATCGTTTTAAAATCCTCTACTCCTCCAATGAAATAATATATTAACCAATTATTATAATTATAATAAATAATAATATATGTACAATTGTACAGTACACATGTAACATGTACTAAGATAAAATAGATGGGTGGCTTTTGAGAAAGCAGAACATACTCGTATGTTGTATCTGAGGATACTTTCGTTTATGTTTTCAAAATGTTTATGAATATAATCAAGTGTATGACGTATTATAACGTTGCGATAGTTTGAGACGCTTATCTCATATATTTTATCTACGTGATTAATTTATAATGGAAAACAATTCATTTAAATACTATACAATAAAAAATATTTTTATCATCATTCATTATACGTTATAAGTTTATATTATAAGATTTTCTATACTTACAAAACCATTACAATGTAAGATTATGCTAAATAAACGATGTATGGTATCATATATATTATAATATCATGAAACTATGAAGCCATAAAGGCATGGGTGGACTGGGAGATATCGGCCCATACACATTTCATTCCAACTTTTTATCTACTGACAGAAATTTTTTTTCTTTGAATAAATCTACTTTTTTGATCAGTGCGTCAAATATTGAAATATGTAATATACTCGTTCGTGAACCTTTTATAGAACCTCTGAAATATATTAAATATGACTAAATACATCGGTATGATCTCAACTTGGACAAAATATCGTTAGTCGGCGAAGGTATGTTTTTATTATTACTGTATTATGTTTAATTATAACGTAAACCTGTCTGCGTTCTTCGGCAGACAATACTAACAGCAGACAGTGTGACATAGCTCACACGCACAGAACCAAGTCGAGAACATACCAATGTATTTAACTATGATACTAAAAATAACCTTATTGAGATTATAACAGTGATCAAACCATATGCTCAAGATTTTAGTTTTTGATTTGAATTGGTGGAAAAAACGTTAAGCTAGATTTACTAGCAAAATATAATTTATATTAACAGTTAAATTTTTTCTATATATTATTAATAGTTAATAAATACAATAGTAAATAATAATTACTAATATCTTTGCATAAACAAATTGTTAACTGTGACCACATAGTTAACGGTACTTCTGTAAATTCCCGGTAATACCATAAGTAAAATATGAGGATTCTTTTTGTTATTGTGGATAATTACATACTCATCTTGATTTATGTATTTTATAGAATAAAATTATTTCAAAATTCTATACTACAGATTATAGTTATTGATGATTAAATACAGTTTATATTAAATTTAAAACAGAAAAAATATACCTATAATCAATATAATACTTATATTATTCAACTGCTGAGGAAACCTTTTTTTTATTAGTTTTAAGATCCTGAGAAGAGCGAGGAAACTAAAGAAAAAAATTGAATTTAAAAAAATGTTTTGTTGATCATTTATTGTTACTGTACCTAAGTAACACCAGAAACAACAACATATTATTCATTATTTATAATATGTAGTGTTATGTTTTATTTTACATAAACCAAGACAAACAGTTTTGTATAATTGCCATGGAAAAAATCTTACAATTTTATTCCTTTATGATAAATTACCAGCTTTAACATCTTATTTTTTTGTTACTTGAATGCCACACACAATGGTCAATACTCTAGGTCTAGGGTAACAGAATACGTTTTTAGCAAAAAACTTTACTCAATGTTATAAATATGAATGACTAACTGATAAAATAATCAATTAGCGATTAGACATTAGTGATAACAAAAATTTCATGAGGGAACACAAAAAAAATGAACGTATTCATAAATAATAATTATTATTGTCTTCATAGAGTTGCAGGAAAATTATTTTAAAATAGAATTCGTCATCCAATCAAGTAATTTTAATTATTTTACCATTTAACAAAACAATATTGTTTTTCTACTAGAAATGTTTAGTAACAGACTAAATTTTTTATTCGCCAATTACCATATAGATACCGTATTACCATACGTACATTTTAGGCGGTGGCTACCAATGTGGACTTCGATATTAAAGTTTTCAGACGTCTTGATTTTTAAAATTTGTTGCAGTGCCCTATACATTTTTATTGAGGTTTTGACACGTCTTAGAGATATTTGTTATTTTAAATTGGTATTGCATCATTTTACCTTTCTGCGATGTTTTCCGTTTTTGCATCTATTTATTCTATCAAAATATTTATTTATTTATTATTATTCTTTATACTTATTATTTTTAATTGAACAGAGAATTCCTCATCCCTAGTTGCAAAAATAAGCATAATTTAAGTATACTTTTTTATTTTTAAATCTGATTTCCACACTGACCAACTGGTGCATATTTTTAATAGAAATTTTATTTATCACATTACCTACTTTTAATATTTATCACGGATTGATTAAAACATAAATATTGGATGTATTTATAATTCATTATTAATATACATTTTACAAAATGTATGGCTTGGTCATGACCTTACCTATATTAGCACATAGTCGTGGATTAAAACTATTTGATATTAAAAATAAATGTATTATAATAATACCATTAAATATTCATAAGCCTATATTATACTGAACCGGCCAGCGTCCTACAGGTTACAGCACACCACTACTCTTGGACTCTGTAGTCTGTATATAGAGTGATTAAATTATCACAGAATCCTCTATATTCCTTAACCTAACCTAGATTACACACTAGATCTCAGGAGTAAATCGCTTTTTTATTGCTAGGTTGACTTATATTAAAGAATTAGGATTAAAGTAAGGCAATTTCTCTATGATAAATAAATTAACCTCGTGTAGAAAAATTAATAGACGTGCTATCCACCCTTCGGAATTGTTAAATTTTAGTTGATTTTTCTGTAAATATCATCAAGCAGAGTGTATACTTATATTGTGTTCGGAATGTAACTAGATTATAACTTTGGTAAAACTTAAAGTTTATGAGGTTCGCTATTAATGATAGTTATGATTCATACAAAATACATGTATACTTAATATTTAAAATCATATTTAAAAAAAGTCGTTTGGTTTTGTCAGTAAGATTTAATAAACGATAAAAATTTTAATTTTTAATTAAAGACTACATTAATCGTTTGCAGCGTTTATGCATAGGTATATCTACATTCTACAGTTATACGTAACAATATGTCAACTTATATAGTAACCATCATTCATATCAAAAAAGTTTATAAATAATATTTTTTTTAATAGAAAGATGGTTTATAATTTTATTCATCATTTTTTAACAAAATATTAATTTGTGCGAATGGTTTATTTTTCTAGGAAAGCGTTGACACACCAATGGCCGAACGCCGTAAAAATTGGTTCCAAAGGCAAATACATCGGGTAGGATCGATTAGATCGTCATCGACAACTTATTCGTCTGGTGGTCTATTCAATCGAACCAGGCACAATTCGGTGTACTCGAGCCCGGAAAACGGCTTACCTGTGACAGCAGGCATAAACGGCCACGGTCACATCAACGGTATTAATGGAAGCACACCACATTTGCAAAAAATAACGCTGTACGACCGACTATGGGGTAGAAAATCTATGAAAAGTCGACGAGGTAGTACCCAAGGTATTTATGTTTCTTTTAACTTTAAAGAATACATTTTTTTAACAAATTAACTTCTTTGAATACAATTTATTTTTAATTATTTAAGTTATATCAAGATGTAGCTCAAAAACATTATATTTAGCATTTTATTATAATACGCACACAAATTACATTTAGATGGCAGTTGTATATGTACTATATACTATTATATATATACATTAATTGAAAAAATTGGAATTCTTCACTAATATTAGTTTTAAAAATAACAGTCATGTATATTAGTTTGTAGAATGAGTGTAATCAGCTGTTAAATTAATATGTAATTTTTTTCTATTACCCTACTAACAGAGGTAGTTATTTTAAAACTACTCGTTGATTATACAAATTACTTGGTATTACCTATTTCACTAAATATATGTATAATATACGTTAACGTGAAAAAATCGGAAAAACACTGATTAAGTGTTTAATATTTCACGTATTTTTAAACATCATCAACGAATAATGATTCGTTCTGAAGGTCGTCATGTTAATAACTTGTTTGTTTGTATTTGTTTTTTATTGAGCAGAAATTGACGAAATGCGCGTACAGTTTTAACAATTTAAATAGTTATTATTCGAGTGCGTCATCGTTGTATCCCATTAGCTAAGAAATCCATATCAATGTGCGCATAGAGATATTAACTAGGTATAAAAACTTTCTTGTAGTGTACTATAGTGTATACCAATCGCAAAATCTTATGTTACGAGTTTCGGAACAAAAATTACGCGGAATCATTGTCGTAATCACTATAAATCTACAGAACTGCAGGTTTTCACTTTTTTTTTGCACTACACGCGAATATTATAATATTGTGTCAGCCATTATAATATATTAGATAGATACATAACGTATAGGCGTATAATAATATATTTTGGGCATGTTCTTAAATAGCAGAACAGGAATTTTTCAAAATTTAAATATAAATCCAAAGCTGCAATCAGTAATTTCACTAAATAATACACATACGTTTTATTTGGTTTCTATATGCAACCCACTCATCTATATACTTATAAAAATATTTATTCGACGTGATTTATTAAAAGTTAAATCTTTTTTCTACACACATATTGGTAATAATATAAAAAATAATGGTTTTTGTTTTTGCTAATCAAAATAATGATTTTTTACGAATATCCATTTGTGTAGGTTTAAACTAGTGACCGACATACTGTGTAATCTGTATCTTGTACAAGTATACAGGAAAAATATCTATTATCTAAGTTTTGAATAGTTTCTAATCACGTAGACTTAAAAGCAATTTTTTCGATTATCAATTAATAATTGTTAACATATAGTGTTACAAATTTCAAGTTAAATCCATTTCAATGTTTCTTACAATTATTTATTTTACAAAAAGAAAGTCATCGGATACCTAAAAGTTTTGATAAGTTAACATTTTTGATTTAGTTTTATAATGACTTAATAACAGAGTACAAATTTTTGCTTCATTTAACAAGAATATTATTAACAATTTGTCTGGCTCGTTAAGCTCTGTGTAGATTATATAGAGTAAGTGCTACTTGTATTCGCGTATAAGCATTTCGCGTGATATGTAATTATACTAATTCCCGATTTAATTTCGCACTAAGTCAAATTTACGATAATGTAATTGAAACGGTAATTATTTCATACGAATTAATATGTACGTTAAATCGGACATCACGCAAATATTCGAGTAAATATTGTAGAGACTAAACAAATTTAACTTAGTAGGTAATTAATGGTATGAAAACTGGAGCTATCATTTTTCCACGTATTTTAATTGTACTGTACGTTTTAACGTAGGTGCTCAATACCCGCTATTTTTTATAATATAAATCGTGAATTTATAAGTTACAAATATTCAAACATCACGCGTAGAACACTGAATGGGTCAACTTCTAAAATATGAGTCCTATATACATTTATAATTATAAATTATAATAAATATGCAAATTTTTAATTATTATTGCGTAAAATACAATAAATTGAGTTCTTAAAAAAAATTGTATCTTATTATTTTTACATTTAAAAATTGTGTGTATTGTTCTTATTATAATTAAAAAACAAAATAATTATGTGATTATAATTAACAAAATAATTAATTCAACTCAGGTTAAATTTTATTCACTTATATAATACAGAATATTCAGTACATTATATGATAGTCATAAATGTGAAGTCGATATAGAAATAAGATAAATAATATTAAATTTTGTTATAATAAATTCCAATTACCTTTTAAATAAATATTATGTAATTATTAACTACTTTAGTTTATAGTCTCACTCCATATTTGCATATCCAATACGTTCATGCAACAATGCAATATTGCTGTGCAACTTTCAATTATATAATATGATGGTCAAGTCCATACTTGAATCTCTTTTATGACAAAAGTCCGTCACGATTATCATGATTTAAATGGCTATATTGAATAATATCCATTTTAAAATTTTACAAATATTTTGTAATAAAGTAGTATTGTTTTTTTTGTTTTATACATATTACATATAATTATATATTTAATACTTTTTTTTCGTAGATATCGACCTTTTATTGAAAATTAAATATTAGCCCTAATATCACACATCGATGAACTGGGCGTAAACAATAGTTTTTGAGTCTATTAATCTATTAACATTTAGCATAACAATTTTCGTACACATATTAATTTTTAAGTCGATTCTACATTTTATCAATTTTTATGATGATTTAATTTCGTGTTGTCTCCTATATTATGTACGACTTTTTGTATTACCTATTTCGTAATTATTTGTGTATATATGATAGTTTGACACGTAACGATTATATACATACATTCATAACACTTAAACTTATATGTTGTAATCTAAAAAATAAAATGAGAATAGAATATAAAAGGGGTATTTTGATGCGCGAAGGACTCTTCGGAATCGCAGTAGTTATAACACCGCTGCTATTCCCGTTATGTGTCTGCCGTTCCACATTTTAAATCAGTTAGTCGTGTATACATAAGTATGTACCTATACACTACACAGTATATATGTAATCCTAAGGACAATAAATATCGTACGTTTTACTTTTAGGTTCGAACAAGATTAATGGGCAAATGAATGCCAGAGGAAGGCCTAGAATTCCGACGCCGGATGTGCAAAAGGACAGTGCTGTCGATAAGGACAACAAACAGAGTATATCCGTCAATGGTTCTACTCAGCCAGGAACGTATTCGTCAGATTTGCCCACAGTCGTACAGGTACAATATACGATTAGTTTTTATAAGTATAGTTTTAAAAAAAATATAAGGTATATTTAAAAAGGAGCTGTTATCAATCGTTCATTATTATATTCGCTAGTAGATTCGATAAAACTGCAACGTATACATACAAGTCGGTTATTTAAAAATCCATATATTCTGAAGTCTGAAATATCTAATTTTTAAAGTAGTCCAGTGTAATAAGTGTCTAATAATTAATAACTTATAGAAATGTAATAATATAGGTATACTTTCTACTATTGGGAAAAACAAGCAAAAAATTACATAAAAACGTGAATTTTTAAACAAATTCAAAATTATTATTAAAATAGTTGTTTTTTTAACCATACTTCTAAAATGTGGACAATCTTTCATCAGAAATTTTTTTCATAATTTATTTTGGTTATTACTGATTTAACAAAATCCATTATTGTGATATATTCAAAAACAGCAAAATGATACCCACTTGTTTACTTTTTTTTTTGAATAAATGTCAATAAGAATTTATTTACTGGGTAAAGTTCTTGAAAATTAAATACGATATCCCACATAAATCGTTTTTATATGTATGTAAAAATATTAAAAATACTTAGCCACAATTTTTTTTCTTATGCATTATATGATATTATTTGTTTATATTATAAATCTATTTTTACTGTTTTATTGTATTAACAAAAATATATTATTAAATTTTGATTTATAAAATTTAATATGATATATTATGAATATAAATTATTATAATAGTTAAATACTAATAATAAAATAAATTTTTTATTATCATTTTTTTTTTTTTTTTTTTGGAAAAAAAGTGCATCAATAAAAACTAACTTTAAAATAAATAACTTAAATACCTTTATTAAAAAAAAAAATAAAACTTATGAAATAAACTTAGTGATATAGGCTGACGGACAATTTCCGCTTGCTCAGAATCGTTTTTCGTGTACAATCAAATTATAATTAATTTCAAATTTAACACATCCATAATAACACCCATTTTTCTACCTTTTTTTAAACGAATTTCTGCACTGCATGTTATTTCAGGGTCGGATTAAAGAGGGTCAGAGAAGGTACCGGCTCTAGGGCGCAAGACTTTCAAATATACGTATATTTCTGTACGTAAATAATAATTAATATTTTGCTAAACACCTGCCATGGCACATTATTTACCATTGAATTCGTATTTCTCAAAATTAGTAATGTACCATAATACATGATAATAAGTATCATATAAATTTTGTTCCATGGTTTTGATATTTTTTTTATTCTCTTGAATATGTTCGTTAAACAAAATTTTAAAACATTTTCATTACACTATGTATCAAAACTATCATAAATTTTCAACATTTTTTGCAAATTTATATAAATTATAATTAAATTTTGGATTGAAACCAACTTATTGTGTGGAAAATGTGTTTTCTAGTAAGTAAAAAGGTCTCAAATTATTATGCTATTAGTGTAGCATTTCTTAAACTATGTTCCGCGGAACTCTGGGGTTGAATCACAGACTATTAAAATGATCGAAATCGGGTTGAATCGCTGGACCTTGAAGATCGAATTGTTTTATTATGTCCAAGTTTTTATAATATTTATAATCGTTTTCAAAATATTTAAGCATTTAAGAGAAGCGCAATTTATTAATACGAGGCTATAATCGTAGAAAATAACTAGGTAATCATAGTAGCAGTTAACAGCATAATATAACTATAATTATATTCATGATATAATTAAGTACGTAGTACTAAAATTTTAATCAATCATTCAATACGTAATTATTAAAATCTGAACAATAAAAAATTTTGCAAAATGTTGAAGCAAAAATTAAATACCAATTTAGTACTGAAGGTTACCTAGACAAATATAAGTGTATACCTATATTTTATTCCTAATATATATATATGCAATAAAACTATTATTTCTTTGAATTGTTTTGGCCTATATAAATAATATAGGGACAAGGTACCTATATTACATATCTCGAAAGTTGAGATGATGTTATAAGTGTTTTGTATTATCACTGTTTAATCGATATCTGAAAAATTAAATCTATAAAGATTATTTCATGCATCTATTTTTGTTTTGTACATATTTTATATTATGATCTTTGTAAGAAGAGTTTAAACGTGTGTATCGACTTGGACAACACGAACACATTGCATTTAATTAGTTAAAGCAATAGGTAATGCAATATTTATTAATACCTACTTGTTTATTTTAATTTTGAAATTCATATTTATTGAAAACATCATATTTGAATACAAGAATTGGCAATTGGCACGTTTATTGTGTGATTATTCTCAAGTATTGCATTTATGTAAAAATTAGAATATTATAATCGTGTTGTACAAATAAATTATTCAAAGAATAGTTGAATAATATTTGAATAATTTTTACTAGACAATAAATTCATTGATTCTAATGAGCCACTAGGGTGGGTGTTTTAAAATTCTAAGTGATATAATAAATCATCACATAATAACCTAATCATTTGCAAAACAGTGTTCTGAGTGGTATAACGTTTACATACAAATTATCACCATTTATTTGTTCTAATGATACAATAAAAAAATTTTAGATACATATTATGAAATTCTAATTTTTTTTACTACACACTGTATAGTAATATGTAATTCATCATATAATGAAAAACAATCGAGTAAAGGATATAGTGTTTGTGAATTTTTGATATTTAGTTTAACGTATATTTTTGTGGAAGATTATTATGAATCGTATCTTGTGCGAAAAAAAGTTCTGAATGGAGAGCGGAACAAATAACGCTTGTTCAGATTATTTTTATATTTTTCGACTATTATCCATAATTTATTATATGCGTTGTAATCCATAATAACTATATAGGAAAAATTCTAAAATTCACTCCTTATAATCTATTTCTTTCAAGAATGCAATTATTCAAAATCTGACTTTTAGAATTGTATGATATCTATTCAAAGATTATATTTTCAAACGTTTGAGATTTTTTGTAGATACTTCTTAAGAAATTATATACAAACTTCTGTTTTTAAATGATAAGAATCTCTTTTCTATTATAAATAATTTAGCGGATATTTTTCTGAAAATAAAAATTATAGGACTATATTTGTACATTTACATATTTTTATTTTATTCATTTTGAGAACTTGTTAAACGAATTATATGATTACGTGAATGTTACGATAAAGTAAGTCACAGAATTTAGTAATTGTTTACAAATAATTCCTTTTTGATTTTTAAACATTATTTTGGTAATTTCAACAACCCACCCATGTTATGTAACTTTATTTAAATTACCTGGTTAAGTAGAATATTGAAGGTTTTTTAAATAACTCTAGAAATTCTTAAAACTTATAATAAATTAACAATAAAATTCAATGAAATAATGACTAAACATATTCAAATACTTAATGTTTCATGGTAGATTCTTTTTATTCCTATGCCGTCAAGGTTTACAAACAGTATGTTGTGAAAATATTTCAAATTTAATTTGAATTATATAACTGTACTTAGAGTTAAAGTGTTCATGAAATTCCAGTATTAATAAATACATCATACAAGTTAAGTTACATGATTTTTTTTAATACTATAATATTATTATATTTTATGTACAATATTATCATCTCATAGTATATGATTGATTATAATTTATAATTAATACTATTTACATGTTTAAAGTTAACTTTTTTCAAAATTTATCGAATATTTTTTCATATTCAACAACTTATTTTTAATAGTTATTTTAAAAACATGTATAGTTTTGAGTGGAAATTTTTATTAAAACATTTAAAGAAATCGTACTAAGAAATTCGAAAATGACCTAATCTTATACTGTCGTACTGTTGTTTAGACTCAATGTCTATTCATATGAAAGTGTTACACAAAATGATTCCAGTATTCATCGTTTCAAAAAAATATAATAATAAAGGAATAAAAACTACATCGTTGCGACCAGATGTTGTACACAGTCTTTGCTCCGTTCAGAATTTCAAATATTCCAAAAATGTTTAATAGTGAGATGTGACCCTCCCACCCTTTTCTCGCATACTATATTTCTTTCTCTCTTTATAGTATGTTTATATATATATATATATATCTTTCTCTCTTTATTCTCTACACGTATTTTATTATTTGTATTTAATATACAATAATGACCCTATGAAATAACTTGGGGTGAGTCTACAATCGGCTATACTGATGTAACTAATGTTTCTTTGTCTGCTCATTTCCTACCTATACGTTTTAAGACGTACATAATTAAATATTCAAACACTGAATTAAAATGAATATAATTCAATATTTATAAGTTCTAAAACATATACACCTATAAATTTCCAATTTCAGATCTTTAAGTAGTGAGAAATTATTTTTTTATCTTTTGTATAATATTTGTACAACCAAAAATTAGTTAACTAAACAGAGTGATCCATTTAACCTAAGACACTAGTTAAATTAATATATTTATCTTTACATAATTTTAAGTCTTTATAAACAACATTTTAGGGAAAAAAATATATGTTTACCAGTTGATTCTCATATTATTTTTAAATTTTTTACCTTTTTAAATATTCAGGATTTGGTGGATTATTTTTAATCCTTCAAAGGAGCAAATTTGGACTTGACTGCAAGTTAAAATAGCCTGCAGTAGTATTAGTATATGTAGGTCGACAAAGAATTTATTACAGTATTTAAATACCTATACATTATAATATAAAATTCATAAAATATGATACTCATTGTAAATATTTAAACTTAGTAATATCGTCTTTAACCGTAGATTCAGAAACCGATTTTGCAGTCTTTGCACGCAGCAGTCACCGAAGGGTGTGTTACTGTCAAAATATTACGGTTAAAACGAATTTACTAAACACATATTTGTCGTTACTATACCCCAACGATTTTAAACAGTAAATTTTCGCGTGATTCGTTTGTTTTTTCAATTCCCTGCCGCCGTTTTCGTACAACATATAATAATATTGTGGTCTTGAGTTTTGGCATACCTATTTATAAGTCGTATTTCAGGTTATCTGCAGCCGTATTATATCGGTCGAACACGACATCTTTAAAATTGTGTAGGTACTTACCGGCAACTAAATACTGGTTATCGACTATCGTAATATCGGAACAGTTTATGTACAACATGTTGAACAAAATAAACAATGGTTTGAGCTATTTTGAAAAATAAAAATATTTGATAGAAATAATTATAACACGTCCTATAAAATAATTGCATATACGTACACCTAAATTTATATTTCGTATTAACTTTAAGTAACAATACCCATCTACCAATTTGATATCTCTATAATCTATTAAGAACAGAGAAAATAAAAATGTTTATTTTGTATTAATTCAAGTATCTATAGAGTATATTATCAAATCAGTTTTATATTACTCTACCCGAAAATCCTCTACATCATTTAAAGTGTAATTGATCGCGCGATCGCCTTAACAAGTAACTAAACAATAAAAAGAATAAAACACACTACCTAATAAAAAATAAAACTATTCAAGTTATGGTCACTAGATGCTTTCTTTATTTAAATCGTCAAATCGTGTAATCTTTTATGATTATTGCTATTATTATTGTATACATATTGTATATAGAATTTTATTATTATATGTATAAAAATGAAGATAAACTAGAAAACATATTATTACAGTTGTAATTTTCTAAAATTATTGTATTCATTGTTTCAAAAAAAATAAATAATAGATAATAGAAAAAAAATAGTATTGATGAGGGGACAAATGTCAAACACTCTGAACAAACTGTTGTCTTAAATAAATCGTTAAAAATCATATGATAATATGTGTAGATTAGCATTTAGAAAAACCGGCATGATCGATGTAGGATATCGCTACCTTAACTGCTGTAAGTTATCACAGCCGCATACGCCGCAGTGACCTATGTTAGAATAAACGTAAATCATTCACGTTCACGATCAATGTCAAAAAAGAACACGTTCGCTTTGATTTTTTTTTTTCATATCAACACGTTTATTTTATTATTTTATTTTAATTTTTTCTATTTATCATATTATGTGAACGCTTTAATCGGGTCGTTTGTCTATAGTTTGTCGGTCGTTTTTTATTTTTTATTATTATTTCTTTTACCCCGCGTTTGTCACGGAACAACGAATTTATCATTTTTAAAGTCATTATTCGAGATGATCATAAATAATTAAATTAATCACGGTTTGTTTGATAATAGAAACACGAAAACATATATAATATAGTGTGGTCGGGTCCGGTTTCGCCCAACATGCGCTTTCGTCTGAATCATATAAAACTGATTTCGTTTTTGCTCAAACCAGATAAATAATATATCTTTTCGTTTTTTCTCAGAACACATTTCATTATTTTTTGTTTCATATCCGTTATTATCAATAACCATTTTTTAAGTTCTTATTTCAATAGCAAATGAAAATATTTTAATATTTATTATTCGGTTATATATGTATTCCATTCGGGAACATTATTGTGAATCGTATAGTAACGTATTGTAATAACTAATAAATAAAATCAAAAATTTATTTCTCAAATCCTTAGAAAATACTTGGCTAACGACTAACGAGTTTAAACATGTTTTTTTTTCAAAATTTATATTTTTGATAGTCGTGTTTAACTATGTTTTTTTCTTTGTTTATGAGTAATTTTAATAGTTGTGCCGGAAACAAGTTTCAATTATATTTAAAAAGATGTCAGTGCACTATTTGTATTATCTCTCTCTTTCTCTCAATAGATACAATTAGTGTTCATTACCAATCTTTTGTTGTTAGTCTTAATATAATAAGAGTGAATTTTTTATATTATCTAACTTAAAGTGTGTAAGAATATTATCTAAGGTAGGTATATCATACGATTTTATCGACGTTTAAATTAAAAAAAAAAAAATTATGCCTACGTAAAAATTACAATTTACTTTAAACTATTCTTGTTGTTATATATTTTTTACATTGTTTGTTCTTATTATATAATATATTATACCCTCCTAAGTATAAAATTAGGTAGGTACCCCGAATTTGCACTATTCACACTGTAATTATAATGAATATGTTTAAAAATGTTCATGAAATAAAAATTTTAATTAACAACTTTAGTTGTTTGTTTCACGAAACATTCGGGCTTTTAGTTTAAACCAGTAGTTCTTAACCTTTTTTAGTTCAGCGTCCCCTTTATCGTAATAACTAATTGTTAACGCCCCCCCCCCCCTTGTGCAAAATCAAATTTTCTTCTTATAAATAAATATATATATATTTATATTTATTTATTTATTCATCAGTATATTATAATATTATTAATTAAAGTTCAATTAATAAACGTAAAATGTGATTAGATAACATATCGTATGCCGTTGCATAGCGTACGCAATTGTCGCAATTACAACTATTCTGATTTCACGTTCAATTATTTGTAATGTTGTTATATAATAATAACAAATTATATTATTTTTCATTTCCGAGTTTGGAAAAACTCCAGAGAGACCGAAATGCCCCCAAGGGGGCGGCAGTACCGCCCCCGTTAAGAACCACTGGTTTAAACGATTGCATTACGATTATAATTGCAAGTCAATCTGGGGCTTACTAATCCGTTTCAAATAAGTTTATCAAGTTAGTAAATCTATTTTAGTCGTGTCAAATGTTTAAATACGACGCAACAACACAAATACACGCATCGTACAATAATGGTTGAAATTATTAACGGTAAAGCTTAAACTTTCACAGACTAAAACTGAATTTTTTTCTCGCGCTGTACGAAATAGAACTTGAACCTCAATCGAACTGTTATTGAAATTTCAAACTCTTAAAAATGTTACCATAATAGTGATATAGTTACTTATGTAGACGATGGCTTCTAGAATTTTTTTACACTTTTAAATCAAATGTTTAAAAAAAAAAAAAAAAAAAAACCAATTTAACTCTTTTAAATCGACCTTTTAATTCACACGATAACGACGCACAAACAATTATAACGAGTGTATGTCGTCAACATTTACGTACGTAGATACATCATTGACCAAATGTAATTGATTTTTTTGGTCGCAGGTGGTGCTGTCGCCAATCCAAGAAATGGACCCCAACCTGTCGGGCACGTTGCACAGCCAGCGCCAAGCGGCCGGCGGCGTGGGCGTCTGCCAGGGGGTGCTGAATCCGGCGTTCACCGGCACCGCCGTGTACACCACCATGTCGGTCAGCCCGATCGCCATGTCCACGGTGTCCATGAGCCGGCCGCTCCTGTCGTCGCTGGGCATCACCGCGGCCCCGTCGCCCGCGGGCGGCGCGACCACGCCACCCGTGCAGCCGTTGCTCATCACCGACGTCACCGCGGCCACGGTGGCCGCTGCGCACCACTCGGACAAGGACGACAGCGCGTGCGGCGGAAGTTCCAGCGGCAGCGTGTCCAGCACGGACGACCGGAAGACGCCGGCGGCCAACAGGCGCAAGAGGGGCGAGGTGTACGTGTAGGCCTGCAGTTCCGTTCTCGCGATTGCTCCCGTTAATAATATTATTATAACCGTGTTATATTAATAATTCATGATATCGTAATATGCACAATTATTGTAGATTTTATTTTTTTGTTACGTGCGCGGGGTTGACGGTATTTTGTTGTTGTTGTTGTTGTTTCCGAAACCGCGACGACTACGCGCACGTATAGATTGCTAATCGTTTGGTGAGTGGGTGCTGGGGGATGGACTATGGAGGTGTAAGAGATATATAATAATCTAACGAAATGACTTGCCTTAATCGCGTACGCACGGGACGTATCTAATATCCGTTGTCGCTTGTCTTAAACTCTCTTACAAATCCCTCGCGGATTATATTTTGCAGCATTTTCCAACGCTGACAGGACGGGTAAACGTCTTGTCTTGTATGTGTGTAGCGTTCGAGAACAATTCTCTCCGAAAAGGGTGGTGCCAAACTTTTATTTCCGAAATAAACAGAGCAAAATAAAATTTAGCTTAAATTGGCCATTTCTCCCCCTCTGTACGTCGTGTACAAGTTCGGATTATAACGTAGGTTTACTTGATATTACCATATCCATTAGGTATTGTAAAGCGGGCGCACTTTGTCTCTATAGGTACACCGGTGTGTGTGTGTGTTTTACGGTCACGGCGAAGGGCTGTTGGGTTTGCCGTGTGTCTACAGGTAATAATATTATGTTTTGGCCAGGTTTTTTGATATGGTTTTGAATTTTATTCCCGATTAATATAATATATAATATTTATAAATAATTAATTTGCAATGCGTCATAGGGTTAAAATGTTTTCGACAAAATCTATATTATCTGTAATACATATCGCCAACAGTAATCATTTTTTTCATTGCCCATTCGGATAAAGTACTACGTGTATTTCACGTACGGTTATATGTTATATTATGTTTTTGGTGTGCGCCATTTTCGAACGAGAAGACTGTTGACAACGTGTACATCGCGTGGTACGTATATACATATCATATACATACCGTCAGCCCCAAACTGCTACAGTATTTTCCTATACATACATTTATTTATACAATATGGTACGACACAATGTCATGATACCGCGTGCATACCGGAACTCGTATTATAAACTATGTGGGATAGTGTATTTATGTATATTATCATATTTTATTGACTTGTGCGAACGCATTGTACACTTACGTGTGCAACAAACACAGCAATACGACCATAATAAATTAATTAACGGTATATAAGTGTATTACGTATACATAATTTATTGTAAGTAGCGAGTGGCTAAACGAGATGACGCGGTATTATATATTTTTTAGCAATGAAAATATTATATATTATAATAATATGTGATGTCTAAGAGTCAAATTATCACGGATTTTGCTCAATTTGAACAATAATTATTATTGTATTATATTTTGTAGAGGTATATTATATTTTTATGTTTTACCCATATATTATATTATAAATCGCCATTGTATATAATATGTATTAAATGAGGCATAATGTATGTATTAATGCTAAAATGACTAACCCAACTCACATTTTATTATTACTATAAATAAAATAACACGTTTCTATACCGTACGTAATGTGTATACTATTCACAATAGTATGCATAAATATTTGTAAATACTATTATTATAAGCATATATTATGTTATTATTATTATTATTATTATTATATATTTACCATTGTTTTAGAAACATTATAATCTTAATAATAAATAGTATTAGCTAGACGTTAAAATTATTAGATTTTTACAATATACCTACCTATATATAATATGTAGGTATGTTATAATTTGTATGAACAAAATGTGATAACTAATCAAAACACCAAAATATGCCGTCCATTGTATGTCTATCATTATGATATTATGTCTGTGTAATATAATATACGATATTGTATAACCTATAGTTGTGTCAAGTACCTATGTATTTTACTCTATCATAATATGTGATATGAAAAAAATTTTTAATTACATTCTTTATGAGATCTGCCAGTGATAGTGTTAAGACAAAATAATATTTCAAAACCTAAGACGGGGATAAATACAAGACGTATATGGTGTTAGGACTATGTAGGTATGTAATTGCTGCAGATGTATATACTAAACGAATGCAGGAAAATTGAGCGGTATAATAAAATATATGACGTAAAATTATTAGCGATCAACCTTGAAATATTCGTCTAAAATATGAAAATATGAATTTTATGTCGGCGCACAATTTTATATTAATAGTTCGGCGGTATTTAAATTATAATATTATAATATGAGACCTGTGGACAGTTTGAAAACGGTTTTTAATTTTATTTATTTTTTTCTGCACACTTTTTTGTCGTATTAAATTTTAATACGACGTTTATGTATACGTGTATATTATGACTTATGAGCTTGTATTTTTTCATTATGTTTTTATACTCTGCTACGTTTTAAGCGAAAAATAATTGCACATAATTATATATTATTATGACGTGTGTGGTGTATTATTAAAATTTTAAAACACGACTCATTTCACTTTTTAATGAATAGTACGTACATTTTTTCAAGGTTAATGTGCAGTTTTACAAACAATAAAACCCGTTCAATTACAAGCTTCTCGGCGAATTTTTTAAATCATTTAACATTATTTAGGTATTGTTGTGAAAACCTTAGAAAATGAAAGGGGAATAAGACCTATTTGTTGATAATACTTGTTAATGCCGATAAATATCCATGTTTTAAAATTTCAGTGGTATATAATATATTGATACACCTTGTAACTGTATGCTGTAGGCTGCAGCAATAAGTATTTCAGTTGATACGATTACGCACGTTCTATATCAAACTACTCCCGCGGACTTGGCTGAAAAATGTAAACACCGAAAACCATAACATAAGTATAGGTAATCTTGTTAAAGATGTTTAAGTAAAATAATATTTAAATGTCTTTTTATGTATTTATAAACGTAAAAACTAAATAAAACCGCAAACATGCCCACATATTTTAAAGGTCTACTACTCGTATATGTTCAAAATACGTACGCTTCGTAGTTTAGAGTTTGAATATACAGCCCAAGTAAGATATATAAAGACACTTTTGTATAAATAATTGTCGCTAAAATGTATTAATATTTACTAAAGCGTATTGTAGAGTTTTTAAATGATTAATGACTTATTTTATGTAAAATTAAAATCAATATATTATCGTAAATACTATTAATATACGCGGAGTGCTGCGTTTTTTATTTTACCATGTTTTATGTCGTCACCATTCGTTTTATACTGCGGCAATGTTAAAATATTTGCTTATATTTTAATGGGTACTGATATTTTATTTATTTATTTATTATTATTATTATTATTTTTTTTTTTTTTGATGGTTTTTACTATTATTATATAATCGTAAACTCAGTATACGTACTTTGCGGTGTGAACATGAATATCATACATCTATTTAGGTACTATTGTACTCTCGGTTTTCATAGATTATTAATTATTCACATTTATATTGTCAAACTATTAAACAACGCCGTCAAACATTGACGATAAAAAAAATTACAGTGTATGTATATACTACCTAGTTAAATAACGAGTCTAACGTCAAAAATATTGCGTATTTTATCGAAGACGTGATATTTCTTTTATTTTTTTTTTTTAATATATCATAATAATATATAGACGGTATAGGTAATTGCGTAATTAACGTACATTTTTCATTTTTACTCCGTTGCAGATAAACACAACCGATCAACTCGATCAAGTATTATTGAACTCGCGTTTTTGAATAGTAGGTACCTATTACAATTTCGAATACTATATCCTTTCGTGTTTGTAAAAGTCTTGAACCACACACGTCCGTATACTGTTGACAGGAGAGACGTGTTTCTTCTTTTCTTCTAAAACATTATATAAGTTTACTCGAATTGAAAATCACCGTTTTTTGAACAACATTATAGTGTCGGTTAGCATAGTGCAAACTTTGAACGTTTTATCAATAATTTTGATGTAGAATTTATTTTAATAAGATATTGTGTGCGTTTTCATCGAAATCAAAGCGATTTAACATAATATTATATTAATTTGATAAACGTATTCTTTCATATAGCTATCTTGCAGGAGTCACAGCAAGGGCGCGGTATATTATCAATACCTATATATTTAATATTTATGTTTATACAAATAATAAGTCGACAAGCCATATTTTTCCTAAATACTCGCGTATTGTGTACGTGGAACCTAAATCTTGTTTCATGTGTCTAATAGTTTTAGTATATGCTTATAAATTTCACAACTCAACAAAATGAAATTGTAATAGTTAAACACGATCGGTTTAAAATTGATATAAAAAATACATAAATAAAAAAAAATACTTTTATATTATGTAGACAAGTATCAGTTACAACTTATGACTTATTTGAACATAAAAGTTTTGATGAATCCTATATAGGTACATCACATTTTCTTTGAACAATAATTTAATTAGATGTAAATGCTTCATTCAATTATGTATTTTTCTATTACTCGTAAGTATTAAAATACTGCTACTTGGCATTAACTTAATAAAAATAAATACACGTACGTCTACCAAAGTACATGGGCGCCCATAGGTAATATTTTAAGGGGAGTCAAAATAAAAAAATTTTCGAATGTAAGATAATAAAGATTTAATGTTATTTTTCACATATAAATGTATACACTATACATGCGTGTTATATTTTTATTTGTATATATATAGTGTATTAATAATAATTGCCATACGAATAAATAAATAAATAAATAATAATTTTAATAAGTATATAAAAAAATAGAAATTAAATAATATAATTAAGTATATTATTCGATATCAGTAAACAAGAACTGCAAATTTCTTCGTTTTATTCCAAACATATTAATGATATCCTGAATGAAAGTATCTTTGTTTGCGTTAGGTTAAAATATTTGTAGTACCTATATTATGATCTTTATAGATTTACCACGAATTATCTGCGATAAATAATTTTACGTATAGGTTATACGGACTACAGAATATGACCTATCTATGATGTTAATATACGATAACAATGAGTATATTTTTATATTTATTTCATATCTTAAAAGTGATTTCAACAAATAATTTGCCTCGGTAATAAGGTAATATTGTGGTAATATTTTTTTCCAGGGGGGGAAAGTGCCCTGTTTTGTCCCCCCAATGGGCGCCCATGCCAAAGTATAATACTGATGATAGGTTGGATTGTTTTAAAATTTTAATAAATCATTTTTTTTTTCAATGCTATACAATATTTAAGTCATAATTTTAATAGGTACCGGAAACGATGGAAACCAATTCGGATAACCATGCGTAATACGTCTCTTACGAAACACTATTCTGGGAACTAATTTGGAATTACTTACCGTTTAACAAACGTAGCAATTACAATGTCTCGTTTATAAGTAGGTATAATTCACAGGCAAGTAGGTAACATGGCTTAACTCTCTCTATACTTTATACATAATATATATTATAACATTATATATCTATTTATGCCGAAAATCTAAAATTCGATTTCGAAATCGATTACTTCTCATTTATTCTCTTATATAATACCTAATAATAATACATTAGACGCCGTCATTGAAGCTGTTCGTGAAAAGAATACCTATTAATCGTTGGTTATGTATTAATTACTTAATGGATCGTTGTTATATTTTCACCGATATAATTAAATGTTATCATTATTATCACATTTATTTTGTTCACAATTTATACTAATCAACAGTCTGTATTTCAAAAGTTTTTAAATGTCTGTTTCTTATTACACGTGTTCGTCTTCTACAATAATATTTGTGTACCGCTATATATAATGTGTTCATAACTGCTTTACAGTTATTGGCTTTTATATAAATTGAAATACAGAATGCTAATAAAATCAAATGTCAAAGACTTAACCCAAGAGAATATTTATTTATTATCTTAGATATTCTAGTGTTTACTTTTAAAATTTAAAATTTAAATTGCTTTAATTATGCGCCTTAAACCGGTTAAAATACCAATCATATCATAATATCTTAAACATTTTGATTAAAACAGAAGTAAATAACTTCTGTCACAAAATTAAAGTCATCATTATAAGCTGTTCAAAATATTAACATTTTAGAATTGATAGTCATCCAATAATTATTATACTTAGAATAATGTTTTTATAAATACTTTAAATTTATAATAATTAATAAGTAATTACTTTCTTTTATAATTATATTACAATTGCACAAATAATGTTGTACAAAACACATAATTTATAATAATAATAAATTGATACAATAACAACGCAGTAAGGTAAGTATGCCAGTCTATCGATTTACGAGAAATAAACTAATAATACACGTAGGTTGTAGGTATATAATAATATACTAGCTAGATTACCTGGCTTCGCCCTTGTGCAGTTTTGAAACTTATTTAATTTTTGAGTTAAATAATTAATTAAATATTTTATTACAAGTTGATTTTGTAATTTTAAATTTTTTTATATTCAAAAATACATTGTTTCGTTAAATAAAGGTACCTTTACGCGTAAATAATTTATATGTTACAGTATGTTTTGTTGTCTTGTATTATTAAATTAATTTATAATATAGTGATACAACAGGTAATTAATGGCAACCATTTAAATAAACAAAAACATATTCCATTTTTTTGAGCTAAAACAAAATTATAAAGCACCCTATAGCAGCAACCTATAAGAGTTGAAAAAATAATCAAAAAACATCCTATGAATCTCGAGAAATCTATCAATATAACTGTTATTGAAAATTGCCCAAAAATTATTGAGTTTATAGAGGATAAAAAAATAGACAAGCCAACTAAGAAAAAATTCATTGATATACATAATAATATAGATTATAATTTTTAATAATATTGTATACTGCAGTTATCCAGTTTAAAACAAGTGATTCGATTCGAACTAAGACCCCTGCACTTACGCATCTCAATATTAAACACCAATAAAATACATTAAAATATTAATATTGTAAAATAAGTGTTGTTAATTACTTAAATTGATCATTATGTGTTATGATATTTTACAGACAAACTGGGTAGAGTGCAAGTATTGCGGTACATCAGTGCCACTACGTAAATATAATATTACTTGATACATTATTTTTACCCAATGTGAATACAACTTAGAAATTCAAGATGGTAGTTAGCAAGGGCCAACCCTAGTAACAAACTTATATCCAGTACTATAAACGATAATACAGGACACTGGCAAATTATTTCTAATCATTGCCGCTCGAAATGTTATAATATTTGCCTATTTTACTCCTGTTATTTTCATGAACAAAATATTAATTTAATAGCCATAAATTGTATAATACGTGACAAGTACTATAAACAATATGAATATTGTATTTATACTGTACAAATAAAACGATTTTTTTGGCAACTTTATGAACATAATTCATTTTAACGACGATAATAATTACAGTATAAACTATGTTACTAAAATAGTAAAATATAATCTACGCATAAAAGGGCTCAGTCCGTACACAGTGTGTTCGCAATTAAAGGTACCATTAAATATTTCAGCCGGATTACCTTGTATTAAAGTGCATATTTTAGAAGTGCTTGGAGGTAATTAATTTTAAAAACTGATTTAAAACTTAATTAAACTACAGGTTAATTAATTCTTTGGAAAAAACAAAAACTATATGGGAATTTTATAAAATCTTTGGAAAAACATAAACTCAATGGGAATTTTATAAGATTTTTAGAAAAATAAAAACTTTATGGGAAATTTAAATATATCTGAAAAATATAAATGTTCTTTCGGAATTTTATAAGATCATTGAAAAATAAAAAATTGAATGGAAATTTTATAAACTCTTTGGAATCATAAAAAATCTCTCAAAAAATATAAGCTTTTTCGGAATTTTATAAAGTCTTTGGTAAAAACAAAAACTGTGTGAATTTTAAAAGCTCTTTGGAATAAAACAAAAAATATATGGAAATTTTATAGGATCTTTGGAAAAATAAAAATAGAAAGAAAATTTTATAAGCTCTTTGGAATTCTAAAAATAGGAATTAGGAATTTTATTAACTCTTTGGAATTATAAAAAATCTCTCAAAAAATATATTAAGCTCTTTCGGAATTTGATAAAATCATTGGAAAATATAATGGATTTTAGGAATTATATAAGATCTTTGGAAAAATAAAAAATAGAATGGAATTTTATAAACATTTGGAAAAAAATAATTTTTGATAGGGATTTTATAATATCTTTGGAATTCTAGAAAATAAGAATTAGGAATTTTAAAAGATCTTTGGAAAAATAAAAAAATATAATAGAAATTTTATAAACTCTTTGGAAAAAACAATTTTTATCGGGATTTTATAAGATCTTTGGGAAAATAAAAAATGAAATGGGAGTTTTATAAACTCTTTGGAAAAAAATAATTTTTAATGGGAATTTTATAATATCTTTGGAATTCTAAAAATAGGAATTAGAAATTTTATAGGTTCTTTGGAAAAATAAAAAATAGAATGGAAATTTTATAAGATCTTTGGAATTCTAAAAATAGGAATTAGGAATTTTATAAACTCTTTGGAATTATAAAAAAATCTCTCAAAAAATATATTAAGCACTTTCGGAATTTTATAAAATCATTGGAAAATATAAAGGATCTTAGGAACTTTATAAGATCTTTGAAAAAATAAAAAATAGAATGGAAATTTTATAAACTCCTTGGAAAAAAAACAATTTGTATGGGATTTTATAAGATCTTTGGAAAAAGAAAAAATGGAATGGGAGTTTTATAAACTCTTTGGAATTATAAAAAAATCTCTCAAAAAATATATTAAGCTCTTTCGGAATTTTATAAAATCGTTGGTAAATATAAAGGAACTTAGAAATTTTCTAAGATCTTTGTAAAAATGAAAATGGAATGGACATTTTATAAGATCTTTTGAAAAAACATAAGTTTTATGGGAATATATATATTTATATAAACTCTTTAGAAAACATATAAGCTCTTTAGAAATTAGTCAATTATATACACTCTTTGGCACATATTTTTCATTTATGGCCACAATTTGTCCTTAGTATTATTTAATCTGTATCTAAGTCAATTAATCATTGGTTAATATCTTAAACATATAAATCTGACATTATGATTATACTTTTAGGTTTTTTGATGAGCTTTAGGTTTGTTTTTATGTCACCTCTCCCTTTCTCCAAAAGGTATGTCATGATCCTCACGAAACTAATAATGTAAAATTTTTCATATTGCACGTACAAATACGTACAAATTGAGCGCAAAAAATTTACATAAAAAAATCTCATATTTCTTTAGTGTGGTGGAGGGGTGGCATGACTATAGCTTAACCCCTTTGGTCATATAAATTCTGAGCCACTGCGTACAAATTCGTACAAATGGCATAATACCTATATGATAGAATAATAAAATTTCCATATTTTTAAAAGAGGGGGCTGGCATGACGTACGTATCATGATTGTGTGCGACGACGATCGGATGACGCAACAGTTCTGCAGACTGCAGTTAACGTAATAGTAGAGGTTGTAAAGATGTATATTGTGTACAGGTACAGTAAACAACGCGCGGCAAATACACAGAACACTAAATATCTCCAAAAACAATTAACCTAACATTCTTATGTTTTTTTTTTTTTATGTTTGTTTGATGAAACTCATTAATTGTTAGACTACTGTGTATTAAGATGCTTTGAAAATTATTGAGGTCATCAAGAATGGGGCTACTATTCAGTAGCATACTATTCGGGCATAACCATTTTTCGACAAAGATTATATTCTGATTTTCAACAAAAACAATTAATAGGTACATATTATTTTGAAAACTCCTATCTCCTGAACCTAAATCTATCAAATTTTAATGATTAAAATAAACTTATTTCACTTTACTTCTTATAGTCTCTATTATACATGACAAAGATAATTTATTAAAAACATCATTAGTTTAACATGGAAATATACGTATTTAATTATTTAAAATGAAATTACGTAAAAAGTTAAAAAAATGTATACACATTGTTAATTGCAATTTTTGTCTGTTGTATGGAGAGAAAATTCTTTTTCCTAGTACGTCCACTGAGTAATGCCATTTTGAGATATCCATTAATGCAAATAAAAGTCCGGCAAGGCGCAAAAGAACATCGCCAAGTGCGACAAAAAGCACAAGCCAAAGGGGAAGGAATCGTATGCCATCTACATCTACAAAGTGTTGAAACAATTACATCCCGACACAGGCGTCTCCTCAGAGGCCACGAGCATCATGAACAGTTTCGTCAACGATCTGTTCGAGTACATCGCCAACAAATTGAGTCGTCTGGCCCATTACAACAAGCGCTCGACCATAATCAGTTGAGAAATCCAAACCGCCGTCCGCCTTTTGGTAACCGGTGAATTGGCCAAACACGCGTATCAGTAAAGGAACAAGGGCTGTTATTGAATGTACCAGTTCCAAATAAATTCTGACAATAAAACGGCCACCACTTTATTGATGTTATCCCAACACGGCGTTGATAGGTGATAATTTAAAATGTGTGTATAAGTCACAGATAATGAGATAAAAATTAGAAATGTAAGCTCGGAAATTGTTATCAATTACATGATGAACAAAACATTGTCGAAAAATACTTAAAATGCTAATAAATTATACCAAATTACTTAAAGAAAATTACACGATCGATGTAATCAAAAGACATACAAATATAATATAGCTCCTTCAATTTTTAAAGAGCAAGATGAAATAAATACTTTTCTAATGTGATCAATACCCCATTTTCACTTGCTTCGATACATTTTCAAGGATTACAACAACAATTTAATATGCAACGAGGAATTATTATTTTATAGGTTTTATTAGCTTGTATGTAAAAGTTCTATTTAATTTATTTTATTTTTGTCTTATTCTATAATACATTTTTAGATTTTTTTTTTTTTAAGTTGTAGTTTAGGATTACTCCAAGATATAGAGCGTGATGACTCTATTCTAGGTTTTTATTTTAAATATTTAATTTAATTTAATACTTATATTTTTGAGCCATTTAGTCGTAATATTTAGTTGATATTCGAGAGTAACCACTGTATGTTTGTGGTTACTGTTACTTTCGTGGTGTATAGGGATGATCAGATATTTTTATTTGAGATCTGTGGTTTTTAATGAGATATTTTTATGTTAAAAATGTAATGTTTTTTACTGCAGTTATTCATTTTTAAGTAAATCCCCAAAGTGCCAATTAGATCCAATTTCTTACCAAAAATCAACAAGCGAATTATTTTTACACTTAAGGGCATGCAAAAAATAATCACATACGTACTTTATAAAAAGAATAAAAAAATATAAAAAATAAATATATATATTTTTAAGCATCATTGGCAAGATTAAAAAATATAACGTGAAAATCTTTAAAAATATGTATTATACCTACATCATTTATATTTACTATCTACAAAACTTAAGTCTAAATTTTACAAAATATTAAATTAAAAATTAATATTTGTTTTTGAACTGTAATTAAATTTTACAACAATATTATTACATAGTACTTATATATTAAACTTTTTATAAGATGTAACCACTTATAACTTATTATACATTAGTAATACCTAAATTCGAACTTCCTTCAATTGTTGATTTTTCATTTTGTACTTTTTTCCATAAAGGCGATTTTTTTCTTTCACTAAAAATTATACAACATAATATAATTAATTAAACATCAAAAATAAAATTTGAAATGTCGGTCAGTAGGCACACTGTATTGTAGATGTTAACCGAGTTACTGAAATGAATGTGTTAAATGATACTAAACTATTGCATACAAAAGTCAATTTTAAGTGGAAACTGTCTATCAATTTAAGTATATTTAGGTGCTCGTATACTATGTCTTAAGATATTATTAAAAATACTAAGGTAGGTTGATTTAATTTTTGCTGAAATTGTTGCATTTATCATGTCATTATAATATTTTATTATAATAAAATATATTTATTAACTTTTGAGTAAACACTGCATTAACTTAGTCGAGGAACTTAATTTGTATATTAGATATCTTTGGAAAGACTGCAATTTATTTTGAAACACTCGTGCAAGAAGTTTTTTCGTCGATAAAAAAGTTAATATGTTTATTAAGTAATAAATTGTATACGCAGTAAAACAAAAAAAAAATTACTTCTTTCCCCAAATCATCCGTTTAGTCAAATCATCAAACGGCGCTTCGACGACAAAGTATAATAGTAAGCTGATCAAATAAGTTTTAAATATACCGCATATTCCAGCATCCAACTAAAAAAAAATATTCATTTGTATTATGATTACTAATAATGAGATTTTAATCGGAGATTACTCAAGTTAAATAGTCGCTTGTTCTTATTTTTCTTTCGACTTATCTTTTATCTTACCAATGATATAAATGATAGAAAATTGGGCGATCTTTGTGAACCCTGTGACATAGCCATAACGATTAGGTTTATTAATAAAACGGAGTATGATAATCTCCCAACGGGTACAATAAATCTGTTATTAAATATTTTCTCTAGAAAACCTGTAAGCAATAATAAAAATACATAAATTCATATTATAAAATTTCAATACTGTATATGTTTACAGTAACTTATAATAGTAAACTCTGATTTCCAAATTCAACATTATTGCTACAATAACAATAATAATTTATTTAGACTCTTGGGTAGTGTACAATACATTTAAAATGTATTTAATGAATGTAGCATTATACTTGTAGGTTGTCGAAGTACTGTTTGGAAATTTGAACTAACGAGTGTTTTGGGGAATGTAAGTTATTAGTTATTAGTAGAGCAAGAACTTTCATGCACTTTAAAAATATGCAGTTAAATATGCCCTCAAAAAAATTAATACACTAAAATGTATAACTCTAAAAATTATATTTTTTCTTTAAATATTTAATTTTAATAGTTTTATATTATCTCTCTATAAGTTTTTACCGAATTTTATATTACTTTATTGTAATCTAATCTACAGATTCTCAACTATGATAAAATGAGTCTCTTTCGTCTTGATGAGAATATAGAAACAGTTAAATATAATAATTTGTGTCCTTAAATCATGAAAAATATTCACTGAAAAACATAATTTCCGAAAAACCTTCAAAATATGCAATACAAACTAAAAATATGATCTTATAAACAAAAAAATATGTCCTTTAAACCCAAAAATGTCAAAATATGCAAAAATATGCACTAAAAACTTTGAGATTTTGATCACAAACATTGTGAAATATACAGTGTACTTATTCTGCATACGAAAAAGTAAATCAGAAAAAATATGCGAATGCATGAAAGTCCTTGCTCTAGTTATTAGTTACTACTCATCGTTTTCATATGTGACCTATTTATTAGGCATGGAAAAATATGTCCTTTTTTTTTTTTTTTTTGCTAAAAGTAGCACAATCTATTATTTTAGGTGATATTATATCATTTATAATGTTTATATCATCAATTTATAAATCGTTAATATTATTGTTGATAAAATGATACAAAATTAAATTTGATTCAGACATATAAATGTATTTTCAATTCGTACATCCTTTATTATTATTTCTAAACATTTTGTCATTTTGGTTTCGTTGAATTAGTAATCAATGCAAGTAAAACTGTAATTGCATTTAATATTTTAATCATAATAATAAATAGTATCTTAGCGTAACTATTGTGATTACCGTAACTGCTTGTATAATTGAAAATAGTAACCCACACACTTATTACAGTCCAAGTACAATGGCTGAAAGTCAAATATAGAGCTTGTTCTAATACATAATAAGGCCTTTGTCTATCATAAAATATTGCCCCGTAATACTGAATCCACAAACAGATCACAGTTACAATGAGTGTGCTGCTGTAGACAGTAGTCTAAAACATAAAAGTTACATTTAACCAAATAGTTTCAATTCATAAAAGAACAATATGTTTATACTTGATTTTTACCAGTGAAAATTTAATTTTCTTCTCTATCAATTTTTCGACAATAAAGTGCATTGCCAACCCGGTAAAAAAAGGCGTGGCTCGCATGTAACTTGCTCTGTAAGATTCATTAAAATCTATAGAATTTCTAGGATTTTCTAAAAATCTGAAATAAATTTTGTATTTAATACATTTTTAATTTCATAATTTAACGTATGTAATAATTAGCTACTCTATCATTTAAATATCCAAGTATAAATATTAATAACGCTAACAACAATAAAACTTTCTTGCAGAGTTTAACAAAACACTATTAATAATGTTTTTGTTCTTGAAAATAAACCCAATAAGATTTAAATCATAACAGATCTTATGAATTACGCAAAATAACAAAAGTAATATTTAAAATGTATGATTATATAAGTTAATACGAAAAATGTAAAACGCTATAGTAAGTTGCAGGGACATCTTAATCAGCGGCGTATTTACGGGGGGGGATTAGGGGGATCAATCCCCCCCCCTTGGTATTTTTTTTTCTATTATTAAAGAATTTACCTATATAATATACCTAGACACTAAATTGTGTTTAGCATTTATTATCTTATTGTATTTTTTATTTTTGTAAATAAAGTAAAAAAAAAATAAGTTAAAAGGTTATTAATAGCCTATTATTACGCCACTAAAACCGCTATGTCGTAGCTAGTGCGGCGAGTTAATGCTATTTCTGTCCGATTACTATTCTATTATGCTTGTATGCGGGCCGTTAGTCATTAGTTATTACTTATTACTGTACAGTTGTAACTTTGTAATATAAAAACAAGATATTTTTAGACTAGAACTAAAATAGCAAAATCAATTTATTATATTATTATGGAATGGTCAGATGGTCTAATATATTCCACGTAATCAGGCTATCGGCATATTTGATATTTATTTGTTTGGAAAAACAACATTCGTATTCGCAGGCTAAACACGAGCAGTTGCCAGTTTATAATAATTGCATTTTTAATTTTGATCTTCTGTGTTAAACTGTTGATTTTAATTTGAAATGAAACGAAATACACATACACTAGATTCTTTTTTTAAGCCACAACAAAAGAAGACAAATATTCATGTGGAAAATGAAGATGTAAGTAAAAGAAATATATATAATTATTAATCTCGATAATATTTAATTAATATAAATTATTTCGTTTTTAAAACGTATCTATTAATAATTATTATTGTCTTATTGATTTTTGATCACTCAATTAGGTACCAGTGAAAAAGATACTATCAAAAAAATCAGTGGCTAGCCCACAACCACTAGTAAGAACTAAAATCAATTAAATTATTTAAGTCAAATAAAATTTGAATTCAAAATCTAAGTCACATATTGTTATACTTATTATAGTATTATAGTTATACTACCTATGTCTTACATATTAGTGAAAACTGAAAACTAAATATATAAACTAACCTTAGGGGGGGCACTCGGGCACTTAATATTTGTATAATTATGTCATATATTATTGTTGATATAAATGTTTTGCAAAGTACCTAATGTATATTATGTTTTATTGTTTTAATTTGTATTAGAATGCTCCTGGTGATAATACTAGTAATATTGATAAAAGTATTAAGGATTCTGAGATTTATGTAGATGACATTTCTTTATTTACTAATACATCAAAATCATTAACAAATGAGGAAAAACTAAAGGTAACATTTAATATAAGTAGCTAAGTAATATAATATATTATTATAACAGTGAAATAACCAGACGATCACTGGGGTCTGGGACATATGCCCCCCCAAAAAAAAATGTTTGCCTACAGCACTGTATTAAGTATTATGTTTTGCAAGCATTTAGATTTTAGACTTTGAGAGTTAGAAACTGAAATTATATTTATATATATTATAAATACTACAATTAATTAAGATGAAATTATAAACAATTCCTAATTTATTGTTTTTTGAATAGGTTTTGAAACACATTTGGGTTCCTCCTAACAATTTTACTTTTCCAGTTATAGAAAATAAAAAAAGAAAATTAAAATTTCAGTCGTCGTGGATGAATTTATTTCCTTGGTTAGCATATTCAAAAATTAGACAAGGGGGTTATTGTAAATATTGTGTTGCATTTTCCAAATATGGAGGAATTGGAAATCAACCACTTGGACAGCTCGTTGTTAATCCCTTTATAAAGTATAAAGATGCTCTACAAGTAAATAATTTTACTTGTTAATAATATGAAAGTATAAAAACTAGTAAAATAATAATTAATAAGGTGTATTAAATTATTAAGGATTTCCGGGCCCATTCTAAAAAAAAGTACCATATAGAAGCTGTGTTAGATGCAGAAAATTTTTTGGATGTCTTTGAAAAAAGAAAATTGCCAATAATACAACAAATCGATAATGATAGGTAAGTTAGGCTAGTTTGGTATATTTTGTAAATGTCTATAATTATGAATTAAATTTTTAAAATTTCAATATTTAATAATTTATAGAGTTATTCAAATACAAGAAAATAGGAAACGTTTGGTACCGATTATTCAATGTATCTTACTTTGTGGTCGAGAAGATATTTCTTTAAGAGGACACCGTGATCATGGCCAAATTGATATAAGTGGTAATTGTTTACATCTATTTTGTATTAATTTAAAACAGTTAAAAAAATTCAATTTTAATCATTTAGATGATAAGTGTAATGAAGGAAACTTTAGGGCTATTTTAAAATATAGAGCTAAAGGGGATGATTATCTAAAAACAGTACTTGAAGGACCAGGTAAACGGAATAAGTACATTAGTCCAGGAATACAAAATCAAATCATTGAAGCTTGCAACAAAATAATTTTAAAAAAAATTGTTGACAAAATAAATATGTCTGAATGTTTTTCTGTGCTAGCAGATGAAACAACAGACATTTCGACAACTGAGCAATTATCTATATGTGTGAGGTATGTCGATAGTAAAAATATACTAAATGAGAGCTTTCTCCAGTTTTTCTCTATACATAGTTTAACAGGAAAAGACTTAGCAACTTCTATATTAAGAGGTAAAATATTTTATAATTTATAATAAATTATTCAATTTTAGTTTTAATTTAACCATTTTTGTTTAAGGTTTAAGTGACTGTGGATTAAACTGTGAGTTCATGTACGGTCAAGGATATGACGGGGCCAGCAATATGGCTGGTGAATTTAGAGGTGTACAGAAAATAATTAATGATCAATTTCCCAGAGCATTATATGTCCATTGTTCTGCACACTCCCTCAATTTAGCTGTGTCCTCGTCAAGCAACATTAGACCGATAAGAAATTGTCTTGGAATAGTTGAAAAACTACATGTCTTTTTTAATACACCTAAAAGAAATAATGTACTACAAAATGAAATTGAGAAAGCAGACCATACACCCAATGTTACTACACTTAAAAGACTTTGTGCCACTCGATGGATGCAAAGGTACGATGCATTGAATGATTTCTGTGAACTTTATCCTTATGTTGTCAAATCCTTAAGTTATATCGCTTCAGAATGGAAAGATACATCTGCCACTGATGCCTGTATGCTTCTGAAGAATATTCAAGACTCTGAGTTTATGGTTTCACTATATGTTACTAAGGTAAAATATAAAATTTAATAAAATCTGAAATACATAGCTATGTAGATTGTAGATATATAAATGTATTAATTTGAACATATTTAATAGTAGTTGTTTTATTTTAGGTACTATTTTCATATGGCTTGCCAATTTGCAAACAGTTGCAGAAAGAAAAAATTGATTTAAAAAAAACAATAGATTTAATTGAAAATGTTATAAGTGTATTAACAGATATGCGGGAAGCTTCAGAAAAAGAATTTAAATTAATTTTTAATGAAGTAAAGGTAATATAAAAACTTAATGTTTATTTTATATTTTTATTTAATCTAAGTACCTAATCACTTATAGAAATCAGCAGATATATTTGAGATTACTATCAATAAAAAACGTATAACAACAAAACAAACTAATAGAGCTAATCCTCAAAATATAAAATCAGATGAAGATTATTTTCGAGTGACAATATTTTTGCCTTATATAGATCATTTTATATCTCAACTCAAGGAAAGATTTATAAACCATAAAAACATTTTAATAGGTAACACCAAAATATTAGTTGTAAATTATTGTAATAATTAAAAGGTATACTTCTATTTTATTTACAAAACTCTTACTGAAATCCCTAGGTTTTGAATGCTTATTTCATTCAGAGTTTACCGATAAAGATAAAATAGAATTTCAAAAATTAGTTGATCTGTATTCGCCTATTATCGATAAACACAATGTTTTGGCTGAACTCAAAATGTGGAAACTAAAACTTGCTTCAAGCTGTGAAAGTTTAACAAAAAATGGATTAGATGCTTTACAAAACTGCGATAAAGATATTTATCCAAACATCCATTTTTTGTTTAAAATATTAGTTACTTTGCCTGTTTCTACAGCTACACCTGAACGGAGCTTTTCTACATTAAAACGTTTAAAATCCTATTGTAGAAATTCAATGAATGAGGTTTTTCTTATATTATTCCCTAATATTACTATACAATATTATAATTTATAATATTTTATTATTATCTAATATATTATTAATTATTTTTATTTTTATTGTATTAGGAACGTCTTAACGGACTAGCACTTTTATCAGTTCATCGGACAATAGACATAAATATTAATGAAGTAATTGATGAACTGGCAACTAAACAGAGAAAATTTGATTTTGTATTATAAATGTAAAGTATCAAAGTTTAAGTATATAAGTCTGAAAATATTTTTAATTTAACAAATGATTAATGAACAATACTTATTTATATTGTTAAATGTTCTAATTTATAATTATTATAATAAAAAAAATATTTATGATACTATTATTTCTTATTGTATTATTGGACATTGATGTTGAATGTTGGTAGTAAGATGGTAATTATTAATGAGTAATTTCAAAGAATTAAAAATTGAAATTTATTTCAGATTTAATTAATAATAATCATTATGTTATTGTTATTAACCAAAAAAATGAATAATTGGTACTTAGTGTAGAATATAATATATAGTGTGTAAAGTATAAACTGAAGAGTATTTAGTGATCAAGTTATGATAACCTGAAGGGGGGTGTGGGGGGCGAAGCCCCCCCACTTTTATGTGCGAAATTCAATGGCTCATCCCCTCCCTATAACAATTCCTAAATACGCCGCTGATCTTAATATGTATTATAAATTAACTCATCGGTGCTATAATCAAAATTCAAAACTCACAACGAGTGAATCATAACATACTTAGATACCTTTAAAGTATCGTTTCGATTTCATTATTATAATATCAATGAAGTTTACTTACGGAATGTGTATTTTAAGTATTCCTTCGCTTTTCGTCAAAATCGTAATTATAAATGGTATAAATATCGATAAAATAACTACAGTAGCAAGCAATCTAATTCCGTATTTATTGTTCTTTGTGTAAACATAAATTATAAATACTCCAATTATGAAAAACTGAACGTCGCACGATATGTACCAGCTCGCTATAAGGCACTGTTTATCATTAAACATAATATTAATTATTAGGTACATTTAAATACTTGTCCGAGTATCTACCAATGGTATTTTGGTTTAATTACTATAGCATAACTTTTTTACAAGAATTTTTTTTTTACTAAGCAAAATATATTTTCCATAAAAATATAAATATATATTATTTTGATCAATAAGTCTTACTTGGTACTTGGCATCAATTAAATTATTTATAAATAACAAATTAATCCACCAATATTTTTTACAAGTCTCGGCTTCGATCCAAGTTTTTTGGGGCCACAGCGGCCCGTCACCCAGGTGCGGTAAGATATTGGCTGTGATCGCTATCGTCGCGCAATAAGCCGGTAACAGTCTAAAATCAATGATTAAGATCGTGTTTATTATCGATAATAGATATTTACCTTACGCCCTCGATGGATGGCAGGATATTGTACCATAAAACTATAGGTAAATTCGATTAAAAAATGTACGACAACATAATTTTACCTTAATATTCTGTTGATAACCGTTTTTATCCACGCTAGTCCAGTTTTTGAGAGTACCCGAGAGACTGTTAAGTACATGATAAAACCACTAATGTAGAAAAATGGATCTACTAGATTCATACTAGTCAAGAAAATATCCGGTCCATTATGGTATATCTATAATTATCATGATTAATTTAATGTATGGTAAGCATAATATAGAATTGTTCTATTACTTTAATTGAACAGATTTTAACTAAAAATAGATATAATGGAATTCTATCTAACCTTCGCAATTATAATTAAAATACTCACAGTATTATTTTTGTAATCTTTAATTAATTGAGTTTTTACTAAAAAAGGTTTATGGTATTGTGTAAAAGAAATCTTATGAAAAAAAGACGGTCTGATCATTTAAACAATATTTTCTGTGTTTAAAAATAAGTATATTAATTCATAGATATATATTATATCATACACAGAGTGTTTTCACAATGAACTGACAATTTATTACGATAACTTATGTTCTATTAAACATTTTCAACTTTTTTTTTTTAATTGTGAATTGTTGTTTGCGCTACATTTAAATTATTTTTCGATTTTTTTTTTTTAACATTTTTTATACAAAATAAAAAAAAAATGTTCTATTTGATATCTAAAAAATCTAGGTAGCCATTTTATACTGAACATTTTTTTTTTTTTTTTTGTGAGCATGTTTTAAAAATCATATCAACAAAATGGCAATTTTGATTTTTTTAAATATCAAATAGAAAATTTTTTATTTTTTTAATTTTACATAGATACAAAATTTAAAAAAAAAATCGAAAACTTAACTTAAATGTAGCACAGATGACATTAAAACAATTGATAGTTAAAAAAAAAAAAGTTGAAAATATTCAATAGAACAAAAGTTATTGCAATATTGTCAGTTCACCGTGAAACACTCTGTACAGAAGAAAGTTGTATTAAACTATAAAAATTAAAAAAATAAGGGTGATAGAGTAACATTGGATGTTATATGACGATGATATAAAGGAGTAAAACGTATGAAATAATTAATTTCAACATAGCTGAATACTCGCATGCAAAAACTGAATGCATTTGTAATTGTTTATTGACAGAGTATTAATTATTATTTGTTGATTCTAAAATGCGGTATCGAAATTGGTTTTTGATAAGTGATTATTATTTATAGGTCTTATATATTTTATAATTGATACTTTCATCAACAGAAAAAACAATTATTGCAGTCTAATGTAAAAGACGTAATGATAAAATCATCCTACGAATGTAGGAATGATGAATTCATTTTATTATTTACATATATACCTAACTATATAAAAGTATTTCACACTCATAAAGAACACAAAATTTAAATTTTTTTTGCTCACCTTTTCTAGTACTTTAGGATTACTCATAGGACTTCCTATAAAATAAAAACTTCTGTGACCTAATAAAATGAATATCATGGTCAACACTTTAAAACCATTAAGTATATTCGATTTGTTGTTTTTATCATAGTACAACAATGTTTTGCCAGACTTGATAAATGAAAACGAAATGAAAAATGAATCATCTAAAAGACAAAAAAATATTTAATACAATTGATCAAAACTATCATTATCCCAGTTAAACTATTTTGATTTAAGTAAAGTATACTATAATTATAAATAGACTTTTAAATTTAAACTTAAGTCTTAATAATTTAAATATTTGTTTCTAAAAAAATTAAATTATTGATTTTCGACATGCATTGAATTAAATTAAACCATTATTAAAATATCGATTTTTGCTAATAAATAAATAAAATATTTATTAATAATAACTGTAGTACGTATACATTTTTTTTAACAAATTTATAAACTTATAATTTAAACTCTACTGTAAATTGTAACAAAATAATTATAAATGTTTAGGTTTTCTCAAACATTATTAATAGACTTCAATCTAACCTTATAGGAACATTAATAAAAAATACCTCATCATTATAATACCTATCAATAATTGCTATATATTTTCTGCTTAGTTCTTAACTTATAATTTAAAATTAAATATAACACACACATGGATGATATTTGAACATTTGATATTATATTTACAATTATTTATGATACTTACCAACAATATTTTTATTTTGATTATGCGATAGTCTTAAAAAATGAATTACGGTCATACCACAACAGATCAATATTAATACTACAAAAAATGCACTAAACAAAAAAAAAAATAAAAATATATAAACAATTATACGATTATTATATACAATATTATACATTTTTTTTTTATTGATCTTATTTAAGCCCGGCAACTAAGACCATTAGCTATGGATAGGAAGAGTAGATTTTTTATGTAAGGTTTATAAAGTCTGGTTAGTACGGTAAGAACATGTGTGCGCGCCATAGATTCGTCACCAAGAACTCGGATGGTCACCCATCTGAGAGCTAGTGACGCCGGCTGATACTTGACTTCAGAACACATTATATAGTGACTAAGGCCAACCACCGTGCAACACCAGGCCACACATATTATGTAATTATATTGAATTTAATCACAATATTTTCGTTAAAAGTTAAAACATAATTTAACTATTAGATATTCATATTGATTATTATATTTGATTTTCAGTTTTGTTAGGTAGGAAAGTCAGTATCGCTCAAACCGGATAAATCGTCACTGAGCGCTGTACAGTATAGTGGTCAAGTGTGCCTCATAATTTCAATGGCTGTATTAAATTTGAATTCAATGATAATTAATAATTAATTATTGTATACTACGAAAAACAATTCAGAGTGAATATGGCCTGTCGGCCTATAAATATACACAATAATTGTAAACTAAGACTTATCATTTATTTTTTTTACTTAGTGACAAAAGTTTCATTATACAACATTTTTTTAAATAAAATATAAACTAAAAATTTGAAAATTTAAAATGTCTATAAATACCTCAAATAAAAGATCTAAAATATTTTTAAAATTCTATAATATCTAGAAAATGTTTATCTATATAATATTTGAAGAAATTGTCAAGTATCTACAGTTATTTAATTTTAAATTACAACAAACAACAAAATAGACTTTATAAAAAAAATCCCTGTAATAAATATTTGTGTTTTGTTTTATTAATTTTTATTTTTCTCGATTATCTCGTTAGTGCTAAGGAATTTATATTTTTGAACTCTAAGAGAATTAATTAAATCTAATATTTTATAGAAACCTCTCTAGAAGTTGAAAATCGAAGTATTTTTTGTAGTTTATAAAACATTTTTGAGAAAAAAATTACACATGCACATCATTGCATAGCCAATTCATTTATCATTTTATTCTGATACTAAAACATTTGCAATGACTTTAATATTTTATATGGCTTTTTAATTTTTAACCATTAATCATTAATACGGTTTTATAAAAAATCTTACCATTCATCCATTAGGACACAATTTCAATATAGATACTTAATAAGTGTAATAATATTTTTTCAGTTTTATTGCCGTTATTATTTTTTTTTTTTTTTATCAATTTCATGGTCACTGTTTGCAGCGATAAACATTTATTTACCTTTACTCTCGATTAACTATAGTATATAATATATACTATATTATATAATATATACTATATTATATAATATATTATATTATGGAAACAAATAATACTTTCATTAGGCAGGTTTATCAATTATTGCAATATTAACGAATTATGATATAATTGTATTATATTAAAATTAATTATAATATTATATTTAAATTTTAAACTATATATGCTGATTGTCTTTATTTCGATTAATTGTATACTTTGGATTTCGAAGATATAATTAATTATTTGTAATTAAAATTCATCTGAGAAATAATTATAATTTTTATTTTATAGAAATGTTCCGTATTTCTACTACTGAAATAAAAATATTGTTTTTATTAGTTATTATCAAGTTACCTGGTTACATAATACATCGTGTTGTAAGGATACATATCTCCACTGACAGTACACATTATTGGATCCACTTTAACGATAGCTTTGAACTTTTCCGACAAAAACGATCTGTCCAATTTGTTTTGCAACGACATTTGTAGATCTGACGCCGAACAAGAATCTGGTATGCATATTCCTAAATTCAAACTGTTTCGTTTGATTTGATCTGGAGTATCGACCCACTAAAAAAAAATACCAAGTCTAATCTAAATGTTCCATTGTCAGAGTAAAACCATATCCTCAATTTTTCACCCTCGTGTTAAGCATTTTATTGTACAAATTTAATTTAGATCGAACAATAATAAATTAATACAGTTAATACCAATCAACATTTTGTACGAAACATAATATTTGTTATTCCTACAGTTCATCAACTATAATTTTTCGTAACATTTATCAATATATGTTTTTCTAAAATGGCAATCAAGCATTACAACATACCTCGAGTATTGTTTTCCATGCACTATTGTTAGTCGCATCGTTAAAGTTTTCTGTTACATTATATAAGCTGTAATTTTTCTCCTCTGACGGAATCAAATCTATTTCAGACAAACAATACTGTCCCCTAACTGGATAATGCACGTTGACGCATTCATCATAAATTCCCATATGATATTTGTTGCCTATCAATATACCAACTGGATACCGATTCCAAGACTCTTGCACTGAAAAATAATACGTTTAATCATTTAATAAATATAAATAGGTATTTCGTACACTTATAAATTATAATACACCTTTATTAAAAACACGATTCTTAAATGTATTCCTTATTATTCTTGACAAATGATGATATTATACTACATTAAACTATTATGTTCTTAACTTATTGTAAAATACAATAGTTACTATTATTTATTGAACTCGTTTTATGGCCGTAGTATATAAATCCATTGACTGAATTAATCAATTAAGTAAAAAGCTCAAAATAAAATTATATACAAATAAGTTTTAGTGAGAAAACTAAATTTGGCCATGTGCTAATAAATATTCATTGTTATTTATCTATCATTATTAATGTATTTCAAATGTGTAATGTCATTCATAAAGAAAAAAATTATAAAATTTGATAATGTTATGTAGAAAATATTTTTTTTTCAAAAGCTTTTTTTTCGTTATTTATATAAAAAAAAATAAATAAATATTTTCGTAAACTAAAATACTATGATGAGTCAAAAAAATAGTATATTAACTACTAATCATCAAAATAAATGCAATAAAATCTAAACAACACACTAACATTTTTTAAATTATGTTAAAATATGCCCTTAAAAAATATAAATATTTTAAAATGCTCATAAGTTACTTAAAAATTAAAATATCATAAAAATCAACGAGAGAACACATGTAATGTTATTAACAAAAAGTTTGATAATAAGTCAATTCACTTTAATATCAAAACTATAAGCACACTATTGAAACTGGTGAACGAAAATTTATTGTCATACGTGTGTAAGACGGAGACAACACATGAAAGATGCGACGTCCTCTTAATACATATTTTTATTTTTTAAGGGCATATTTTAACATAAGTTAAAAAAAATTTAGTTTATAATTTTTATGAATGAATGACATTACGACGTCCTCTTAACACCATCAACTAATATAGAAAATCCAATATAATATATGATTTTTCCTATATTATATTAGTATACATGTAAATCGGAATCAGCTTATTTGAATCCAATAAGTAAATTATTCCATTAATCATGAGACCAATAATTGGTGACTGTTGATTACAATAATTACATTGTATTAATTATTACGTATGTATTATATTATCGATAAAAATTTTAGAATCATAAATGACCTACATCGGCTAGATCATATACATGTGCTGTTACAAATGAAGATAGCCGATGGAAACTTAATTTTGTTAAATTTTCGTTGAGAGAAATTGTTTTGTAGTCATTTAAAAGTTTATGGAAAAACTCCTAAAAGCTTAATTCTTAATTCTACGACCAACGGAAATTGAAGAAGAACTCATTAAAATCACCTTAAAAAATTCAAATAAATCTAAAAAATCTCTTAGTCAAAAATTCTTTAAATTTTAGCTACAAAATAATTATCTGAAAACATAAAAGCTGTAAAAAATTTGAGTTTACCTTGTCATTGAGTTCAAATTATAATCATAGTGAGAATATTACTAATTATGAAACATAAAATATATTACTGCAAGCCCGTACGTTTCAAAATCATTAATCTTTTTATCTAAATCACATTTTTAAGGTAGAAAGACTTAGTTACCGAATCGTGATCATACTACTTGATCATTTGATATGAGCATGAAATAAATATAACTTGATCTAAATTAATATGTTTTTAACAATAGTCAATATTATATATTTAGGTACTCGTATCAACTAATTGTATGTATAAGTTTCCATATAACTTTCGTGCTATAACAATATGTTATAAACAATAATAATTTAATAATTTATTTGTTTAATGTAAATATTTGTTATAACTTATAACAAAATAATTAACATATTATGTTTTTATAAAATCTCAAAAATATTAACTTCTAATTTATTTTTACGCGTTTAAAAATTGAAATTTGAAATATCTTATATTAGGTTTTTTAAAACCTTTATCGTTTATTTTAAATTTAAATTAACTACATTAAATAGAGCTAGCTTATGACGAGACGAGTGCTCACTATCTGTAAAATGCCATTTTTTTGATAAAAATTTCGTATAATTTGTTATCCTGTCAATTTAATTGTAAGAGAAAATCTTACTATTATTCAATTTCTGCACACAAATTATAGAAACCTACTAAAGTAATTATTATACACTATAGTATAGTGACTACAGACAATTTTGAATTTTGACGTGGGTTCCTGTAAATACTAAATACCTTCGTACCTGTCGTCCACTCTAAATTTATCATATTTATTTTTATTTAACTGTTTCGTTTGGCCGTAAATGAAATAAATATTATGCACATTATCATAAATTGTACACATTTTTTATTTATTGTATTAGGTACATAATACATACATATAATTTTACGAATTATTGTAATCAAATGCCTTGTATAAATATAATTATATTATATTTTATTATTACCAACAAAAACTCCATAAACTTAAATTATTTAAATTTAATTTTTAGTAGAAGTTCAATACATTTTTTTCATTGACTATGGTATTCCTATTAATTATTATTGCATTCATTAAATATATTGATTAATTATCGCATTTTAATAAACATTGTTGAATAGAGCTCATTTAATATAATAATGTTCTCATAAAACTTTACACTACTGCTTATCAAGTTTTAATATTTTCATTAGTTAAAAGAGGAATTGAAAAAAATCAAAGAACTACCGACTCAAAATTTTAAAATACCATCTTTAACAGAGGTTTCCAACGAGGAAGCCACGAACCTAGATTTAAGGATACCGTGAAATTATTTAAAACAAAAATATAAAGCAATTATAATTGTTTTATGAAAAATGTAGTACCTGTCTTATATAATACTACAATGTATCATTAATCTAGATTTATATACTGGTTTAGTTTAACTTTTTCTAATAAAAAAATAGTAAAATTATAGTAAGCATTTTAAAGTAATTCGGATTTTATAATCAAACAGAGATAAAGCTCTATTAAAGCGATGATGTCAAAATATGATGGAAATATAGAATGTAGTTAGGTTAACTGAATTGGTTAACCATAAACCAGTATAGTATTGTACTCGTAGTTATGAAGTAAATTATAGGAATTTTCTGTATAAGAAATGCTCCTCATTTTTTCTTAATTTTAAATTCCTGAAAAAACTATTAGTTCTGGATATAGATATCTTTTTTAAACACATCTTTTTTTTTTACGTTTTATTATACAGTGATGGTAAAAATCTTAATACGATTCATTCACTATTCCTACAATTCTAAAACTGGACAAAAATTACAATACGAAATAATAATTTCTTTCGATTTTTATTTCTACGACTATCGTGAAATATTCAATGAAAAAACTGGAAAAATACTCAATTATAAATTTCTATAAATTCTGAATCAACTATATTTTCTTATCTCTATATTTATATATTTTAATAGTTGTTTGCATAATTTTATTTGTGATTGTTAAATTTTAATACAATTTAAATCTTATATTTAAAAAATATTTTAAATGAGCCGGAATTTGTCACCCTACTGTCCCTACTTCCCGATTTAGTAGTTATATATATTTGTGATGTTGTTAATAATATAAGTAAGGCATTTCTTCAAGGTATCTATATAGGTCGCGACTCGCAATAACAAATCACCATCAACAGCAATTTAAAATATATTGATTACAATAAATCTTAAGCCGTTACATCAATCATAGCCCATGACTATAATTTATTATACTATGTCGAACAATCACTGAGCTAAACCAATCTAACCTTTAAAACTATTAACAAAATATTATTTTATTACGTAAAAACTTCAAAAAAAATTTTTATAATTCTTTGAACTCAGTTGAAGAGTAAATAAAAAAAATGGAAATTAAAACGCATCCTAACGAAAAAACAATAAAAACGTGTTAGGTATAATAAATTATTTTACTAAAGCTACCAATGTCAAAGGTGCTAGCAATAAAAATATTTGCTTAATAAAAATATAAAAAATGTATTATTTTTTCTTAATTAACTATATTATATTACTATTATAACAACCTCCTCCATATGATTATATAAAATTACTATCTGCGGCACTGCACTATACATAATGATTAATATAAATTACGAATGCAATAATATGATAAATTATAGTTAAATTATTTTTGTACACTACAGCTATAATAGTAAAATGTGGATGACGAACGATTGCGAACGTTTTACCTTTTTTTAACACGATTGTGAACGAATTTCGCTAATTAAAAAATTTGTTTTTTTTTTTGCCGAAAAACGAACAATTTCGAACGTTTTTATAGGCTATGTCGCCAATTTTATAATTTCTGAACATGTTTAATTTTGTTCGGGAATTCAATAAATTTTTTTTTTTTTTAATAAAAACTATTCAATATTAATAATATAATGTTACATTAAAGCTACGTTACAAACTAAAATAATATGAAGTATTTTAAATGTTGAATAATTAAAATAATTTCGGATTATAAATATTAATAATATTTGTACATAATGTATAAACTGAAAAAATAAAAACAATAAAAAAATAATAGTTTTTAAAATATTTTTCTAAATTTTTTCTTTTCTTTTTAAAATTTTTTTCTTAGTTAAGAGTTTCCAATTTTTTGTAAATATAAAATTAGATCCTCGTGGATTTTATAAATTATAATCATTATAATTTTTAATGTTAATTCAATTTTAGATTTATATTTTTTGGCCATAGGGTTATATAAATTGTTTTAATAGCGTAGTAGCAGAAAATCTTTATACCTACTATTAAATTATTTTAAAAATAATTATTTAAAAAATTGTAATCGACTGACACCTAATCTGGCAACATCGCACGATTAAAGGTAACTTAAAAGTTCGCAATCGTGTTACGGAAAAACGTCCGTTCGCAATCGCATATCATCCGTTAAATGTGTAATATAAAAAAATGACTACAATTCTATAATTATTATTCATCGTTTCAATTTTTTTTTTTTGAACAAAATAAACCAAAAATATTATAAAATTCAAGACATTTAGGATATAAAACACCTATACGTTGTAGTATAAAAGTATAGTACAAAAATACAGATAATTGAAATACAAAATTTTATTTCTCAGATTTTGGAAATTTCAAAGATTGTTCAATGTTACAGTATATTAAATTATTTTTTTATTTTTTTGGCACTCAAGTAGTTTTATAAATAAATCATTAAATATTAAATAATTTAAAATTACATAGGCTAATTGAAAATATTAGATACTCATCATTAGGGCGCGAATAGTGAAGCTGTAGTAGGGTTACTCCACTCCTGAAATGTAAGATTTTTTTTTATACTAATGATACATTTTTACGATACATATATGTAACTATTTAATTTATATAAAAATTCAGGTTTGAATATTTTTCTTTAATTCATACCCCAATCCCGTAATTGGATATTCATGCATCATAAAATGCAACAGTAAAGGTTTTAAGTATTAAGTTTGGTTTAAAATAGCAAAAAATGTCTTAATTAATTTATGATAAACTCAACTTAATTTAAATTTTAAAACATTATGTAAAAATCAAATGTTAACTGTTTACAGAAAATCTCTTCTAAATTAAAAACATAATACTTTTCTACACTTAAATTTATGAACTATGATGTGATCTTATGACCTTTGTTCAAGATTCTATTTGAAGCGATGAATATTTTTATTTTATAGTGAAATGTGTTTTTTATCTGTCATCACATTTAGGGGCTGTAAAAATTATTTCATACTCTACTTTGAGGATAGTTTCAATATTAAATTAAATATAGGTAATATTCTAGAGATCAAAAATCTCTAATACTTATTCAAAACAAAAAAAAAAACAATAAAAACAAAAAAAAAAATGAAAACATTCGCGAAAAAACAATTTTTTTTTGTTTTTAGGTTATGCATAAGTACTCATGACACAATGATTATTATGGCTTAGTATTAACTTACTTCTGACCGCCCAATTCGTGTAATTCCATAAATGTTTAACGTACATATCCACTTGTCGCTGACAAGCGGTGCTGCCCACTCCCTGTATTGTAAAATTGGCTAATGCACGGTAAAACAAATCAGACACCCATGAATTGGAGAAAATATCCTTATCCTGCAGTGACTTATCATTTCGGTCACCATCGAACTCCAATCCGGAACCATTGCGTACAGAGAATTGTGTTGACTTTGTTTGAAGCAAGAGACCATCACTGTCCTGACGAACTTGACCATTGGACTCAATCAACACCAGTGTCAATAACATGGTTGCAGATATCGACCATCGCAACAGCGATTGCATAAACATCATGACTTATTATTTTTTTATCCCCTGATTTTTAATGTAAAATTGCTTAAAGAAATATTATATTATATATTATGTGCAGTGAAAAAAAAATTAAAAACACATGCCAACCATGCGTGTGAAACAATATAATTGTTTATTATCTCGCATAATTGTATTACTTTTTAATAAAATCGTAATGTAATGATGAAAATATTATTTAATTTTTTACAACCGTCCAAAACTCCACGCACAAAATATATAATCGTCACCAGCCCTTCAAATAGGTTTGAATAACCGTCAGCGTATGGCATAAGACTAACACTGTAGCTAGACGCCTGTATACATTTATACTGATATTATGTACCTAGCTAATAAATTATTTTAATATATTCTTGGCTAATTACATAAATACATTATCTATGTGCGGTAGACACATATTGTGCACAATCATGGGCGCCCATTGGGAGGGGGGGGCAAGACAGGGCACTTGCCCCCCCCCCACCCCTGGAAAAAATATTACCACAATATTACCTTATTACCGAGGCAAATTATTTGTTGAAATCACTTTTAAGATATGAAATAAATATAAAAATATACTCATTGTTATCGTATATTAACATCATAGATAGGTCGTATTCTGTAGTCTGTATAACCTATACGTAAAATAATTTATCGCAGATAATTTATCTTTCATTTTGGATGTTATTAATATGTTTGGAATAAAACGAAGAAATTTACAGTTCTTATTTACTGATACCGAATAATATACTTAATTATATTATTTAATTTCTATTTTTTTATATACTTATTAAAATTATTATTTATTTATTTATTCGTATGGCAATTATTATATTAATACACTATAATATATATGTATATATATACAAATAAAAATATAACATGCATGTATAGTGTATACATTTATACGTGAAAAATAACATTAAATCTTTATTATCTTACATTCGAAAATTTTTTTATTTTGACCCCCCCTAAAATATTACCTATGGGCGCCCACGTGCACAATTAAATTTCATTTTATATGCTTGTAATGTATACTATCACTTTTAACACCATGCAAGAAATCACTGTTAACATGAAAAAAAACAACTCAAAAATATTTGACAAAATCAGTATACCCGCGATACCCAATAATAAAATTTCTCAACTAAAACCCAGTCACAACGATTTAATAAGAAAAATATTCACTATAAAAAAAAGACGAACATTTTAGTTTTTTTTTTTACTTTAATAAATAAAGGTATAAAAAAATGATGTTTTTCGTTTCATGGTTCTTTATGTTATAAATTATGATAAATTAGATCATTGTCACTACGGCCGCTACGGTCACCAATTATACATACCAATCGCTTATCTGAAATCTAAAAAAGTAACACTCACAGAATCGTTAATAATTGATTACACCTATCATGGAGAAACGTAGTTCATAATATTTTACCAGCATTTACAAAAACGGCACTACCGTCAGACGTTAGTGTAACATTTCGATTATAGAGTAAAAAACACCGGGATTGGTAAATTGGGTCCCAAATGACCTTATCTCGGTAAATTGGATGTGGTTTTTATAATATGATGTTCTCAATAAATAATATATGGTATAAATGATTAAAAAATTGTGTACCAGGAAAAAAATCTCAATACGCTAAATAATATAGTACGTCAAATTTTAAGTTATATAATATAAATAATTATAACGTTGTATACCGGAAAAAATGTTAATACCCTAAATAATATAGTACGTCAAATTTTACAATATACCTGTTTATACACACAATTACATTATGCGTAGAATAATTAATTGGTGTCCTGACGATGTACCACACTGTATGCAATATGACGTCAAATTTTACAATATACCTGTTTATACACACAATTACATTATGCGTAGAATAAATAATTGGTGTCCTGACGATGTACCACACTGTATGCAATATGACGTATTATTGTAACAATTATTCAAAAGTAAATTATATAAATATGAAATATTAAAGTTTTAAGTTTTTAATATTTTAGACCTAATTGCGCCAATGATTTATAGCCGGGATCCAACTTACCTACTACCATTTTATACCCGGGACTCAACTTACCGCTTTCAAAACGAACCCAAATTATCGTGGACCCAATTCACCTAGTTCCAAAAACACTACACCGGTTAATCCAGTTTTGGTCAAATTAAATACGTCATTAGTGTTATTACTAATTGATTGCACTCGATACGAACTGAGTACTGATAATGCGACAAATTGAAAACGATTTGATTATAACTTCTACTGTATGATTATAAATGTATAATCATGATCTACAATAAATTCAAACCTACTATATGTAGCATCTGACTCGGGGCCGTATTAAAGGTTAATATTTGGGAGGGAGGCAAAATATTTGGCGCCCTTATTATATTTTATTAATATTTATTTATTTTTTTAAATTAATTTAAATATATACAATCTTGAATCTGTATTTATAATGAGCATATGTGCGTAAAAAGAAAAGAACAATAAGCTATACTAATAAATATTACATATAATATGCGGCTATAAGGACATGGAGACGTGAGAAAATAAGTCACCTAGCAATAACACTCAGATACGAACAATTACGCGTAATTAAGCTATATTATAAATTATGTACATTTTATGTATATTTATATATATAATACCTTATTATATGTATTTTAATATTCTGCACTCTATTACAAAATATTATTATGTATTATTAAATAATAATCATATAAATAATTTTAATGATTAATTGATTTTTATTTGAAATATAGATTTTAATGTATCAAGTTATTTTTTAAATAAATAGTTAACTAGAAATTATGCCATTAGACTTTAGAGTAATATAAACCACCCTATTAGGTTATTAAACATACTCCCCTTTAATAAACCTAGTATAGGTACCTACAAAATGGCAAAATAAGTGTATGCATTATTATAATATTTTATCATATGAATTCATTATTACAAGTTATATTAAAAGTTATAAGGAATGTTGAAAAAATATATTGTATAGTTACATAGTTATCACTTAGTCATTATACAACTAAAACTTTTAACAATAGGTTTGTAATATTATTATAAACATAACAGAATATATATTTTTAAAAAAAAACATAAATATTAATAGTGACTTCTTGTCGAGTATAACATTATAAGAAATATTAAATAACATTTTATTATTTTTAGTTAATAATAAAAAAAGAATCTCTTGATCAGTCTTAAAATATTGATATAATCACATTAAGTTACTATAAAACTAAAACTTTTAGTAATATTATAAATTATTATAAACATAACAAAACAATATTAAAACAATATATATATATATATATATATATATATATATATATATATTAATAGTGAATAAATTACTAGACTTCTTGTCAAGTATAAATCTTTAGGTTAAGTTCGCTGTTAGGTTTATTTATTTCTCATCTTCATCAGCATTTTCAGAAGTAACTATTGATGAATAAAAATGAAGACAATCAGGTGGTACATATTTGGAGACTAGGTCTTGAACGTCTCTTAGTTTATCTGGTTTTATAGGCAATTTTATACACGCAAAACATACGGCTATACGGATATGACTAAAAATAGAATTTTATTTCCATAATAATTATAAAATTATTCTCTCATATATCATTTTTCATTAACAAGAAGTTTAATAATTTATGAATAATGAGTAATGACTGTAACAACTACCAAAATAACATGCTATTCTAATATTCTTTATACTACCGCAACAAATATAAATATAATTATCACTATTATCAGTATATATGTATGTTTATGCATAATATATTATAATGTAATTGTTCATATTCCATGAAATAATTGTATTTACTTATATAATGTTTATAGTACATTGTTATAAGTGTTATAACTTAAAATTTTTATTATTGTTATTATTATTAGTTGATTCTCAATTCTGTGTTTTCCATTATATCATATAATTTGTATGTTTCTCTTTTTGACTCAGTATAGATAGTAAAAAAGCTTATTGTATATACACAAAAAATAAATTTACAAAAAATTTACCTCTCCCAAAAAAAAAAAAAAAAAATTTCCACTCGGGGCAAATGCCCCCTTTGTCCCCCCCCTTTAACGCGCCCAAGATCTGACTACACCCGACGATAAATAAAAATAATAAAGTTATAAACAATTAAGTAGGTATCCATAACACTTTTATAACTTATAATATTAATTATTACTATCTTTATTTATACATTAATTAATGATGTAGAATTTTATAATACAGAAATAAGTTTTAAAATTTTTTGATAGGGTAGAGATTTTCCAATTTTCCCCTCCCATTTAACTATGTTGTTCTCTTTGTTTGATTCCCCCCCCCCCCTGTTTCAGAAATAATGTCTATGCTACCTGCTACATCTAAAGTACACGAGTGATATTTACTTCATACGATTAAAATAATGATAAAAAAATAACTGATGCAACGGGTTTAGCGAATCCAACACGATTATAAGACCGCATGAATATGATCACTATCATTAATTTTTGGCACAAATATTAAATATTAAATGTACAAGAAAAACTAAAAAAGTTTTTTAAGCTTCTTTGATTCTTTATACATGTAATATTGCAATGTATTAATTATAAACATTTAAGTCATAAATATAAAATAATAAAAAAAGTGTATTAAACATTAGTGTATAAATTTACTAATATAGAATAATAAAGTAATAACTTGTCTGTTCATTTATAATTTTTTTTCTTCAATTTTTAACTGGTTTATATTTATTTTTTCTTCTCAAATGTGTTTTTCTTCTAAATAATTAAGAGCTGACAACCTAATTAGTTCATGAGTTCTTTTTCTTTTTCTATTAACTATATAAATAAAATAAAAAAATTATTACATAAATTGAATACGATATTATATATATAATATATATGTAATATATGTAATATAATTACATATATATTTTATTTTAATACCAAATTGTGATGTAGATGGTATATCAATATTAGTTTCTTCTAATTCTATGTTTTTAGTTCATCATAAATTATGAATTATTCATAATATTATTACCTAAACGTCCTAAACATTTTAATTGATTAAATGTTTCTATAAATAATATTAAAATAGAATATAGCCTATAGGTGGTTAATAATTAAACTACATTAACTCACACAGTAAGTCATTACTCATTTAAATATAAATTTTTAACAAATACTCAACGTGTTATTTTATTGCTCGAAGTGCAAATTGTTTATTTGACTACTGAATTATATTTTTTTGAATGACGGACCATTATCCAGAATTATTAAACGAATTATGACATAAGGTTTCTCGTAAAAGACCAAAGTCTTCTTCAGTATCAAATCTTAAACGTTTTTTTTTATTTGATGATTTCATACTTGATATATTATTTTAATTAATAATTTATGAATTTAATAAAATAAAATATTATAGTATATTATTTTTTATTCAAACAAAAAAAATAAATACGATTTCCTTTGTTTAAATGTTATCAATTAAATTTAATAAGATATGGTCATTACTTTATCAAAGATATTATAAGAATATTTATAAATTTTCAATAATCCATATTTTTTAAACAGATTATTTAACACGATAAATTAATTTATCGTACCCGTTGAATGATTAAAAATAACCGATTAACATGAAACATGTTTTGGTAAATAACGTTAACAGAGTTTTTAACCGGTGTTGTGCAAAAAATCTCTAATAAATGCTACAATACTACATAAAAAAAAACTGATTTTTAAATAAAATAATTTTGGTGCATCTATGTCGCTCATTCTTTCACGCCATTGAAAGTAAATACATTTTAGCTAAATGATTTAATTTTAATGATATAAATGATTCAATGATAAACTGTATTATTAAATTTGACTTCGATGGCTATTAAAAGGATCTTGATTTAATATACAGTAGAATCTCGGTAATCCGACACATATCAGACAACGCTACTGCCGGATTAACGAAAACGCCGGATTAGTGGGGAGTTCACAAAAAAACGCATTTTTACTTATTGAATTTTACATTTTTACTCGTATTAAAAAATTATTTAAAAATCTTTTAGGTTGAGAGCAGTTTTCTTTTTGTTTATTAGGATTTAATTTGTTATTATTTAGTTTTATCTAACGGTTTATCGTTTACGATAGTAAATTTATATATAAATACATATTGGTACATATAGGTTAATACAGCCGGATTACTGGACGTATTGGATTATCGAACGGCCAGATTATCGAGATTCTACTGTAATATGTTGTTTCATTTTATAATTTTTGATTATTGTATTATCTGTGCTTATTTCGTTCATGGTCTTAATTGTTAAATACATTTTTATGACGGTTCTTCATTTTAAATCTTATGACAAACTCAGCTACATATTTTATCATCGTGTGATATATTAATTAATTTTCTTCTTATTTTTAATTTTAACAGCAACGATTTATTGACATTATTTTTTTTTAACCAGATCTTAGGGTGGAACATTACTATACGCCATACGGTCTATACGGCGCCTCACCTAAAATTTTGTAATAAATTATACTCAAAAAGTATACTTCTTGGTTTACCAATACCAAATATTTCGTTAATAATTTTTAACGTATTTATAGTTTAATTTGAGAAAAAATTCTTCTTTTTGAAGTTTAATAACATGAATTATCATTTATTATTTTGTATAGAATTCCGTATTTTTAGAAAAACTACAGAACATTTCCTTCCAAAAAAAATTGAAATGTACAACAAAATATAATTTTAACTTATTGTAAATATATATTATATTATAAGATAACTTAAAATATTACTACTGTAACCTAGTAACCTTGTAGTTGATGACGTAACAATAAATAAAAATAAAAAAAAAAAACTGGATAATTAATTATTCTATGGCAAAACTAGCGATAAAGCGATAGAAAATGCACATAAAAAATATTACGTAGACAAACGCTGGTATTTCAGCCGGCGATAATGTTCCAGTGACGTCAAAGAAGTATCCTCTGAATTTATACTCGTGTACATTACTACATTAATCATATACACATCCGTATATATATGCATATTCACGCAACCATTAAATAAACAGAATAAAATTGCGCTTGCCGAACTTCTGAGCCTTACAAAAACCTAGTAAATTTGTAATTTGTATCTCCACAGGACACTCCTCAAGTAGAACAAAAAAATCTTAATTTGAAAATTTTGTGTTTAAATATGTTTAAAAATTCCAATTATCATATCATGAATAACTGTATTATTGAAGAAGAAAATGGAGTGAGGTTACTTGGTTAATTATCCTGTATATATAGGTAAGTTCTTAATTTTTTTTTTTTTAATTAATAACTTTTAAAATAATTTAAATTTTAGATAATGAAACAAATACAAATCATTCCATTTAATATTTAATTTGAATGGAAACTTTAAAAATAACGATTGATCCTTTATCTAAATATGATTTAAATACGTAATTGATTTGATTCGTTTTCAAAATGAATTTATATGAACTTCGGTAGAACATAACAAATATATATTTTTGTGATCAGGGAACTAATTCGTTTAAGTTTCCTTTAAAAAGGTAAAAAGAACCTATGTTGATCATTTCACATCACTGTAATATAATAAAAATTTAAATATTTTCAGCATTTATGAAGTATAAACAATTTAAGCAAATACTATAAGCGATTATAAATTACATATAAAATTATTCGTAATGATTGATTATAGTTAGAGATAATCGTTTATAGTATTTGTATATACCTAAAATCTAAATTCATAAATTCAAATGGCAAATATAATAAACGATATATGTACGTTCTGTAATAGGTATTAAATAAATCATGATTCATAACATATATATTTTACTTTTTTTTTCTTTTTTTAATTAAATAGTAAAATCATAACATGAGAATTTAAAACTAATAATTATAACTATCATTTTTAATAAAAATATTCAAACAAGGTGATGTCTTGCCATAACTATTACAGTTCAACACTTCACAAATATTTTTTGATATCATTGTTACTGTAATACTATACAAATATAATTATAATAAAAGAATTCTCAGTATTCACTATTTAAATATGTATAAATATTAATAGGTACTATGTATTGTCGATAATATGGACTAAGGAAATAAATAATAATATTGTGAATTCAGTAATAAACATAAATAAAAATATGAAATACGCCATAAATATAAATGAGATTAATCATTCACAACTTTGTAATTATTTTATTTATGAAGAAAAATATTATAAAGTAACAATTAATTATCAAACACCGGGAATTTACATAATTCTATAATTTAGCTCTTTTAACTAAGATTATTCTGTATTATTGACTATCGTTTATAGTATTTACATTTGTATATAATTAACAAAAATAATAACCGTAATAATGTTATACTCTTCTACTGACCTGCTGTTGTGTTCAACGAATTCATCTGTAGATTTAAACAATACGTTAAAAATTTGTATATGAATTCATATTGAGCCTAAAAATCATACAATTATATTATTGATTAATATTTTATATTTTATGTCATTAGTTCATCATTATACTTTTATTATTTCACTTATTATTACTATAAAACCTATAACTTTTAATTAACTATATTTTTTGTGGAGGGCACATCATAGGAGTAAGGGGATTTATTATATACATCAACACTTATGAGAGCAGTAATACAATTGAACTATGGAGGCGTAATAAAAAAACTTCTACGTGGAATACTGAGAAAGAGATATGATTCGATAGAGTCGAAGAATATTTAACAGTAGAAAATTGGTAATACTTGTAGTAATTAATGGTGAAAAGAAAAAGTTGACGGATATTAACTAATTGCCACCAATAATAATAATCAATAATGTACCTACACAGACACAAAAACATATATTTATTCTGACTTTCTGTATACCTGATAAATTAAATTTAAAATATTTCTATTTAATTAAGAATATTATATAATGATCTCTAAAAAAATAAATCTCAAATAATCTTTTATCTATAATATAGTTATTTAAAGAATTTTAAAATAATACAATAACTGTTACGTAAAATGGTATAATATATAGGTTTATAAAATAAAAACTGAAAAATGATACAAACTAATATTTGAATATCAATAATATTTTATGTTAGTAGGTAGGTAGTAGTTTTATCTAATAATTATTTTGTATTTTCGAGTAAAAATGTAAAATAACAATATTATTGATAAACAATCAACATATTATACGTATATGTATATACATTTTTAAATTATGAAACAAATATTTTACCTGTGTTTGTACCATATTAGTCCGTTGCTCACGCAATCTTAAAACAGTTTTGAAAACATTTAATTTTGTTCTATCCTGGTGGATTAGACGTAATAGCATGTCACAAGCTATGTAAGTTCCTGTCCTACCGACTCCAGCACTTTTGAACAAATAGTAATAGGTAGTCATAATACGCATTTAGATTGGAGAGTCTTTATTAAATTTTAATAATTGAAACTAAAAATTAATTTGTAAATAATATTACTATTATAGATTACACTCACCTACAATGTACAACAATCAGACCAATTGGGGATTTTGCTTGTACTACACGCCAAAACCGCAACAATATCGATGGGTCATTTGGTGTTCCGAAATCCGGCCAATCGTGAAATTGAAAATGTCGTATCGTCTTTTTTAAATGGCCCTAAAATACGATTATCTATTACAAGTCATTTCAAATTTAACATATTATTTTGTATCTTATGTTGACGGTCATATACATCTATGAGTCCAACTTTCTAAATTCCAAAAATAATTCAATACAAATCAGTAAAATATAATAAGTTAAATGCCAAAGATTTGAATTTGACGATTTTAAATCATAATTGTAAATTTAAAACTATTATAAGCTCTATTTTAAAACAGTTCTAACAGATACTGGTAAGCAAATACATCAAAATATAAACGTTTGAAAATTTGTTGTATATTAAAATATTGTTTTTCTTTTTAAATCAGATCAGATCAATTGTATAGTAAAGTATTATACAGTTACGGGATCTTGAGGGCAGATGTGCCCTAGTCGTAAATTTTTTTAAAAACTTGCTATTAATTAGTATTTATTGAGTACTATAATACTATGCATATTTATTTATTTATAAATAATGTAAAAGCAATGTATTATGACTTTGGTCTTACCAAATAAATCATAATCGCTAAACAATAAGATTCTTAATACATTATTTTTAAAGGGCAATATAATATTACTTTAGAAATAAGTCCAGTTTTCCTTAAAACTAGGTATACATGAATATTGAGATAAGAGTTTAGTACATATATTCTTTCAGATTTTTTTTAAATGTTGGTTTCGTCTTTAAATACTTAAACTTCATTATAAACGATATTATGCACTTACCTTTAGAACTGTCAATATTCTGATTGTAAACGAATAACGCTCTTTGTCGACAATCATAATGTCGTTTTTCACTTGAATATCGCCGAAAACTAATTTTTCATTACTGTTTGGAAAATATTTATCGCATTTTATCTAAATAATTATATTTATAAATTCAAAAACCATCATTAACACGTTACTCTGATTAATGTATATTTAAAGTTATTTGATATTTAAATTAGCAATATGAAATAAATACAATACCTATGTGGCTACTGGCTATGTATTATTTATAACGGCAATCAAAAAAAAAAAGGATAAATTATTCAAAAATTATTAATAAAACACTAAAATTATGGAGAATATTTTTGAGATTCGCGGATCGTATGTAAAGAACCTCAATAGTATCATAATAATTTAAAAAAATTTAAAATTGATGATATAACTTTCGTAGAAAAAAACTTATATTTTACCATGTTTACTCACCTACCTAGTTAACAAACATCTTCCAGTCTAATAAGAAATTAAATTCACTTTTCATATCTCTCTTAACCACAAGCTATTTTTATAATTCACCTCTACTCCATCAGATGCGTTTCACCAATGTGGATCTTACTTTATCTTTAATTACGTAGCATTTTCTTATTAAATATTAACCATATGAACTTATAATTTAATTAATTTAAGATATTTTTTACTAATTACTGGACCTTATTATTTATTTATTTAGTTTCACAACCCATTTCCTATTTGAATGAATAAAAAAATATGACTATACAATTTATTACATAAAACATTATGGCATTATTTACTTTTTTGGCAAAATATGAAAAAATTAATTAATTAATTTTTCTTATACTAATTTGACAAACATTTTAAAGCAAGAATGAAGTCCAACAGACATATTTCAAAGTTTACAATTTCAAAATCAAAATATTAAACCAAGCTGATTACTTGGAATAGTATAAAAGAAATGGCATAAAACTATAGCTGGTAGTGGTGTAGCCAAGAGGCGTAAATTTCCTCTTCATCATCGCTTTATTTTATTGCATATAGTCTCATTATAGTTCAAAACTATACATTTTTTTATATAAACATGCACTAAAGACCAGTGGCGTATTTATGGGGGGGCCGAGGGGGCCCAGGCCCCTCCCAAAATGAAAAACGCAATTATTAAAAATTGTTATTTTTGACATGGAGTATGTCTTATGGTTGGGGAATGGGGATAATTCCAAAAATTTGACACGATACCGATATCATGACGTCATGAATGAAACTGTCGCTTATGCGATAATTTAGAATAAAAGTATAGCGTGTTGAATGCGTTGGTATTTTGACGATTATTAATGATTATGTAACACAATTTATTATTTAAGTTATATAAATAAAACAAATATTGGTTGTTAGTTGTTTACGATTTCGACAGACGGAAACTATTGGTATATATGTAATTTTAGCTCATGACTTCTAGAATTAAATTAATAACTGTAGTGGTGAGATAGTAATAATATAGGTAATCAGTGGCGTAGGTTAGGTATTAACTATTAATTATATACATTATATTAGTATTGATTGTATTCTAGTTTAATTTTGAGTGTCTCTAATAAAAAATTGTTTATAAAAATGTAGTTATTACTTTTTTTTATGTTAAAATTCATTAAAAAAATGATTGAGTTTCTTATTACTCTGATGGTCTAAAGAGAGTTGAGAGATCTTGTAGTATTCAAGCAATTTTTGTCCAAATAGTGTGTCTCCTCCCTCCTTTCCCTCAAGAAATCCAAATATATAATCGGCCCCCTCTGAAATAATAACCTATATACGCCACTGCTAAAGATTAAAGTATAATTCCACTGATTAAAACTGATTCCTGGCTACGCTATTGAATTATATGTATGTATGGTACACTTCACTACTTATAAAATCTAGGATTGAAATACGTTTACAAATAATATATTTTGAAATAAAATCTTACTCTACCTTATTTTTTTCATTAATCTGACATAACATAACAATCGAAGCTACGTCTTGGTCTAAAACCATTTGCCACATATCAACGCAAGTATTTTTTAAAGGACCTTGACAAGCAATATATTGCCGAAAACCATTGGAATCCTAAAAATATGCAATTAATTTATCTAAAGTAATTCATGGTTTACACTTTTAATCATCAATAATAATCATAAATATAAATAACATACAGGATTACTGATACACATTGATATGTTATGAATTGTTAATTTACATGGACCTAATACGAGTAATACAGAAGATTGTGAATTTAATACATTAAAATAATCTTGAAAAATACACTTAGAACTTTAAGAATTTTTAGTATAAAATGCAATATAAATATATGAAATTCATGATTTAAAAAAATAAAAATCTCTTTAAATATTGTGTACGTTTAAATTATACGTATATATTATTACTCACTTATAGGAAACATAACCTAATTATTTTTTTACACCAAACATGTTGATTTGATACAATAATTCATCGGAAAAACTATTTTCATAAATAAATTTAAAGTTTTAACTATTTAAAAGTGCTGTGCTCGTATCGAAAAAATAAAAGAATGAAAAATTAGACTTTAAATAAATCAAATTCTCATAAAATCATTAAATAACCTAACTTAAAATATTAGAGCCCTATAATCCCCTTAATTCGAGTACTGAATAGATAATATACATTTTAATAACTAGTAGAATATATTATGCTTATAAAACGTCTATTCTTAGAATATATATATATATATATTTTCAAACTACGATTTTTATAAATTATTACTCACTTCGATAAAAGATGCGTTGATGTAGTAATCTGTATCGTCTGACTTTATAGTCACTCGGTTGTAGTCATCTGTATAATGTATTATATAACAAGACCAAAACGTTGGGTGAGTGTACATGAAATAATTAAATCACTCAGTTTTCTGGTCTTACATGGTAATGTGTTGACGTAACGATTTTTAAACTTGTTCTGAGGCATCATAGCTACATTTGTCGTGAAGTTTGATTTTGAGTACACGTTCAATAGGTCATACTCGGCCTCGATTTCTTCTGGAGTTTTGGCCAACAAGTGTTTGAAATTCATGTCATTTGGCACACCAGACCCTTGGCGTGTTGCAGTCGTGTGTATTACTCTATACTGTACGGCCCTGTTTCATTCGATTTAAACCCTGTACGTATAGTAGCTTATTTAGGTGAGGGGGGGGGCAATGCTTATCTTCTGTAGCGGCAAAATTTTCAAAATCAAAAGGGGAGCAAATTTTTTGATTATTTTATTTTTTTAAACTATATTCAGATGTTTAAATAGTAAAATTTTGTATCTATATAATAATATTACTCGATAATATTTTCTGGTCTTTGTTAACCAGACACCAACATTCAATACACGATACATGTATAACCACCTTTTTTTCACGATATTAACATAATGATAGAAATTTTTGGTTTTTTTTCTTTAATAGTAATGTTGGTATCTAGTTATCATACTTTTGTGAGAAAAAACGTGAAGGAGGCTTTCAACCTTTAAAGTAAATCTTCTTCAAACTCTTTTTGACTCTTTAGTTGTTAAAATCTAAATACGCCCCTGACTAAACACATTTAAATATACTACCTACTACATTATAAAGTTTCGTTATACGTACCACGGAACTTTTTCGTTGAGTACACAATACATACCAGTCGCAGTGATGAACACCGCGAACAGTACACTGTACAACACCAAGTAGTAGACTGCTGTGGGTTCGCCACCTAAAACGTAGTACAGGTATAATGAAACATAAAGTACACAATAAGTAGGTTTAAAAAAAAATCCGGGTTAATTATTGTGACTTTTATTTGTATTCTTATTGTGGTGGTTTTATCGCCCTAGTAACCATATATACTGACATCGTAACACATACAATGCATGTGTATTGGCATGCGATACCTAGAAATTTGATGAATATACTCCAAACCTTGTCCAATATTTACTATCTTATATAATACCAGCAGTCATGCTATGCCATAATACGAATTTAAATAATAATTATTATTATTATTATAAAATCAACATTTGTTTGTATATCAGGCTTTGTCATTTTAGATCCCGGGTAAAACTAGTCGATTAAATAATGTATTAGTTTTACGTTAATGTCATGTTTTTTTTTGTATTTTATAGTTTTCTTTGAGAATGGTTGTAAAAAGAGTGATTCGATTATATATTGCATTCGTGTATAAATCATTATCTATAGAAAATATAACAGGATGTGGATTGTATTAAGAGAAGTGATTTTTATGATTTTTTTTAACGTTATCATCTGTAGTAACAAGTTCTAATTATTTGTGATACATTCGCTTTTCATAAAACCGATTTTGGATTGATTTGTTTTAATTGTGAACAAAATATGTACTAGTGACTTTAAATAACCGTAATAGTTTTTTTTTTAAATTATTAAGTCTTGGAAAAATTTGATTAAGATTTTGGTATTAAGATACTATGATGAAACAATATGAAATACTGAGTTTTTAACCGAACTGTAATCAGGGTTTACTGACTTTTTACCTTTTTATAATGTATATAATTATTATTTATAGATTATAATATTATTAAATTGTATTAATTATATTATACGTAATACTTATGCATAAGTTTTAAACGATGTATTTTAAATAATTTAGATTATTTTTAAGTAATTAATATTATAAAATAAAGCGATCTTTAATACATATTATTTTATTTGCATTTTTAGGCTGTAGGCTGTATAGCACGATTCAGCAAATTTTATAAACCTATAAAGTACATATTCTTAAATAGGATTTTTATCCCGGAAACAAGTTGAAACTATTAGTTTTTACATTTATTATTATTCAATCAAGGATTGTACATTAGAATTAAATATTATTTTATTTACCTTTACAACATAATTTATTTTTCATATTTGTTAATTTTTGCTTTCGAGTATTTGATAAATGTACATTTGCTATTATGTACCAAATTTATTTTTGCTACTTTACACTCAACATATGTATTCCTACAACACTTACGTGTAGTAAATGGTACGGTCCACGAATCTTGAAACCCATCCGCTGTAAAAGCCCTGAGTTTCAATCTGTAATTAGTAACAGGTCTCAATGGTCCGTTGCAATAACTTTTCTTGTCGTTTATGGAACAGGTGTTGTCCGCGCCAATATCAAAAACCTCATCGTTTTGATCTAAACGTCAAACCAAACAACAAAATTACAACGTTTTAATAATATATCAGATGTAAAACTTTAAAAATACTAAATGTTTTCATTTTTAATTTGTTTTGTAGTTGTTAAATCCTTCAAAGTGATTCTTCAAAAATATATTCAAAATTCAAAATTATAGACAAAATATACATAGATTATATTGATACTTAAGGGTAGCATATGAATTAAATGTTCTGAGGGGAGTGTAGGTTTTTAATTTTTATCTTTTTCATAGCCTAAGTTTATCCGCAGTCATGTCAACAAATAATATTAAATAATTCGAATGCATTCTCTGTCCACGTGTAAAAATATGTTATACATCGAAGATGATATAAATCAATTTCAAATTAGTAAAATATCAAGACTAGATTTCGTCAAAATAACGGCATTTAAACACCAGCCTATATAAATTTACAAAAAAAAACCATTTAAAATAATTAATACTTTTACCCAAATCCAAGGGTGTAAGCTAAAATAAATTATCATAAATAAGAAACAAAAAACATTTTTGAGGCATAAGCTAGTTCAACTCCTCGTAGTGAACCCCGGGTAAAACTATAAATGAACTAGGACATACTAGGTTTATATCGAAATATGATTTTATTTTTTCTTGGGATACACTCAGAACATTAAAAAAAAAAGATCATTTCGGGACGCTTTTGGTAAACTCCCAAAATAATGTAAGTTCGAATACACGACTGACCTTTAAAAGGCATCCACTGGTCGGGCGTTGTCTGATACGCCAGTATGAAAGGGTACGGTGCAGCTTCGGCCCATGTCCGCATGGGAGGTGGCCAGACGTCGTAATGCATCTGCTGCCGAGGATTATTCTTCCTAATGCCGTGTTCTGGCTTGTCTGGAAATCCGCCATCCTGGTAAACGATTATTGAATAGTATTTGATATTTCCGGAGGCGCTCGAGAACAAGTTTCCGGGTATGGACAAACGGACCTGCGTGAGATAGTTTTCGGACACGGTCACTCTTAAATGACGGTATGTATCGTATTTGCTAGGTAAATCCGGGCCTGTATACATTTTAATAAAATCATGTAAAAAATCATTTTTTATTGTATTGCATATAAAAACAAAAATATTACAACACATATTTTAATACATACAGTAGAACTTTGATAGTCCAGACGAATTTAGACTGAGCATCGTCCAGATTACTCTAAATTTGTCAGGATTACCGGAGGGTTTTTAAAATTTCCTACTTAAATGACTAAAATTTTTATATTTATTACACATAAAATTACAAAAATAATAAATAACTTTAACATAATGAATTCCAAGAAAAAAAAAAAATGTGTATAATAATAGAACTTATTACTATAATAGTCAGTATTTTTTTTCTGAATAATATTTTTAATTCCGAACAAACTACAAATGTATTTACGAACAATTATCGCATTCACCGGATTATCGGAGACCCGGACTATCGAGACTCTACTGTATTCATTAATAAACAATAAACTAATAAAAATGAAAAACATAAAAATCCTAGCTAAAATTATTATTTAATATAAAATATAAAATATGTTATGTGATAATACTTGTCGATGGTGTAATAAATCTAATGCGTTTGTCTTGGCCCGGGTTCTCCACAGTTTCGGTTATCGCTGCTACCGTACATAAGTACGTATACTCGGGCAACAATTGGGTTAAGCTATATTCAAATTCCGTTTCGTTGTCCTGGTAAAATATATTTTGTACTCAAAAACGTGTTTACGCTTAGTTTTTAAATTAAAAATTAATATACGTGTATAAAAGGAAATATTTAAAATTAATGAATTTAATAAAAATACAATTATTAAAAATAAATAATTGCGTAAAGTATTTTTCAATCTTTTTCGTTATAAATTATTAAAATACAAAATATATGCTAGTTTCTGAAATCATGATTTCAAAAAAATATTATGCCCTATAACATGCATAATAGACTTATATAATTTTATACAATATGCACTATTGCACTACAACGTAATCTAATAGCTATGGACTTAATATACATTTTGAATTTTTATCAAACTTATTTCTTAATTTATTCTTCAAATAAGTACGAGTAGCAAATAAAAGCATGCATTCACAGGTTTATTCAAGAGATTCGTTATCACAGTACTACCAAATATGAATTCTAATTTTAAAATTATTAAGTAAATACGGCTTCGACGGTTGCTGGTATGAACTCCGCGGAAAGCCGATCGCAGAATTACGATTTAGCCATATTGTGTAAAGCACGAATACCAAAAGTTGATGATGTGTTAATTAACAAAACAAATAAAACCACTTCGTGTGCTCGAAAAGCGTGATCGATTGTCAGGGACGTACCCATGGGGGGGTCTAGGTCTAGACCCCCCCCCCCATTGATTAACTGAATGTTTAAGGTGCAAACCACAGATTGTACTAGTAAATTATATTATTCATATTAAAATAAATGTAATATTTAACACTTTGTTTAATTTTTAAGTTAATAAATCAATATGTTTGTTGTTTTACCATCTCGCCAAGTGTCTTTACAACGTTGGTGGCAGAGTCGACGATGTCACGTTTTTACTCATGATGGCAGTTGTGACAGTCATAAGCGGCACTTAGCTATTATTATTATAGGGGAGAAGGAGGGGATAATTAATCACAATTTACTGGCCCATTTAAAAATCTTCTCACATTCAACTTATATATAATACATTCCACATTAATTTTTACTTACTTTCCATGTAAATAAGAACAAATAACATTTCACACTCCTATATTCTTATATTTTATAGAATATACATTGATTTATATTAATTTATGGTAATACAGTAAAAACCGTCTAATGCGGAATAGCATAGGACCAATCAAAAATTCCGCTTTAAGCAGTTTTCCGCTTTATTGAATAAAACGGAAAAATTCCGAATTATAAATTCAAATTAGTTTTTCACATTAAAAAATTAATTTACAACATTTATGATTTTTATTTTTTGAGTTAGAGATTAATTAAAAACTTAATTTATTACTTTACTTTATATAATTTATTTTAGATTAATTAGACTTATTTTCTAATAAAATCATTAAAAATGTATATATATTATATAAGTATAAAGGTCCAATTAAATTTAAAATTTAGCTTTTCCAAAAATTATGTAGAGTTTTTATTTTGTCATTGTTGTTGCTATTTTCTAATATTATATGTAATTTAATAGACATCACTTAATATGTACAAGCAAACTGTTCAGTGTAAGACTGTTGGTGGATAACTGTTTCACAACAATACATCATACACACGGCCATACGGGATAACTTTTTAATTTCATTTAAATAACACCCTGAGTTTGGATCTGATATTGACACGCAACACTACATATTCATATCAACGTAACATGACGAGTGTCATATTTCCGGTTTATGCAAGATTTTTACTTCCACTGGACCTACAAAACCATTCCGTTTTCACATTAGGAAGGTTCCGTTTTATTGAGGTTCAACGTCTATATAAAACTATAGGAACATGCCAGACCATCGAAAAATTCCGTATTGGATAGTTTTCCATTTTATTCAGGGTCCGCATTACTTAGTTTTCACTGTATTGATAATACTAATCTGACTTATCATAGGGAATAGTTTTCTTATATAGTTGTACAAAAGTAATTTCAACATAAATATTTTTTTTTTAATTAAAAATTCTTTAAATAATATTTAATATAGGAGGAGGACAAAATAATAAGTTTCTGGGAGGGGGGGCAACTGTCCCCTATACAAACATACAAAATTAATAGTAGGTACATAGTATTGAATAATTTTGAAATTTAAACTCATATTTAGTAATGATACAATTAATATCAATATATCAATTAGCCATTAAAAATAACTTACTGAAATATCGCATTTGATACTGAAAATGTGATTATGAAATCCAAGTCTTTCTCCCACAAACGTACTGTGAAAAAATGCGATTTTTCCGTTTGGAATGCACGGGTACTTCCAACTCAATACGACCAAATTAGATTCTATCGATTTAACTTGTAGGTTTTTGACCGGCGAACTAGCTACAGTAATATATTAAACATGGTTAAATATTGATATATCTATGGAACTATATTAAACTATATTGTGTACTCGTATATGCATACTTATAATTTAAACCTGGGATAGAAAATCTATAGTTACAATGTCATAAATATGTAAAAATAATCTTGAATACACTTAATATCTTAAGTCTTTATATTTAAAGGTACTATGCAATCCGTGACGATAATATTATGTACTATTTAGTGTATATCTACACGTAAATTAACATTTTATTTACTGTTTATCGTTTGTAAAAAAATACTATAATATTGTGCGGCTGATATATTATTTAATAAGAATAATTCTCATATTATAATTTGTACATTACTCGACGACAGCGTGTGTATCGTAATATTTGTTGAATTTCCAAAACCAGACTCTGTTGCAGCACTCAATTCTATGATGTAACAGCTAGCAGGTATTAAATTCTCAATTTGATGCTGGTACGTCTGATCATTTTTAACGAAATGTGTGACCACAGGTTCTGTGATTCGGGTCGAGCAGTATTTCGGTGGTTCGTATAAAAAATGCTTAAACATAACCGTCCAACGGTAACTGTCTATTGTAGCGGGAGATACTGTAGTAGACGATGCCCATGCAATAATCACGCTGTTGGCAGACAACTTAATGATCGATAAATTTGTTGGTGGATCTGGCACTGTCAATAAAAAATATTAACGAAAACAATATATAGTACGTATGCTTTAATAAATGCCATCAAAACATTCAAAACTATACGTTATCACAGCACAACTAATAAATAAACTTGAGACAATATGCATTATTGCATATGCTGTAGGTACATACAATGTTGTTTGATATATTATTTCAAAAGTCAATACAATGATATTTAAATGTGTAATAGTGTAAAACTCTGAGGAAAACGGACAAAAGAAAACTAACGGTTTAAAAAAAAAATTGTATCAGTTAAAGACGAAGAGACAGAAAAGTGGTAAACAATGAAAAATAACGAGTTGAATATTCTATCTTCCAAATACGAAACATATAGGACACAAATATACGATTGGCAGCTGATGATAACAGTGGGCTAGATATGCGTATTGAATCTATAAGTCTATAACTAACTATTAATCATATTTATGGGAAAAAACCCTGTAAACAAATAGTCAATTGAATTCCTCTATTTAATATAAGATGATATAATATAAAAACCCGTAGTCTCCAAATGAAAGACTGAACTGGAAAAACAAGCAGCTGATAGGGAAAATGGAAGATTAAATGTGTAAAGGAATGGTTTAATCGCCAATAGACTCTAAAAAGAAGAAGAGTTTAAAACAAGTAGTTATTTGTATTAGCGGCCGACTGGTAAATTATAAATATAAATTGAAAATTTATAAAAAGTTGTTGATAAGTTTTTAAGCTCGACACACTTATTCAATTCCATAAAATGCGTACTTTAAAATAAAAATATAGCATATCACTAGGTATCTACAATAAAAAATTATTTGTAAGCATATTTTTATTTTACATTATCTTGTCTTATTTAACGATAACGATTAGTCGTAATCCTCAAACTATTCTATATTATTTTTGATATAATAATAATAAATAATAATACAATACCTTGTAACTTTGTCCAAACAACGATTTCGTCACTCTTTTCTGAATAACCTTGCTTATTATAAAACGCAGAGTAACAAATGTACTTCGTGAAAGGTTTCAAGTTATCTATGGTCACTGCTCGGGCAGGTGTATACGTCATCAGTTCGAATGAAGAATTCAAATTCGAACAGTTTACGATTTGATGTATTAAAGTGCAAACAGATTCGATAGGATGATCCCATTGCAGAGTGACATTATAACTGGTTAAAAACAATATTCGTCCATTTGTGGGCTTTTCCAAAACTGAAAAATTACATTCTTAAATTCTTATTTTACCTAGATATATACTATATAAAATTTAAAATCTAAATCCATAGATCGGGTATCTTATAGTAACTATAACGGTTTCTACTAAGATTTTTAAAGGGCTAAACATTATTTTTCAAAATTACTTGCGAACTGTATATACGATATTGTAACGCTAAAAATATTTTTTTGTGTATCCATTTTATTTTACTGCAGGTATATGATAAAACTAAATAACAATTTTGATTTAAGCCGATCTTTACAATAGATTATTTATTTTATAATTGCATCTTTAAATGACAATTAAACTAAGCTATATGGAAAATAATAAATGAAGTGTTATGATTTAGCAAGTTTGATACAATTAAATAATTTAAGTTGTGTGGTGGTGCTGTCAAAGCAATAAATGATAATAATAGAAAATAATAATTTTATGAGACATAGAAAGATTATATATACTTCTACAAAAATATACACGCTCACACATTTTAAATATTTGACCACCTCCGAAAATTTGATACTTTTTTTGCCACCCACACCACACCAAAACATACAGATACCAAAATCAATCATGGATGTAAAATATCAGTGGATACACTATGTAACACGGTCTGTGTTGTATCTTAGGTATATTTATGCTAAATAATATTACCTTCGGCGATTACAGTGGCTTCAGTTTTGGCTGACAAACCATTTTCGGTGTCTGACATTTTTGGCGTAACCGTTATTTGATACGTTACACAAGGCATTAGATGTAAAATAGTCAAAGCATTAGTCTATAAAAGATTTAACACTACAATATAAATGTATAATAAACATTAGTTAAATGTTAAAAATAGTATAATTTTAATTTTTAACTGGCCAGTGGCCTACACTAATTTTCTTAAGTCAACATTTGATTTTTTTTCTACAATTTATAATATAAATAAAATACTGCATTTTTGCAATATTTTACTAGCATATTTTAATGGTACGTACTTCAGTCATAATTGTAGAGCAAACGAATAAATCGTTACAATAAACAACTTCGTATTTACGAATACAAAAAGACGAATTAATCGGTTTATCCCATCTAACGAATATAGTTCTCGACTCATTTGATGAAGCCGTTAACTTCACTACAGGTCCAGGTACTAAAATAAATAAATATAAATTTAATAAACTAAACATAATTAGCTAGACATAAAGAATGCATCCTCATATAAAATTCGCATAATTTTCTTAATTGACTGTGCGGTTTAAGTCAATGATAAATCTAGCCTTAGTGACGGCGTTAAGATGGAAATAGGGGCAGTTACCCAGGCCTCATACTTTAAAATTTTTATTTAGGCTCCACGGGTAATAATTCAAAGACCCTGCAGTATAGGTAGTGATTTATTTTGCCCAAGGCCCCGCAAACTCTAGCGCCATCACTATCTAGCCTGCACATTGATAAATGAAAAGGGTTATTTTACAAAAGAAGAAATAATAAGAAACCTTGTAAATTGAAACTTATTAGAAATAAAAGTAGGTATCTAGAAGAATTTACAGTAGATTAGTAAATACATTTTTGAAGAAAATTAAAAAATATTACAATTTGTCTATCAGCCAATGAGCACAGACAAACTCGTCAATACAGTTTGGGTAGTAAATCAAGAGAAGCATGACTAATTTTTAAAATAAAAGCAAAAAAACTTGTAATTGTATATGTAGATAACAATGTATTGGACATGGAGGCTACTCGTATATTAGTTATATGTAAAAATGATTAATTAATTTAGTTCCTATATTAAAAATATAATCAGTAACTATAGGACTTAATTAACAAGTAGACGATGTAGACAAGATTTTGAAAAATGGTATTTTGCTAAATTACGAAACACAATTTTTTTGGATAACAAATAAATGAAGAAAACTAATTTTTATCTACTGAAATTCGACCACGTTAAAAAATACAATAAATATTAACTAGTATCATAAATACATTTAGTTAAAATTAGACGAATATCAGTGATATATCTATTAGGTATAGATAATAAATGGGAAACAAACTATTACGAAAACGCTTCACATTTTAAATCATAATTGTTAATATACAATACAAGCTATAAGCAATATTAATATAATTAATAAAATTATTATTTCACTCCATAGGAAAACTTCTTACCAGAGTTCACGACACAGCCAAAACGATATTTATGGGTATGAGTATATAAGCTTTGTAATGTACATATATTTTGTAGTATAATATTTTTTAATACCTAAGAAAAAACTGGTGTGCCTACTGCCTAGGGCTATATGCCTATATGCAAGCCCTAAATGCACACAATATACGAATATTGAATTTATATATAATACGACTTATATATTTTAGGCATATATAGTTTTAGGCGTATCTTCAAACCTCATTTCATAATCCTAAAACTGCCCTTATGTACAACATGGAATACTTTCCGTTTATTTTCAATTACTCAAGAAGTCAAGTAATCAGAAAATTTTTTGAAAACTAGATAGGATATTCTCAGGTAGATCGTTGGTATACATACTTCCAGGATCCGTAGTTACATTGAACGCTGTAGGATTTCCTTTAACGCCTGCGAAGTCGACCGCAGAAACATAACCGAAATATGTGATGCATGGTTCTAACGCTGTTATCATGTGATGATCGAATTCGGTTTGTATTTCTTGACCGGTACCTCGCATTGAAGTTAATGAGATGTGAAAATTTGCCGTACATAATTTCTGTTCCATCGGGTTTCCCCACGAAATCAAAATCGAATGACTCGAAGTTATCGCAGTTAAATTCTTCACAGCTTTCAGTTCTAAAATAAAAAACATTTACAGTAGGCAGCTATCCATTTTTTTAATTCACGTTGTAATCGTTGTATGATACTATAAAAAATACTATAAGTACAATGAACTGAATGAACACCGCTTGTATAAAATTCAACTTTGGAAGCAGCACAAATTAAGTCTCATAATAGAATGAACATTATAAGTAAAAAATAAAAATAAAACATAAATTTATTATAAAATGTATTTATTAATTTTAAGTTTACACATTTATTGCATAATAAATAATAATTTTTTTTTGCTATTTTACTCTTGCATATTATTTATTATTTTTTTGTACTCTCGACCATTTTATAAATTATACTTATCTCCTTAGATATATTGCATACTTATTGAAATTAGTGCCAAATAACTTTTTATGTACTAATTTATTTCAAAATTTTACCAAAAATACCTAAAATTTTTATCGAGTTTTTATAAAATCATACTAAAAATGTTTGAGCAAAATTTGAACCTTTTAACTGACTTTTTTATGTTTCAAGACACATATTAACCCTTTTAAGCTGCTAAACCTTAAAAGTGCAGACGTAAGTATGCTAGTTTCTTATTATTATTATTTTTTTATACTTACGGGAGAAATGTGAAGTCAATGCAACTGTAGAAGTAAAGGGACCACTAAGCATATTTTCACCGGATCCGTAATATAAACACCTCACCGTGATTGTATAAGCTGTACATTCCATCAATCCTGTTAGTGTGATATTGTTGCTACTAGTTAACTTAATTTCATTATTCAAATGAGTGGAATACGTCAACGAATAATTTACGCTGCTGTTTATGTCTGGCAGTAGTCTCCATTCAGCATAAAACGCGGTTGGGCTAATAGGCTCTATAATCAATTTAATGATACGTCTTTGGAAATCTTGAAATAAAAAAATAAAAAAATTTAAATAATATAGAATTCAACAATGAAATAATTTTATCACTATTCACTATACATCGGGTAATCCATTAACATTTAACACTTATACACTAAAACCTTACGTTCAAAATCTTTAAACGTTTTTGAAAATACATATTTAAAATAATTTCAAGTCGTTACAAAACTACATTTTTTTGAAAAAAAAATTATTATTATATCGTTATCATTTTTTAAAAATTTTACGTTTATGAATGACAGCATGCATGTTTAATTTCGTATCCAAAAGCAAAACATTTTTTTAAGTACTGCTTCGATTTATAAAAACCGAATTTTGAATGAGTAATTTATGTTAGTATAAGATTATTAAGGTTGTTAAATAAGCTGTTTAGTTAATATGTATGGAGTGAAGGGGTATTCCACAAAATGATGATCTACTACTCTGCTCATAAAACTTAAAATACTTATGAAGTCATAAATAATAAACTATTAGTCCGAAATTTTATTTTAATAGTTAGAAATACTCCGAATAATATTATACTTCGAAGTATAAAAATTAAAAATATATGCGCTGTCATTCAAAAGAATAAAATATTTAAAATATTTAATTTATACAAAATTATACATTACAAACATGATCAGATAAAGCACTTAAACTGGTAAAAGTTGATACTATACGGTTCGAATCTAAATTCGTATAAAACAAAAAATTAACATATAATAATATTATAAGCGAAGAGTGCAGCCGTGCAGGGATGACTTATCGTCCACATTGGTTTAAGAAACGACCCTGTAGTTCTTAATGATTTATTAGGTACCTAAAAAAAACTTAAACTATGTATGGTTAATAAAACATAAAGAATTACATAAATGCACAATACTAATTTTATCATTTATATTAGCATAACTCGAGTAGTTAGATCAATAAAACTTAATTATTATTGTAGATACATTATAGTATCTATGACATTGCGTGATCATTATCAATGACCATCAGTTGCATATTATATCAGTGATAGATACTATCCATATAAAAATGATATATTTGTCAATTAAAATAAAATATATATATAGTCATGTAGATTCCTTAATACTACCTTTATAAATTTAAATAATTAGTACCTATACATATTTGAAAAATTTAAAACATACACTTCTATAAAATATAAATCCCGAGTTTTTCATAGATTTCTAGTTGAACATAATAAATATGTTTTATAAATAAAAATAAAACAACAAAAAAAAAGCATAATATAACATTTCCTTCTAAAACCATTGGTTTTTGAAAGAAATACACTTGTTTCCATACATAAGCACGTTTGGTTTTGTATACAAGACTTGTCAAAACATTTATTGTTTTACAAGTTACTCAGCAACGTACATCACCTCCGCTCCACCATTTAATATTTTTGAAAATTTCCATTACTATATAATGATTAGTATGAATATTATGTAATTTTTATGAATTTGTTTGATATCAGTTTTCCGGTTATGGGAGAAAAATAAGGCTGAAGTGATATAATTTCGATACCACCCATGCTTAAAAGTTATATATTCATAGCTTTAACTACACCATGATTTAACATGTAAATTGTGTGAATAATGGGTACCATTGTTTTTAAAATTTATTTATTCATCGTTCGACAACTATTGCGGTTACTTAAAAATATTTCCTGTAAATTAAATTAAACTTTAAATACAAGTAATTTATTTTAAAATTAATTACATTATTCATTTGAAAATATTATTAATACAGAAGTGATAAATTCTATTACTAAAATATTTACATTCAATTTTTTATGATATTTCAGTGACGTCTTACATTAGTAGTAATAGTAGAAAAAAAATGTTATCTCTTTTAAATGTTTTTCATTAATAATTATAGTAGTATACTATACCATTGATTAAATATAAAAATCACATATATGTATATAATATAAGTATTTGATCAATAATTTATTATACTATACTAACGATTTCCGTCGGGACGGAATAATTTATAAAAATGTTCAATAAGTTGAATGTACCTATAATTGATTTTACAGACCTTTAATATATAATTAATAATTAATTATAAAAAAAAATATTAATTATCATACAGATACAATTGCCATAACAAAGGCATCTGTATCGCGTGTGCCAATATCACTAAATTCTCGTGAAGCCTCGAATATAATCATATTTTACCCTCTTAATTCTAGAACAAAAACATTCTGATCGTATGATGTAAAAATTATTTTTTACACATCCGTGATCCATACAAATAGTATTGTAATATTTTTTTTAGTAATGACAGTGTCGAGAAACTAAATATGTGTTAAAATATAATATGGGCGAGACCATTTTCGACCAAAAATGTATACTTTCTTTTCGGCCGATTCACTTTTCGACCAGATTTAAAATAGATCGATTCCCTTTTCTACCAAAATCATACTCTTCCCTTTTTGCCCAAAACAAAATTTTATGTAATGTATGTAAAAAAATGAAATAATTGATAAATATTTTTTTGTAAAATTAGAGCAATTATATAATTATGTAATTTTGAAAATGATTAAAAGTATAAGTTATATAAAATGTTGTAAAATAAAATGTGGAAAATTATTTAAAGTATAAGAATATCTATATATTAACATAATTTATATGTTAATATATTACAAACCTACTTATGTGATTTAAATTTTATTTTTTTATATAATACCTATTATACATATTATTACATACTGTGATATATTAACATAAAAATTATGTTAATATATAGATATTCTTATATTTTAAATAATTTTCTACGTTTTATTTTACAACATTTTATGCATTTTATACTTTTAATCATTTTAAAAATTATATAACCATATAATTGCCCTAATTTTACAAAAATTATATACTAATTATTTTATTATTTTACATAAATAATCAGTGGCGTAAACTGGATGGTGCAAATGGCTCATTTACACCACCACATCTAAAATATGTTGGTGCAAAGGTATGTTTTTGCATCACCAGAAAATCGTTGAAATAAAATTTGTATACCTATGATATTATTTTTAATTTTGTAACTATCTTTTTTTGTATAATATATACATAAACAGGTACAAAATTGTAATTTTCGTGCATGTATTAGACCTTATAAATTAAATTATTATCCCTACCTATATTCTAAAATTTTGTAACTGCCATGCCATAGATAATTAGACAAAATAATTATAAATAATTCAAAATTTATTTATTATTTAAAGAAATATATAGGAAAATATATAGTTTATTAGGAAGGATTTTACTTAGGAAGTTGGATTATATGTGTTTCGGAAATTATAGATTGAGAATATATGCCTCTGTACGACTGCACCACCAGAAATTGGGTTCAATTTACGCCACTGTAAATAATATAAAATTTTGTTTTTATCGAAAAATGAATCGGCTATATAAAAGGAAGTATACGGTTTTGGTCGAAAAAGGAATCGACCTATTTTAAATTTAGTCGAAAAGGGAATCGGCCGAAAAGAAAAGGGTATGTTTCTGGTCGAAAACGATCATACCCTATAACTAGCAACACGAACGGGCAAGCGTAGGTACGCGACCATTGATGGATTCTGCGTCATATTCCTAGGAATCCAATGCGAAGCTCTTGGAGTTTTATTTGATATCTGAGTCTAAGCACCTCCGTCGCAGTCATCGTAATAATTACTAATTATTAATTAGTTACTTTGGATTTAAAATATTTTTAATTGAATATTTTTGGATAGTATAAATTCATTATTTCTCGACTTCAGAATATTTACATGACATTTATTTTATTATTAATTTTTTGAATATCTTATTCGTTTATTGAAACTACATTTATTATTTGATTTATAATAATAAAGTACCTAATTGATTACCATAGCATCGTCTCTCGACTTGTTTTCTTGTTGGCACTCGAACAAATGTCATGGTCGTCAGACAGTTTACAAAAAAATGTATAAAAATAAATGTACCGATCAAATAATAAGTATATCGTTGTATATTATACCTGGTTGGCGTAGCGTAGAAATTAAAGTGACATAAGCTGTTAACAGCGTTAACGACGTTGTAAAAAAATTCTTAAACATGTTCATGTTCAATGTTGTGATTAAGGAAACAGTGGCTACTGACTGTTTACGATTCGTCGTCTCGTGTAACCACTAAAATACCACTGATGTGATACACAATAATGTAACAATCTATACCATATTATGAAATAATTGTTACTAAACTGTAGTTTAATTGTTATTAAATATTTTAAGCACGAAATAATAATAATTTGTCTTCAAAAGTAAATAAACTGCGATTAGCGTGATGAGTGCCGCTGTGCTGGTGACCAATGTTCGATATATTGTGTATATAAAAAAAAAAAGTATTAGATAAAAGGTCGAATATTATACAAGTCATAATTAGTTTAAAAAACTCGTATAGACTATATGCGTACTCAGATGAGATTTTTTTTCTTACGTTATCCAAAGTTTTTTAAGTATAAATTGATTATATAGTACCTACCTAACATAGAAAAGACATTATTTGTTTATTATATTTAATCATTAGTTCATCATTACTAAATTATTTAACATATTTTTTGCACAAACGCCGCTGACTCAAGATTTTAATGTGTATAATTAAACAATTAAATTTGTACATTGATAAACCAATTGAAATTTTTAGTAATCACTATAATTAGGCTTAGGTCTATATTACAATAAATTCATTACACAATAATTATGCAATTATGTGTACAGGAGAGATTAACAGATTAAGATTATAAAGTTATCTTTGTGTCTGAGTGTGACACATGTTGATACTTTTGAATAAAAGTACAAACAAAATTATTTAATCACAATATTTACATACGTATGTTCATAATTCATAATATTAAAATATATTCTATATTTTATACTTCTCTGATAAATTTAATTATGAAATGTAAATATAATAAAAGTAATATAATGATAATTGTACAGACTTAACGCGTTCTATATTAAACCTTTTTTTCTTATTTTATCTTTTAATATTAACTGTAATTTAATTTAAATCAAGTGACACACAGTGAAAAATGAGTTTTTCTCTTAATAGTTTAAAATAACAAATTATAGAGATAAATATCCAACGTATAAAATATATTAAAACCCAATTATTGACTAATCCAACATTTAATAATTTAAAAACTTTAAGTTCAAATTTTGATTAAAATACTTTTAAAAATATTTTCAGCAAAATTATTGCTTAACAACTCACATTACGACAAAGTTTATATCACCATATTAAAACCATTCAGGAAATCTGCTAAATTGTTGCCAAGAGTTCATAAAACTTTACCAAACATTATTAATTTTGACGTATTAAATAAGACATCAATTGATCCAGTACTGTAACTTAAATTCGAGGGTCTGAGTCTCAAAAACTATATTTTATGAATCAAAATAATGTGCAAATGAAAAATAAATAAATAACCGTTAACAGTGATAGGCCATGGACCTTGCTAGCATTTATGATTTTTACAGCACTCAAAAAATTATCAATTCATAGATTATACCAATCTATATTATAAATTTAACATATTATATTCTATTAAAAATATATAAATACAACTCATGGGTATTAATGGATTCTTGTATGAGTTGACATCTTAGTTTTATAAATTAATCACGAAACAAGTTGAATATCCTATTTCAGCTAAATTTAACTTTTTATCTAAATTTGTGAAGGTAAATTCATATTTAAAAAGTATCATACTTATAACAAAAATAATAGGCCATTTATAGGGAAAGAGCTTTCTAACAAGCAAACAATGTTTTTATTATATTTACTAAATACAACACAGTGGATGCTTATTTCTGCATTAATCTAAGTTTATATACTAGCTTCATACATTACTATGCATTTAAAGATGAACAAAATTATTAAGTATTTAATTTTAAAAATAAAAATAACTGAACAATTTAAAATCTTATTAATTATTGAATTTTAATGGGTTATCATAAGAAAAATAAGTTATTGTCAAGCTTCCAACAATTAAGATAATGAAAAATTGGATAGAGAGTTTGATAAGGAACTATAGACACTCTTAAATGATTATGCATAATAGTCTTATATTACCTTTAGTGTTTATTAAAAATTATTAAAGTAAAAATATTTTTGATTGTCTATTATCATATTTTATTTTAAAACACTAATAAACCTTTACACATTAATATTTATAATTTATAAATTCAATTAATTATACTAATTTGATTCTACTTTAATTAATTTAAATAACAAACAAATATTATAATAGAATGCACATTACCTAAATTAGATATTTCAACAATAATACACCTGTATACCATTTAATTATTAAAGTGTGGAGGCTTATCAATAACTACCACTCCAGCATAACTTCGGCCAATATTCATTGAGGCTGTTAACATGGACCATGTATTGGTATTGGGATTGTAAATCTCTATAGAAGCCAAATTGGAAGCTCCATCATCACCGCCCACAACATACAATAACCCGTCTAATGCAATTACTCCTATATTAGAACATATTATTAATTTAATATATTTCTCTAAAAAAGTTTTTCATAAAATAATGAAGAATTATTATACTTACCAGCATTTCTTCGACACATATGCATATCAGCAATTGAAGTCCAAACTCCAGAACTTGGTCTATAGGCCTCAACACTATTACGAACCTCAGGTCCATCATGACCACCAACAGCATACATTACACCATCTAAGACTCCTACACCAGCACCACTGCGGCGTACAGACATTTCTGCAACTGGTGTCCATGTATCAGTACTAGGATGATAACATTCAACAGATTTTAAACACTGTCTTGATAATCCATCATAACCTCCTACCTATACAGTTAATAAATTTAAAACAAATGTATTACATATTTTGAAATAATAAATAAAATATTATTTTACCGCATATAAAAGATTATTGAGTACTCCAACACCAACACTACTTCTCCTAGTAGACATATTAGATACCATTCGCCATTCTTGAGTACTGCAGTCAAAAACTTCTGCACTATTTAAACCACTAGTACCATCAAAACCACCAACCTAGAATTTTTATTATATAATTTATAATTCATGATCATGACATAAAATAAAATATATTTAAGTATAACATACGGCATAGATGCAATTATCTAATACAGCTACTCCTAAAGTTCCTCGTCTAGCTAACATGGCAACTGTTGGTACCCAACAAGGTGATGGTGATGACAAATCAAGCATATCAACTGTACGAACCCTTAATGAACCATTAAAACCACCCACAGCAAATACACGACGATCTTTTAACACAGCTAAACCAGCTCTACAACGGCGTGTACTCATTTCTGGTCCAGATTGCCATCGATTGGTTCCTGGATCATACCATTCTACACTACGAATTGCTTTAGGTGCTTGTCCACCAACCACAAGTATTACCTGTAAAGTATAAATGGGTATACTAATTTTTTAACAAGATAAATCATTAGAAAAAAATTACTTTAGGTAATCCAACAGGTTGTCTTGGTTTTGTACGAATAGTTTTTGGAATAGTACCTGGCTGTTCAGACTTAAGTAAATGAAAATTTAATGCTTCAATTATATAGTCTTTACCTAGAAATAGTAGAAGAATAATAAATTATAATTTAAATTAAAATAAAGACCTTTTTGATTGAAAAATCAAATAAAAAAAAAAAACATACATTCAAGGCTATTTTTAAGAAGAGGTTCCTCCTCTACTCTCTTAAGTAAATATTCTTTTGATGCTAATGGTAAACGAACATGTTCCATTAATTTAGGCAAAATATCTTTTCTACAACTTGATTCATAATTTACCCAACAAATTACACTTTCAAATACCTAAAAAATATTAAGAGCTAAATAATAGTTATTATTTTAAATTAATTAACTACTAATTTTTATCTCATATATTATATTTAAATGTAACAATTTCCTAGTGGCTAGTAACTTACTTTTTCTTCAGATGGAACAGTAAGTTCATCACTGGAAATCAACTTAACTACTTGTTCAGATGATAAGGATAGGAACTCGTCACCTTCAACCACTTCTCTAATAATAAAAATACAACAAAAATAAATATAATTTCCATATAAAAATATACAATAACTAATATTTCATACGAAAAGTGTTGTTGAATATATGATTCAGAACTTGACAATAGTTCCATACAGCCATGTAAATCAGCAAATGCCTTGATACCAAGACAATTTGTAGGGTGCAGTTGTGATTGTAAAAAATCACAACACGCATCTTGTACATCATGCAACTGTAAGAGATTTGCAGCTGGTAACAAAACCTTAAAACAAAATGATAAGTCAAAAATAGTAAATTTAAATTACTTTTAAATTGTTTAAAAACAATTTAAAATGATTTATACCTGTACATTTTCTTCACTGACCATTATTTGGGCAGTATAAATGAAATCTACTAGAAGTTTTAATGCAGTAGAATCCAATTCTCTTATAATTACATGATCCTTATTACTCTCTTCAAAACTTGTGAACATGGCATGGAAATAAGGACTAGCAGATGCTAAAACCACTTTGTGTCCAAATACTATTGTACTATCATCTGTTTCTAATTTAATATCACAAAAAATCTCATCTCTAAAACAAAATTGTAATACTTTAATACTACCAAACATTTATCTAGAGACTTAAAGTTGAAATTTCTCATAATAATACAACAAACCTGCGTAAAGATTGTAAAACTTCAAATGCACGAACTGTGTGAGAACTATTTCTGTAAGGCGTTCGTTCCCGTCTCCCTGACCTTGGTACTTGTTTTTGAGAACTCTCGTCTAATGAATTCTGACTGGCATATCGTAATAATAAACCTGTTCCTCTGAAAATAATATAATACTAATAAATAAGAATAAATAGCATAAATTATATCAAAAAACTTACCCTGTTGAAACGCTATCACCTTCCATATTATAAAACACAATGAGAATTTTAATCTAAAAAAGGTTTAACTTAATAACACATAGCTACAGTAAGCTAGAATACCAAAGGTCATATCATCATAATTAACTCAAAAATGTATTATTTTAGAGAAATGGTATACTAAATTCATCAATAGGCAATTGATGAATTAAACTCTTATTGATGTAACAACTATATAAAATAAAATAAACGAAATAACAAATAACAATAAACATTAAGCAAGTATTTTAATTAAATAAATAATAAATAATTATTGTAAATTAAGATATCAGCTACCAGAAGACAGTAGTTATTACTTATTCG